ACGAGGAGAGATCAGTGCAGTACGGCAACATCAAAAGAACGTTTTGAATTACAGTACAATGGTAGGCAGGGCTAGGTAGCAGCACTTTAATCACTGAGAAGAAGTCCGAAAGAAGGCCTAATTTAACATTGTTTTTAAAGTGCACCGTAGTTGTGCTGTTATTCGATTGAATGTTTACACTGTGCAAAATGAAGTCATCTTCCAGTGCCTAGCTGTAAAAAAAATGCTACGTGCGCGGGAGTGTGTGAACAAAAATACGGCACTAACTAGCGAGCATGAGCAAGGGAAACAGGACTCTACACTAGTGTTTGTGACACTAAGGGGAGCGCACGCGAGGGTAAAGAGGGCTAAAATTTAAGCAAGCAAATGCGCGAGCAATAAGACTCTGCCGACTTAAGTTGTAAAATAAGTGACCAAAACAGAATCTAAATTAGAAGTATATCCATATGTTAAAACTTAAAGGAGTAGCAGGTTACCAGCTGATGAGAAGGGTGCTGATGAAAATGTAAGATGACAGATAAAAGAAAGGTGATGGCATGAGTAAAGTCATAATGAAACGTCAGCGCAGAGAAATAGTAGATGAATTTATAAAGTAAAAGCTAAAAACTTAGAAGAGGATCATGGTTAATAATTAGTTAAAGAGTGGCAGGTTACCAGCTTTAGAGAAAATGCTTTAGTTGAAATGCTATTGAAGATGAAAGATTGCAAATAAAAGAACGTTGAAGACGTAAGTAAAGTCATAATAGATCGTTACGTAAGTAGTAAAGTCATATTAAAACTTACGTAAGTAAAGACATATTAAAACTTAAGCGCAAAAGGAATAGCAGATGGGTTTATTAATGAAGTGATACGCCAAACCCTGATCTGACAACGTGATGTTTCCGTTACGTTGGTGTAATCGAAGTTGCGTCGGTATAATCGGAGTTGAAGTAGGGCTGAGCTGCCTTGAGTGTGCTGCTTGCTGAAGGACATTTGCGAAATATCGGGCCCTTTTACTAGTATAGCGGGCTGCGCAGGCCTGCTGTAGAGAAAGAGGCCGCTGGTGGATATATATAAGAACTAATAATAAGAAGCTTTGACAAAACTATAAAGCATTAGAGAAGAAATAACGAATAAGGGGTCGTTCACATATTACGTTATCAGCCGAGGGGGGAGGGGGGATTTCTAAATGATTACGCTATAGTATTGTAATTTTGACACAATAGCTATGTGTAAAACTGATTACGACCCCTGAATGAAACAGAAGATACTTGCCGCAACAGCCGCAAGTCTTAAAAACATATCAATATCATCGGATTTACCCCGGCATCAACATAATATCACAAATTTGAACCCTCTCATTAGCATGCAATTGCTCTTCACGATTCCTAGCTCGACTCAATATATTTGTGTTTACTAAGATTATTTAGTACACAGTTTGTTCGAGTCAGCCTTTATGACTGAGAAGTTGACTTTATCCTTTAATCATGACCCACAAACAACATACCACAACACGAACATTTTAAGAAATTAACCATATTTCCAATTTTGGCAAGGTAGTGTTGAAAATTAAAATAACTGAGCACATGGGTTTCACCCTTTTTATGGTTAGATGTTGAAGTTACCTCGCCTTTAAGGTGTGAGTCTTATTAAGGTTGAGAAGAGTTTTAAAAGATATTACAAATTTCTCCGAAAACGAAGAGCTCACGTACGATTATTTTCAAAATTCAATTCAACTTTGGGGATTGCGGCTGTTTACTGTCAGTATTTCTATTCGAAAATAAAACTTTAATCTATACCCAAACCTAAACTGTTCGCAACCCTATCTTTATCTAAAGATAGGAGGAGTACAGTTAAGGTTGCAAATAATTAAATTTATATTATTTATAGTTGAAACCAAGTTTAACCTTCGGCAGAAACATCACAACTATGCGGCTAATAAAGTATGTTCCAATCGGGATATTACACTTTGGACTTTGGTATTGGTAAGGATCGTTTATACATTGATGAAAGTTCATTAAATGGGAACTGGAAGAACTACATTTCATCAAAGATAACTTTTTTTTCCACGAAAAATTATTAAAATTTCCAATACATAATGCTCGCCCAATATAGCATCAAACTTTCAGTTCCTCTAAAATGTTATCTCGCTGAATTAAAGATTGGACCAGACCATGTCTAAATCAAATTATAGAGCAGTAAGTGTGGTTACAGTGCACGTTGCCGATGCGAGATAAAAGATGGAACCATTTAATTAACTCTCATAGTTGAATCTTGAAATAACGGCACTTAATACTTTTTTAGCTGAACCATAATCATCCAGCCACAAATCTGACACTATACCTCTACTTCTAGCTGTTGTGATACTACAGCTATTTAATAATCTAAATATTTGTATCTATAAAAATATTTGATCATCCATTCGCCATCCAAGCTCAAACATATGAAGTGTCTAACGGAAACATGCTGTACCCCACTCAAACGGTGAAAGATCTAGGAGTGACAGTTTCCGCTGATTTGTCCTGGACCCCACACATCAACAGGATAGCGTTAGCTGAACGTGCAGGAAAAGTTGCTTCTTGGGTGCTAAGTGCGTTCAAAACGAGAGACAAAGCCACCATGATGACTCTGTACAAGTCTCTCGTTAGAAGCCATCTGGAGTATTGCTGTCCTCTGTGGAATTGCTCTAAGAAAAAGGACATCCAACAGCTAGAAGGGATTCAGCGTACGTTTACAGCGAAAATAGATGGCACCCAGCACCTCAACTATTACTAATGGCAGAGATTAAAGGCCCTAGATCTGATGTCATTGCAAAGAAGAAGAGAACGGTATTTAATCATCAACATGTGGAAAGTTCTGCATTGCAAGTGCCCTAATGATATTGGTATCCAGTTCTCGGTGACTCTCACACATGGTCAAAAAGCAGTTGTGCCCAGTATAGCTAAGTCCAGCAGTCAACGTAATCAAGCACTACATGACAACTCATTTGCAGTCACTGGACCTCGATTATGGAATGTAATCCCAACACATATGCACACCATCGAGGATCCTATGCAATTCAAAGCAGCTTTAACGAACTTTGTGAAGTCATTTCCGGACGAGCCTCCAGCTCCAGGATACAGCCGTCGGAATGGAAACTCCTTGCGGGATTGGAGTGGTGATAAAACAGTTTCTACACTGTCCGGGGGGTCGACTTTTTCGATGGCCCGATAGAGGATTCTATGAAGCCCTACAAAGTAACAAAGTAAGTATAGTTGCAATATTAGATCCTTTTTGGCGAGGGATTAGAAAAGTTGGAAAAAAGGGAGAAAACTTGCCACATAGGTCCAGGATCGAGATTAAAGTATACAGGGTGAAGACGATTTACACAAGTACGATTTACACGACTAAACATGGGTAATAATAGTCGTGATGGTCAGTTATAAGTACCCTTGCGCAGTTATGAGATAAGACTAACTGTCGGTTAAGATTAATTGTTATAAAGTTGAGGGTCGAAGGAGCAGGACCAGTACTTCCTACTGTGATTCTTAGTCCACCATCGCCCATCGGGCAGTAAGCGCCTATGTCCTGTATTTTAGTGTACTTTATTTGAAAATTGAATCAAAGTGCGTAATTCTGTCAAATTCGAGTGCAAGTATCATTTTTATGATACTTGCTGATCACAAGGAAAACCGTACACAAATGACAAATATATACCTTTCTGGTAAGTGCCAGAATATAGGACTCAGTCATCAGGAACAGGTTCAAAAACACAAAATACGCACATTAGGAAGAAAAGAATCTGGTGCTATCAGCAATAAATCAGTAATCTAATTAGCGGATGATACTGTTAATCGTAATATAATTATTAAGTACGAAACAATAGTAATGCTTCGAATCACACATCATCACATTATGGGGGGCAGAGTATCAATTTCTCAGATAATACCGCAGGCAAAAGATCTGGAAGAATCCCGGGTGGGGGCCGTGATGATAAGGTATGTGTTCCGGAGCAGTTCCACTAAAATATGAGGAGGTTTTGTGGTCTTACAGTTATATTGGAGGTAAGCTGGAGTTGTATTTCAATTCAATAAAAGATGAAAGAACAGGGCTTATATTTTGACACTGTTTATAAAAAAGAATTAGATATGCAAACTGGACAGTAGCAACAAGAACAAGAGACAAGCCTGGCCTGAATTTGTGGACCCCCTGAAATAGGGAGCACTGCTGAGTTAAGCAGTATTCTCCGGGGTTAACGTTGTTGGTTGTTGGTATTATAGAACATTATGATCGAAATAGATAGGGTTGATTATCAATATTGTATCGAAACAAAATAGAAATCATCACAAAGGTTCCTTAATATGATCATGTACCAGTGACGTGATATTTGGCAATTAACATGCAATTAACTAATCGATCGATTAATAATTAGATCTGCAACAGGATACATATGAGTAACGGCACGATGATGTATCGAGAGGGCAGTATATTTTACGTGGAAGACAAAAAGGGAGGGCTGCAAAGAGAAAAAAATCTCGCAGCAACATTAGCATATCAACAATTAGGCCTGACGGGCTTCCCAGTAGTAATTAATAAAATCAATACGACCTTGCTTGCTAGGACTTAATAATACAACTTTTTACACCTCCCCAGAACTACTTGCTCCTCTTCCTAATCGTTTAGGGTGTTAAGAGTTTTCTTGCAATAAGCTGTAACATTTCTTGTCCACTTCACCGGAAGTAATGGAGGCTAGGTCCGTTAGTATTGGGTCCCATTTCGGGTTCTTATCTGCTGTCTCGTACATTCAAGTTCACAGGTTACTATGCCATACGATCGTGGGACATTATATCGCTGACATTAACAATAATCAAGTGACAAGTTGGTGCGTGATTGCCCTGTGTGACCCTCCCAGTAGACCATCACGTGACTCAGTTGTAGATAATCACGTGACTTATTTGTAGCTAATCTCGGTCACGACCAGTTAATTTCAGTCACGACAGTGTGACTTTTGCTTGACAGTGGGACTAAAACAATTACGTTCTGCTGACTGTAGAACAATTAAAAGTCGACATCATTACAGACGTTACAGTTAAATCTGCTGATTTGTGTCAAACCGAAAACGTTTACTAAGAAAGCGAAATAAATCTCATGGTATATGTTGCTGGAAATAAGAAATCTCTTTCAAATCCCCCTAAAAATTCAAACTGATACAACGTGCAGATGGTTGCTATTTTCAGCAAAAACAAAATTCACATAAACAGAACATAAAGGAACGAATATAAATACCGCAGAAATAATATATTCTTTACATCGAACACAGCTTTCCATACTTTGGTATGACCGGCCTAGCAAAATTAATGGGAAGCACATTCTTATTTCTTTGTGGTTTCATACATGCGTGGCGCGATATTAGAATATCTATTATATCCCAAAATCGAACGTCAAGTTCTGGTAAGTTAATGCATTTTTCCAATCGTCACTAACTGTTACCGGCCTGTCTGCAGTTATTATTCCCATACCTAGTGCAAATCTTGTATTACAACACCTACATCATAATTGTGCTACCTACTTTTTCCTCGCATTGATATGACATACTTGCATAGCACACCCTAGCAGGTTGAAAAATAATGCTGATGTCACAATATCGTGCACACAGGAAGTTGAGGTTATGACTAAAGAACCAATGTTTACTTATGAAATTCAAAAACTTTCAAAAGCAACGAGTAGAAATTAAAAGTTATGAGACATAACGTAGACTAAAAATGCGTCACCACTCATTAGTCATCATCAAGTGTCAAGGAGACATATGAAGCACGGCTTAAAACATAATATTAACAACGCTTACAAGTCATTGTAAGATATGATGACATTAAGATATAACCTTCTATTACAGTTTACTCGACATGTTTATTAGCCAAAGATATACCAACGGAAATAATAAAATCTCATTAGATTTTCAACAGAGGGCGCATACTTCCCGCGCTTATTTGCAATATAATTCGGCCATGGCGTGAAATATCGCAGATATGCAGCTGTTTTATCTGAAGATGAAGTCATTGGGTTTCACCAACCGATTACGCCTGAGTAATCTTAAATAGTTGTTAACAACTAGTCTTGCAATGCCCCATCATCCCACACTAGAGTTTACTGATCGAGTAGCCGAAGAGAGAGTGCTCTGTTCGGAGCGATTGTCCTCCGTTATCTTGTGTCTGAGGTCTCTGACATGCCTCAACACGTCAGCTTGTCGCCGGTCCAAACTCTCTCGTCTCTTGTTCAGCACCACTGTGTTACCCTGTTCAGCATTCTCCTTATCATCACTTGCACCTGTAATCAAATACACCTGTTATACAATTAGAGGAAGGGTTTTTATCGATATAATTAATAAAATTACTTAATGTTAGAATGAGTTCGTAAATGAGATTACGAAATCCCAATGAGAAAGCTAATACTTAATTACATTAACATTACTAGTACTTATTCACGTTGTAACAACATAAAGCTATTGTACAGTTGGAAAGTTCTCATTATTACATTCTGCAGCAACTATTTTTTCATTCCTCCATTATTTTCTCATTTTAAGCTTTTAAATATTTTGTAATCCAATTACAACACACGGTAAAATAAGAAAAAGTCTCAAAAATTCCAGATTTAATGAGATTATCAACATTTTCAAACAATGACAATTTGCCAAAGTAAGAATTTTGCAGGTTCGGAAGATAAAGGTAACAAATTCATTTTAAGCTATTTTAAACTTAAGTATTAAGTAATTAAGTGCAGACATTAGACAGAGCCGATAAAGCGGAGTCTCGCCGGTCAGATGAGTGGTTATACCTCGGAGTTGCTGGATTTCACCGTAGAGTCCTTCGACCCTCTTCTCGGTTGACAAGGTCTCCAAGCGTTGCTGCTCAATGGCTGCCCGCTGATACTGCATTTCCGCGTGCTATTATGAAGTCATTGGTTAAGTATAATCAGGAAACACCGAAAATTCAAAAGCGAAAGTGTTTACTGTAACATCGAGTTCTAAAATGGAAGTCTTGCCGCATGTCGATTCTAGCTAGCTGAGACGTACGTACGTGCCTTACATTAATGCAAAGACGCGCACACGTGGCGCGCGAACAACACTAACTGCAAAAGAAAGGCCTTGTGATAATAAAAGCTGTTAGCGCGCTACCGAACTAAACATATTTTAATGTGACAGCCCCAACGAAAAACCGCCAAACTTGAATGGGCTGTATTTTGTTATTCATTTTCATATTTTTATTTCGTAACTACGACAGACGTTAAATTTTTGAACTAATCTTCGAAATGAGACTGAATGATTCTCACCATATCCCTTGTAACATCCTTCAGAGCTGTTTCCAATTTTTCTTTCTCCGTTTGATCTCTAGCTTCTTTTTGTCGCACATTATTAAGCGCTATTTCAGTGTAAATAGCGTTAATATGTCGGGCTCTCTCTTCGTCTCGACCATGCTTCAAAGACATGGTTTTCACTGCACTCCTCGCCAAATCGTGTTGGGCTCCCTATAGGGATATGTGTTAGTGAAATTTGGGACATAAATTCAAAACAATTTGTGTCACTATTTTTCATTGAAAATGAATAAATTCAGTAAAATATTTCCAACAACCGCTATCTCAAATCCAAGATAAAGGGCAAAATAAGAGACTAACCTGGACTCTGATAGTGGCCCTATCCTCAATGATATCGCCATCTAGATCATGTTTTCTTCTGAGTAATTCACTTCTTTCTCTTTGATTAGCTGATAAAGCCTCTTCCTTCTTGTTTGTAACGTAAAGTTCTCTGAGGTCAATAGTAGCCAACATACTGACAAAACTACCTACCAATCCGTGATCTTAGAGCTTAAAACCACAATTTAACAACAATATTTATTGTTCTTTGGAAAGTTAATATCATCGGCAAAGATCCCAAGAAGTTATTTGAATAATTAATATTTCTCAACTGATTTACTTTACAGCTCACTATGTAATCAGGGCGACAAGCTTGAAACTGGCTGGAGGGGGTTCATAGTCCCCCCGCATAGCAAACCTGTGTTTTATTTGTTAATGTTCTATAAGAAATCGTACAAGTTTTACCTGGCAAGTTCCTGTTGCAGAAATCCCTTCTGAGTTTCCATTTCTAGTTCTTTCAAAGCTACTTCTTCCAGTGCTCCTTTCGTTTCCAAATCTCTTAACAAAGCTTTCTTCTTGATCTAAAGTTCAATTATTTGAGCACGTAAAATAGCACACAAAAGGATGACACGCAACTAGCACATAACTTCACGGGTCATCTAGATTCTAGAGGATAATATTTTTAGAGGTAAGATTGAAACAAACCTCCTCTTCCAGTAAAACAAGTTTTTCCTTGTGATCATTCTCTGCAGTTTCTATAAAGTTCTTGCGGGCAGAGTCCAATACCTGAACCTCCCTAAGTCGCAGTTCCCTCTTCATTGCCTGCAACCTGAACAGAAAGGTCACTTGACTAGAAGTATTGGACTCCTATTATAATGCACATGAAACATCTCACCAGCGATCCATCATAACATCTTGTGTAAGTTGTCAGAAGTCTCATTCGATATATAATATACTATTAATGAAACTCAAATGCACAGAATGCAAAACAAATAATGGTATAAATTGTACCTGATACGTTGTTCGGTAAGTTTGTTCTCCTCAGCTAGCAGTATCTTACGCCTCTGTTGTTCAGCCTCAGACAATAACTGTTGTTCCCTCCTCCACACTTCCTCCTGTTGCTGCAGGTGGGCTGTGTGCGACTTCAGCTCCTCCGCTAACTGCCTGAATAGTTGTTGTCTTATTAGAATAATTAGTCCTAGACGAACGAAAATACAACAAATAACAAGACAAGCACAATAATTAACACTTAGTTAACAAACTAACAGCAAGCTGTTTATATAGAATGTTCTACAAAAACAGGATGCTGCTGTGTTCTACCTCTGTTTGATGTATTCTAATTCATCATTGTGAATCCTCTCTCGTTCCTTTAGCTGATAATCCACTACTTTCTCAGGATAGTTGTTAAATATAGGGTAATCTCCTGCTACCTGCGACGTGATAGAACTGGTTAACATTCTCTTTGGATGCGTAGAAAATAAAGAATTTCTACATTTATTAACATAATATTATGTAGTATGTAGTATGAATATTTTATTATGTAAACGAAATACAATCTACATACCAGTGGGGTGATAGGTTTTATGAAGGAGCGAGGGTGTATCTCAGAAGGGCATGTTTCCCACAGAGTGTAAGCGTTTGAAACCAGCCGGGATATCAGGATTCTGTTCCGGTTGTGAAAGTAAAACTGAAATTGGGAGGAAATTATGGAACTGTCACTGTGAAGTTTCAACACTTATTACGCCTTAACTAACAGCAATAGCAGCAAATCTGGGGAAACTTTGAAATACACCAATTTGAAGCATTTAACCACCCCTTAAAAATCAAAGATTATGAATTTTAGTAATCTGATTATTTACATAGGTCCAAAAATGTCATAGCTTCATGATAGTGCAACGAAAAAAATCTCAGAACATTTTGGTGCTGAGTTAGGTGGTTAAGTAGTCGAAAAATGACTGATTTGTTAGTGGACATTTTTTATACCTCTAACACCCAAACCCTTACTACAGTGAAGATATAAGTGTTACAGTTAATATTGATGGTCATTATTGAACAAAAACGGTTCATTGACACATAGTTGAAGAAAGAAATTAAAAAGGTTAATAAATGTGGTCTGTGGAGTGGTTTATTTGTTTATGTTATAGTGTACGCGTGCGCGCGCGCTAGCGCGTACTTAACCATCTGTAGGCCAACATATTTAGTTTATGCTTAATTTCTTTATATATTATGTCACCACTAGAGTGCCCAATACTTTTAGTGAAGGTTTGATGTAGAACAGTTAACCACCAACTGTGGTATATCAAAAAAACCATGTTTGTACGCGTGCGCGCGCTAGCGCGTACTTAACCACCTGGAATGGCACAGCATTGAGTTATCACCATAATTCCAAAAGCAGAAGACACCATTCAGGTGCCCAAAACTTTTGGCTATGGTCCCAATACCATAAAACCTTAGATGTGGCCTCAATGTGGTTAAAACATGTTTATTTTGGACTTTCGGTCAACAGAAGCCATCACAAATTAACCATTATTCAGCAACCTCTGACCTTTTGGTGCCTTATTTTGTTTTGATATTTGATTATGAGAGATAGCTGGAGGATAATAAGTGATTTTAAAGATAATGCAACAAAATGTGTGGCCGTATGGCGGTTAAAACGACCAAAAACACTGATTTTGGTCAATTTTAGACCTTTATTAACCATGATGGACGCAACATAGGACTCAGCAATGTTTCTGGTCATATAAATGAGCAGGTAGTTATATCTAGATAATGTAGCATGGCCAGCTATAGCTTTACAAAGCTAATATGTGCTCTAAAAATGGTTAATTAGTGCAAATATAGGGTATTTTCGAGACATTTTAACCACCTTAGCTGCACATTGATCGGAATGCATGAACTTGGGGTCAATTATGCATTTGCAAACAAATATACACTCATTTGGATAGCAAACCATTATCTGAAGTTCATATTGTGGTTAATTTTCACTTTAATAGATGCCTTGTTCAACAGCCTAGCAAGTAATATAGCCCTTTTAACCACTTTTATGACAACATTTCTTGATAAATTTTATCAAGACCCTTCAAATGTCCTTTGTTGACCATAAAATGTTGACTAAAATCATTAATAATGTTTTGATTGGTGGTAAACAATAAATTTTGACATTTTAACCATCTTTTTAGCACTTTTTACGAATATTAACCACCTCAAATCAACCATACTATTAAATTGCACATTTGTGATAAAAAATTATCATCCATGCACAAATGAACAACCAACACTATACATCTATAATCAGAGCAATATTTATAGCTCACCGTTCATCTTCAATTTAACCACCATTAGGACCACAAAATGCCCCCAATGAGGTTTGAAAACTTTTGTGATAGTTGCACCATGATATGATCTCAATATAATGACTATTCAGTTCATAATATCATATCTCAAAATGGTGGTTAACCCTAAAACTGGTATTTTAACCACCATAGTGGCCACATAGATGACCCATTAACCACAATTATTCAACATGACCGTACTGCAGTGTTTTGTGCACCAGAAAAACATCACTCCAACATTGAGATTAACCACAATGAGCTGCAACATAATGTTGAAGTCAACATACTCAAATTGTGTGAAAAAAGTCAATGTCCACCAAGTTTCCCCAGATTTGCTGCTATTGCTGCTAATTATTTGTTCTTTACATATTTTATAATCGTATTCAAATGCGAACAACCTACACTTTGTACACAAACAAGTCAAACATATTATAGTTTTGTTACCTATAACTTTGGAAGCATACAATATAGTAATATGATTTTACCTCAAAGTCCTTGATTTCAGTGCAATTTAACAGGACTTGTCTGCTACAGTTCAAATACACGACAACCAGACAGAGCAAGTAACCTGATAATATCATTTATTAGCTACACTATATTCGTAATAGTCACTTTAATATTTCAATGGTTCCTACTAAATGAACTAGAATTGCTCTGAGTAGGTGTGTCCTGATGGATTACAAACTATATGTAATCCAAATATCTTTCATTATTTGTTACAAATGCAATGATTTACCAGGAGGGTTAGACACAATGTGATCCATAAGTACCATCCACTCCTGAGCAGAGAGAACTTCTGAGAATACAGTGTACAACAGTGGCCAGCAGTAAACCTGAGATATAGAGCAGTAAATTAGGGGTAGATAACTAAAGAGTATAATTATTATCTGCTAATATTACTGATAGTTGATACTGTTACCTTGGCCTTAGATGTTATTGATACTGATCTATAATACATATTAGATCTATAAGTTCTATGTAACCGACTCTTAGCCGCCATATGAATTAACGTTGACTATTAACCGACGGTTGGGGGACAAATTACCTGCTAACAGCTGGTAGACAATGCACCTGATCACTAGATAATAGATACTTATATGGAACTAGGCGACAAATAAAATATATTATATCTGTATAACCACTTAATTACTTCAGTAATTAATAACTTGCAGCGTACCTTGGCAGACACGTCGCATTGAGTAAGATGTTGAAGCAGTTTGGTGTCGTAGTGATTCAGCAAGTTCTCAACACAGGTTAGAATGTTTACAGGGGGGTGAGGGAAGTAGTCGTACCATCCTTGACACCATGATACTGGGGAAATAAAGAGAAAATGATATAGTGTATTTGTTGTGGAGTCGAATAGTCATACAACATAACTATAAAATTATAATGATAACTATAAAATTATAATGATTACAAACTCGCTGATACTCACAAACGAAAGTAGCGATGACTTCAAAAGCTACGAGGTGGTTGTTTTGGAACATCTTGACGAAGGGGAAAGCTAACATTGGAAGGAAGTCGGAGATACTGAAGATACTGGACCAGTGTCCCATACAGGATAATACCCTGATGTGGGCAGGGGTTAATTAACTATTGTTTTAAAGTTTTGTAAGCAACGCAATATCTACTAACTTAGTTTATAAAACTCAAGTATATAACAAAAATAGAGGTTTTCTAACACTGAATTTACGTGTAAACTTGGTATTAAACAATTAAAGGGGTATCATGGCGAGGAAAAAATAAAATCAGTTTTTTAACAGGTTTTAACGAGCAACATATCACTAACTTTTGAAGGACTCTGAGAAGTTTGGCAGATTTGACAGGGCAAACTTGCTGTAAGTTTTTGAATGCTGGATGAGTTCCTTTGTCCAGTAGCACTCCGTACGCCTCTGTGTTTTCTGGAATCTAGAAGAATTAATTCTCAGCGAGTAAGTACTGTATAACCGAACCGTCAAAGCAAGTCCGACTAACAAAATGATCAAAAGCATAATATCTAATGATCTAAATTCATCGATCTCGTAGAATGACAAATTGTAATTAGTTATAACTATAAATAGAAACCATGTAGTCCACTATATACATATTTTGTTCGTTTAGAAGTAATTGCACTTATTTAACCTTGAGAAGGAGTCGCCAGATGAAATGACGATATTTCTCAGGATATTCTCCGTATCCTTTCAGTATCTTCTTCAGCTTCTTTTTGTCTAGCTTCGATATCTACAGATGAATTTATTGTAAACTATATAATGTAAACTGTAAAACGAACACCGAAAATTTTGCTGTGGCCCTGTTACTAACCACCGTTTATATCTTCCATTCCCCATCTTAAAAAGAAATTTAACTAGGAAAACCAAACACGGTAACATATTTCTAACCAAGTTAATATCGCTGTCCTGAAAACATCGTCTCCTCGGAGTGGCTTTCTCGCCGACTGTCAACTTAACTTCTTTAGCAGGAACACTGACTGCTCTTACTAGAGGTGCTGGAGCTACGTTCAGACTCTTTGTCAGGGCTTTAACACTCAGTAACTGAAACAGAAACTTACTTACAGAATACGCTTGGGTGGTTGAAACTGGAAAGGTACACCAAAAACACGAAATGTACCAGGAATCGAGGAATATTCTGAAATTGTGGACAGAATTGGATATTGTAAACGGAGAAGAACACTGAATATATCAATGTAAAATACCTGACAAGAACCAGAATCCAGTATAACAGCAAGATGTTTAGCATTAGGACTAATAGACACGTGGTTTATAACAGTATCAGGTCCTCCAACTGTGAACACTATCTTGTAGGTGTTGAGACTGATAAACCGGAGGATACCGTCTTGGGAGAGAGCTCCGAACACCTGGTGTTACAGAGGTGTTACAGTGGTGTTACAGTGGTGTTACAGTGGTGTTACAGTGGTGTTACAGAGGTGTTACAGAGGTGTTACAGAGGAGTTACAGTGGTGTTACAGAGGTGTTACAGAGGAGTTACAGTGGTGTTACAGAGGTGTTACAGAGGTGTTACAGAGGTGTTACAGAGGAGTTACAGAGGTGTTACAGAGGTGTTACAGAGGTGTTACAGAGGTGTTACAGAGGTGTTACAGTGGTGTTACAGAAGTGTTACAGTGGTGTTACAGTGGTGTTACAGAGGTGTTACAGTGGTGTTACAGAGGAGTTACAGTGGTGTTACAGAGGTGTTACAGAGGTGTTACAGAGGAGTTACAGTGGTGTTACAGAAGTGTTACAGAAGTGTTACAGTGGTGTTACAGAGGTGTTACAGTGGTGTTACACTGTTACAGTGGTGTTACAGAGGTGTTACAGAGGTGTTACAGAGGAGTTACAGTGGTGTTACAGAGGTGTTACAGAGGTGTTACAGAGGAGTTACAGTGGTGTTACAGAGGTGTTACAGAGGTGTTACAGAGGTGTTACAGTGGTGTTACAGAGGAGTTACAGTGGTGTTACAGAGGTGTTACAGAGGTGTTACAGAGGAGTTACAGTGGTGTTACAGAAGTGTCACAGAGGTGTTACAGAGGTGTTACAGAGGTGTTACAGAGGTGTTACAGAGGAGTTACAGTGGTGTTACAGAGGTGTTACAGAGGTGTTACAGAAGTGTTACAGTGGTGTTACAGAGGTGTTACAGTGTTATTACAGTGGTGTTACAGAGGTGTTACAGTGGTGTTACAGTGGTATTACAGTGGTGTTACATTGTGCGTTACAGTGGTGTTACAGAGGTATTACAGTGGTGTTACAGTGTTATGACAGTGGTGTTACAGAGGTGTTACAGTGGTGTTACAGTGGTATTACAGTGGTGTTACAGATAAGAAACTGTTGTTACAGAGGCTCATTAAAATGGATTTTCAAAACCATATTTTCATCATGTGGTACATACCGTGTTGTTATGCTGATCGAATATTTGTTCAACAGCAATAAGCTGCTTCACAGACTTGACTCGCTCGGGAAGTTCAACTATGTGGTGCAACTTCTGGTCTTGTAACCTCCACACGTGCAAGTAGCGTGACCTGATAAGATAAACCTAGTTACACACATGTGAAGATAACAGAATATTATAACACACGTGGGCAGATACCGGCGTGATATTACACACAGGCAGATAAGAGATTCATTATGATTATAATGTTGTGATTAATTTTGGTCGTTAAAAAACGCTTGAAACCGTCCGGATCAAAACGAACCTTCCACCAGCAATAAGGAACTCTCCACTAGCGGTAGTAGAGAAACAGTTGAAGGCTGGTTGTTCCCCGGGCTGTTTGTGTAAAGTGTAGAGGTGCTCCAAAGATTCACAGTCCCAGGCAAATATACTGTCGTCACGGAAACAGGTCAGTAGGATGTTACTCTTCGGAACAAACAACAGCTGTAGTATAAACTGTTATTTATTTGACTTTAAGTTAAAACTGTTAATTTATCAAATTTTTGATTAAATATCAACCAACGATTCAGGTTGGAAACGAATACTCTGTACCTTGACTCTAGAAGCACTCTAGTTTCAATAGTTAAGACCATGCTAAATCTATTTAAATTCAGATTCTAAAGAGCCTGCAGACTTTTATGTTGATAATTCGAATTGTACATTACAAGCAATTTCACGAGTACGTGTTCACAAGCATGCGTTTCTCTGTTCTTCTTCAGTCTACACTCTACACTTTTACTCAAAAGTTACGTTTTGTTATTTGTGCAGAGTTTGTTACATGTAATTGTGTCATCTTGTACATGAATTTTAGTAAGATTTATGTTGTAATATGGCTGGTGTTCATTTGACCTTGCCTCCAGTATGGCACGTCTTCGAGTCTGTAATATTATATTCATGCTTCTCAGCTGAATATAATATTACAGTTTATTAAGGACCGTAAACAAAAAAGGGCATTCTATCTAGCGCTGGTTAGAAGCCTTTTCGAAAATTGCAGTGTTGTCTGGAGACCAACAAGTGTAGTTCTTAATAACAAAGTTGAAAACATCCAGCGCAGAGCAGTTAAGTGGATCCTTGGCGAACAGGATCATCACTATAATGACATAGAATATTTGGCTCGGTTAAGAGAGCTAGACATGTTGCCGATGGAGCTAAAGTTTGAATACACAGACCTACTATTATTTCACCAGATATACAATGGCCAATCTGTACTGAAGCTCCCATCCTATTTAACCCCGATAACAACCAGTGAACAGGGTAGATTGCGTTCAAATATAAGGCAACCCTCGAGATATAATGAAGCTGATACATCTCAAATGCCTGATATCAACCAGAGGCGACAGAACAGACACGACAACTTCTCCCTGAAATGTACTGTGGAAGCAAAGGCACACCCCTTTAAGAGAAGCTTCTTCTTCAGAACACACAGTGTCTGGAATGATCTACCGACTGACCTTAAAGAGATAGGTGATGCCGGAACTTTCAAGGCGAACCTGGCAAAACACTTCTGGGACAAAATGACAGACCCCGACTAAGTCCAGGAATGCAAATGATATTTATAGGTGGCCCCCGCCACTGATAGATCGATCACGATGCTGAATATAACAAGTATAATAGAACTATATCTATTAAATCACATTTACTTTCTGTCGCCAGGATGTGGCCCTTGCGTGGTCCACAGTGAATATACGAAATTGGATTACGCGAAATTAAATCAGAATGTAGCAATGCTTTTCAGCGCTGTGTTACGAATGCCGCGCATTATGCATTGTTGCGCCACATCTTCGGTCGAATCGTGGTGGCATTGTCTATCATTATATTATTTATTTTGACAATTCTAAATTTGTGTGTTTTAGATTAATTTTGTGTGTTTAGATGGAGGTGGTGTTAGTGAGTCTGGGGGTAGAAATATTACCTGTAATACGTATATCCCCAGAACTTGTACCACTTACCCATGCTTTTAGTATTTCTACAATAAGGTCTACGACTTTTACACAGCATAATACCCCATGATGTCGTTTATTTTAAATTCTCTTTGCTGTATTGTATAATATGTACTATTTGTAAAAGTTTCAAATCAAATCAAATCAGCGGAATTATTAATCGGCGGAACCTTCCAAATTGAGGATTATTGAAGAAACGGTTCCAAAAGACTTGTTTTTCTTCTATAATCATAATTTGACAAAGATTATGTAACAGATACTAAGGTAGTTATATCCCGAATACCTTCTGCGATCATTGAACTTCCTATAGAGTCATATAATTAAGGCTTGTGTATTCCTAGAAAATAGAACTTCCTATTTAGGCATATTTTACAATAACAGCTCCCGTTCTGATAACGTTGTTTGCTTTTATCTTTTTATCTAATTGTAGTTTTCTCGACTTTGTATACAGGTAACCAGGTTTTATGTACCGTCTGTCGTCTATATATTGTTTACATGAACTGTAGGATTTTATGGACAGATATCAAATATTATGTGATCTATCTGTCTATATTGATGGTATGTGACTGCTACTGCGGCACACGGACCATGAAATGGTAACGATGTTAAATTTATGACGTTTTGCAGGCATAACTTGATCTAGATCGTGGACTTTGTTTTGGAGTTGTTGTACGGACAAATTTAGTTAAGTTTGGTTCCAGCATTATTTGGTCAAAAAATTTCATTTTTGCTTTTTCTGCTTGAACAATAATGATTTTAAACTTCATGTAACTGTACGCTCGTAAGTCGTGGAGATAAGAGGGAGATAGAGATAAATGGGTTTCCAAATTAGTATTTGTCCCTAACTTGCACAATCTATGTAATCTAACTCCAGTAGATAATGTTAGTCTTAGTACTGCAATTACTGGTGACCACTGTAAAGAGTGACATGGTATGTGACAGTGACGGTGTTAAATGTGTTAAAGACCCGGCTAATTGTGACTCCTCCGCTCCTACTGACTGTAATTATCTTCTCAAGTACAAGGCTGCCTCAGCAGACACCACTAAGGTATGTAAAACATGTTGACATCAAATACACCTTCAAATGTTTTGAATAACTCAAACTCCCACTATACTAGCTTTATCCGAGTCTAATTATACAGTAAAACCACGAATTACCGAAAAACCCGATTCACTGCGGCCATTTCCTTCCCCCAAATGAGGTGTCAACGTACAGTACAATCAAAACCCCGATTTACTGCAGCTGTCTCCTTCCCCCAAAACTCTGCGGTACATCAGGGTTTTACTGTAAACTGAATTTGAGTTTATCTTCAGATAGAGATATCAGGGAAACCCAGTAAGTTCAGCCTGACATCCTATCTAGAGAACATGTGGCTGGTATTTGGGTTTTCTCCCAGCAGTAGCGGAATGTCAGGTATAAATCTGTATGCTTGCCAGCTAGTCGGTGGCACTCAGTACGATGTCAGGAAGTTAAAAACTAATGGTTATAGTGGTGTAGACAAGTAAGTGATATTTCATTTCATTATTTAATTTCCAACAATTCATCAAGTATAGTTTTTATCTTCGTTATTTTTTTCCGTGGTACTCACAACATTGAAAAGGTTTTATTTTGAAAGATTGATTTTTATTTGTTCTAAATTGAGCTGTTCATGAACACACATCACCATTGCAAATATCCTTGGCAAAAATAACAATCCCAGCGCTGGATCGGCAATCGTTGCTAAAGGGGGAAGTGTGAGTGGAAGTAATCAGGACGACCTAATGTCATGTTCATACGAGATACTCAACTCAGAACTTCCTACTAGCAATCAATATCTCGTTAAAGCTATGGGTGATTACTTTTACCATTTTTCAAAATACAGCTCAAAGCTGGCTTTTTCGTTATCATATTGCAGAGTATGTCAAGGCATATTCAAATTGAAAATTGCTGAAAAATACAAGAAGTATTAGGAAAGTCCGATAAAATGCGTATCATTTGGTAAACCTGCCTGATCAGGTCCGATGGCTGGTGAAAACTCCATGTCAAAGCACAGAATGACCCCAAAGAGAGGAACCCTGATGAAACTTCAGCAAGAGTTCATACCTCCCGTAGAATGTCCCGTGGTAAGATTTATTTTTAAATCATAAAATTATGAATTAGTATTTAATGAATATGTATTGGATATAATGAATAGCATAAGCTATATTTCTGATGAAATCGAATCAATGAAATCTTCAAAGAGCTGGTTTCTATTTATCACGATATTTTCAGGGAGAAAAGGAAGTTAACAATGTTTGCCAGAAATGTCCAGCGGGAGACTATCAAGACCTGACAGGGCAAACTTCTTGCAAAACTTGTGACAGTGGTCATATCTCTGCTGAAGGATCTTCAAAGTGCACTGCCTGCAGCGTGGTAAATACCATAGTTCGAATTACCGTTTAAGAATGTCACAGTTACAGTAGAAGCTCAATTTGATGGTCTCTCTCTCTCTCTGTTTTGGTCAACGGTTTCTGGCCTCCTAGTGAAGAGGGAGGCCTTCTCGCCGTGCCCACAGAGTGTGACTCCTGCTAGCCACACTCCAGGACTCCCTAGAAGTATATACAAAAACATAGAATAATAGATATCAACGCAACAGACCTCTGGAGTCTCGAAGCTGTTACTACCTTGCTCAGGGCAAACCCACTTCAGATGTTCTTCTTTGGCGGGCAGGCGAGGGACTTCCGAGCATGGTCCACACCTGAATATGTGTCACTATCTGGGATAGTCCTGTGTGGGTCTAGTGTATGATTGTTTATGAACCTTGGTGTATGTCCTAGATGCTTATCCAAATAGATCGTCTCTGTCAAACCTTGTTGACTGTTCCACGAATTTGATAATGTGGTCGAGTTTACTATTGATGAGTTCCTCAATTGTTAGGATGGGTTTACCAAATATCCTCATTCTAGTTGTCATCAGCTGGATGCATTCACATAGGAAGTGTTGTGATGTTTCTGCTTCCTGGGCAGTGTGAGAACTCACAGTCTTGTGTTTCGAAATTGGAGTTGTTTGCTACCGTCTGGAAGTATGCTAGTGGGCTGTGTCCTGATAGTAGCCATGTTAGCCATCTGATGTGAGTACCTGTGATGTTAATTTTCTTGTACCTGTTTTTGTTGAGGAAAAATGTTAGTGGGGTTTTTCCTTTATCACTGAGTGCCACCTGTTTATACTTCTTGATATGGAGATTGAAGAGGTAATCTTTTATTTGGGTGTTGATTATAGTTCTTTACCGTATACTCCTTCATGTCCTGGAACAAAGTTCTACTCGATGCGAAAACCTAGCGAGTTGAGTTGGTCTGAGATGTTCAGAACGAACCTGGAGTTAAAATTGGTGCTGTTAAGGGCTTTAAATGCAGCCTGGGAATCTGAGAGGAATTTATGATTGATTGAGATCCTAAGTTATCATTAGTCCAGAAACTTGCCATGTATAACGCAAATAGCGGGTACGATTTCCTCAATGAACCTGAAGAAGGAATATCTGTCCTGAATTGATACCATGTAACGTCGAGCTTAAAAATGAATCAAAAGTTCGAGTAAATCGTTAAACGTTGTATGTCCTATTTGCATCCCCTAAGCATTGCATTGATGTTTATTCCTGGTCCGGTTAGCTTTGCGTCTCAGAAATAAAGAGGTCCACTATGCTTAAAGAGCTAAGCTGTCCACCAGGGTACTGTAGATCTAAGGGTTCCCCGTGTAATGGGGCAGGCTGTGATAAAGCATCTCTGCAGGATGTCCGAGATGAACTGATTCGAGTGTTGAGAACTTCCGCTGTAGAAACTGAATAGAACCAGTAAGGATGTCAGTCAAACTCTGCGGCTACTAGATGATTGTAGAGCGTCCAGTCACACTTCAATAAAGAGTGTGGCAAAGCTAACCCGGTCCCCTGAAAAGTGGTTATTGGAGGAAGAAGTTCCAGGAATTCTCGTTATCAGTGTGTTCTCGTAGTCAGAGTTGAAATCCCTAATTTTGTCTTATCACGAGCCTGTGTCTAGCGTGTGTCAGCCCTTACGCATTAGCTGTCTTAACTGAAAAGACCTGAAAAGTGGTTACTGGAGGGAGGAAGTGCCAAGACTACTCATTATCAGTGTGTCCTTGTAGTCAGGATGAGCGAATTGGAATCCCTAGCTCTGTGGTGGGTGACTTCGATGGGACCTGAAAGCTGAAAGAGAATTTCCTGGCGATTTAATAGCTCTTAGAGCTAGGTATCTGTGTCTAACGTATCGTCATTTGTGTGTGTACTATCTTGTAACCTGATATCTGAAAGAGAAATTTCCTGGTGCTTGGTAGCTGTTATTGTTGACTTCCTGGTTCCCATGGGAACTTTGAGTTGGCAAGTCCCAACCTTAGTACTCAACAAGAGAGCACACCACCCGTTAGTGCCAACCAGGCCACACCACGTGGAGGTTCGGAGAGGATTTCGTGACCCACAAATTTGATGGTATTCAAATAATGGTTTAATTTTAAAATACTTTTCAAATTTTACAGATTACATATACAGCAATGAACTTTTTTTTAAATGAATAAACGTACTGATAATGTAACATCTGTAAAATTTGATGGTGCATCATCAGTTCGTTGAATCTCCGAAGGACTCATTTTTATTAATCATAATATCTTCAGGGAGAAAAGGAAGTTAACAATGATTGCCAGAAATGTCCAGCGGGAGACTATCAAGACCTGACAGGGCAAACTTCTTGCAAAACTTGTGAAGAGAACCAATTCTCAGCAGAAGGTGGCTATCTATTTAAATTTTATGTATTTTAAATGGTTATATGTTATACTTTTTCAATTCAAGAATACAACATACTTTATGTGTGCCGGTATACGCTTACAATCTATAATATTCTACTGTCAGCTGGGCAGACGCAGTGTGAGAAGTGTCCAGATAACACATTTTCTGAAGAAAAGGCTGATCAGTGCGTGGATTGTCCAACAGAAACTGAAACTAGTATCAGGGACAGTATGGAAAACAGGAACTTCGGGGAACTCCTTATTCAAAAATGCATAGGTATTTACCTTTTATAATATTTATACTTTTAATTTGGTTCCTGCTATTTGAAATAAGTTGATTTTCCTCTGAAAATCTTCTTCCTGTAAATACAGTCGCCAGAGTTATATTCTAGATCAGCAATTTTACAGGAAACCGATTTCAAGCCACTCCTTTAATACACTTCTTTTGTACTATCATATTTATCTCTTGCGCAGACGATAACGAAGAAAGTAATGAAGGAGAAGGGGAGAAGAAGACGGACATGATTGTCGAGACTGTTACAATAGAAGTGCATCTAGAGATATTGCGACCTGGTTATTTATATTATCACTCTTTCCAGTTTGGATGAATTAAATAATGACACCTATTATAAGATGATTATTCATTTTTAGATAATAACTGATTATTAGTTATTACTACCGCCTATAATTAATTTCCGTCAAAGCAACTAGTACGGCCGATGAATGGTTGCATCATGAGGGAAATTGAAGTTGTTCGTTTCATTTCGGATTGGAACCGTTATTGTTGAAACTTCAAACTGTGCAATGACACCAAAGGTTGCCACTTTCCATGTAAAAAACTGTACTGAATGACCATCACGTGACCCGGTGTATAAGTGCAGCAGTTATTGCTGACGTTATGTCATGATAAACTGTATTCTAGTATTTTAGTATTATCGTTCATGTGTGACCTTCAATGATCTATTTGACATATTATCATCTATACGAGTGATTCAATGCTATTTACAGATTTCAAATATAATTTGAATTTAAAGATTTTGATTTTTGTGTTTTGTAGTGTAGGAAGCATAATATCACAAAAAGAACACAAACTATAGAATATAAGAAAGTGTTAATCTGTGACCATTAGTGACCAGATTTCCTCAAACGTACCTCCTTGAGACCAGCGACACTGGCTCCCGACAGCATTCGTTTTCTGTGAAAGTTTGGAGGTCCCACAAAGCTCCTGTTTCTGATGAGCAAGTGAGAATGTATCTGCCACCCTCGTGGTGTTTTAGGGAAGTAACAACAGTTTTCTGGAGACTCAAATCTCCAACAACCTCGTGTGAACCTGATTTAATAAATTAAAATAAAAACATTTGTTGTATGATTAAAAAAGTAGAGACACATTCATAGATATCCATTCGACCAATATTTTTCATTGCTAACACTAATGTGTTAGTTTCAGCAAATTTTCGGCACCAAAGTTGTAACTCACCAGAGTCAATCACTTTAACAGAGCAGTCAGCATAGGCAACAACAACGAAGTTCAGAGTTGGAAAGTCTATAGCAGTACAGTACTTTGTTCCTTTATGTAGCAACGTGTACCTGTTCAAAATGTTCTGATAACAATATGATGTTATGTTTGATATAATGTGTGTGTAACTTCTCATGCTCAGTATTAGAAATATTTGCTGGAAATCATATAACCTAAACAATAACTATGACAGTTATATTATATCAGATTGAATAATTTAGAATGACACTAAAACGAATTGGCACTTCTCAAAAAACAACAATGTCTCATAAATAAATTGAGCAAGCAATGATACTTAATTATTAAATTAACCTGTTTTTGTGAAGATCCAGAATGTACAAGTGACCAAGTTGGTCTGCGATCACAATCTGCTCACCACAAGGACTGAAGGAGCACTTCACAAATTTGCCCTGTCTGTCACTGACTGCCATGTTACAAACTTCGATAAAACAACTGAAAATTTGCTATTCTTACATCAAATCTCAACCAATGGAAATTGTAAATTATTGGATCAATTGGATAACCCTTGACAGGCTAAACCCATTGCATTATAACCTAGCAATTGCATATGCATATGCAACCTCTTAGTTTTGTATTGAGATAGGATTATAAATACTGGTAATTACTCAAATACTTACCCATGCTTATCTGGATTTGGTTTTCGTGTCCAAAGGTTACCAGAAATCTTCCCTTTGCCAACTTTTACTTTTTGCATTATTTTTTCTGTCAAGTTTTTATAGTTTATTTGGGGTAGCTGGTGTTATTATCATTTTCTAGCAAAAAAGAAGTTATCACAAAAACAGTTTAATTAGTATCTTGAGAGAGTGATAAGTACTGAAAAATATAATAAATGTTTTCGCAAACTCATTGAAGAGGGAAGAGATCTCAAATTGTACAATTATAAATTGTACAATTATAAATTGTACAATTATAAATTGTACAGTCAATTAAACAAAATCAAACAAAAATTTCGATTAATTATTTGCCATTTATTTATATCAAAACGATTCCATTTGCATTTAGATTGCCATGATTTAGATTGTCACTTTTAAACTAATGTAGGTTGATGAGGCAGAGGGTGCAGGTGTGCGTGCTATGATTTTTAAATGTTTTAAAGAGAGGCTAGACCTAGATGGTCCATGAGAGGATAGCATGAGGATACTCTGCCTGCCTCTATCTCTGGGGCATGGTAACCCTGAAAGCAGGATATTTTTTTCTGATGTGATTGAGTGTAGTGTTAAGATTTTGGATGATGGTAACGTGCTTGGTCCCAGTGTCATTTAAGGCGCAGTTTATATCTATACATAATATATAATATATATATAACTCTAAAACTCTGGTCACAAGAGCAACTGCCTAAACGTGCAGAAGTGAAAACGAATACATGAAATACTAGCAATTAAGCAATCCTTTAAATTTGCAATAAATAAATTCGTTCAATGTCATAAAATTCTTAAAACCACATATACGTGACCAGTAAATAATTTAATTGGTCTATAGACTACTGTATAAAATTCTCAATATAAACTTTTTTAACAATAATTAATTAATTAAAAACACACAACAACCTTTGGTGTGTAAGAATGATTAAACAACCTCTTTTTGACACAAAATATCTTTCATAATATTATGGTATATGCTATAATATTAAAACTGTTTAGTTGAGTTCAGGTAACAGAATTTAACTGTAATAGCACCTCTGTTGTGTTATCCATAGTTGAGATATAGCCATATTTTCGTCCGTTCTAACATTGAACCCGGCTCATGAAATATATGCTTCGTCCGGTCTAACATTGAACCCGGCTCACTAATCATAGGGGTGGTGTAGTATAAGAAAACAACAATTTCAAGAAAGAAATTGGAATATGATAAACTTTTGACAGTTTTACCTTTATTCGAAGGAATTCTTCTGCATCCTTTGTTATTTCAAGTGCCAAATCAAAGGACTCGCGAAGTCTGCTCTATGATATCAACATTGAATTCCCACCATAGCCGTGGTTTACGATGTTGTGGAAAGGGTGTCTTTCAAGAAGCTCACTCATTTTTTTCCTTTTATTTGCTTGTACATCAGGACAGTCGATAAGCAGGTGAAGTGAATTTTGCGCACCTCGCCTTCACAGAAAGCAGACTTCTTAATTTTGTGTATCTATTCAGGATAAATGTTCAATACATGCATCGTGAGCCGGTTCACTCTTCAATAAAACTGTAAACAGGTGATACTCGTAATATATCTGTTCCACTCGGCGCGCGTCCTGGTCAGTGGCGTAACGTTGCCTGTTGGCGCCCCCCTGCCGAAAAAAGCGCCCCCCTGTTGGCGCCCCCTCCCCTTTTGGTGCCCCTCCCTAAAATTGAACAAATTAGGTGATTTTAAAGAATACTCCGGTAAAATCTCTAAAAAGTGTGTATCTAGAGCAAAACTCGCAGTTTTGCTAGTACTTTAGTTAAGTTTTCGAAATTGTCCCACATTCAAACGACGATTTGGCGCCCCCCTAAGACGGCGCCCCTCTGCACAGCGGGGTCAGCAGGGCCTCTCGTTACGCCACTGGTCCTGGTAGGTTGTAAACCTACAATAAAACTGTAGTCCCTACCAAATTTACTGCCACAGGAAGATCAATCCATGAAATTCTCTCTATCAATGTACAATACACAGCCTATTTCCCACTCATGTATATACAGCCTACAGGGTGGGCCAAAAGTCAGTGGACATACGTTGGCCTTAATAGTTCAGTCACTGAGTGCCCAATTGAAATAATTTTTTCTGGTATGACTTACTACCACCACTGGTTCGGGGACTTTGTCAAATCGAAAAATATTGCAGTTAATTTTTTTCAAATGAAGGTTAATTTTTTTCAAATGAAGGTTCATTTTCGCTTTCATTTGATAGTTTGGATAGTCGGATTGAGCTAAATTTTTGTTGAATTGTGTTTGGCCATTCGAATTACGTTTGTCCTAAAAAAAATTAGAACTTTAGCTTTTCAGATGACAGAGATATGAAGCAGAACGAGTTTAATCATTACATGTGATCAGGTGATTGGTTTACCTAATCATTGTAGCGCGATGCACTACTGGGTCGCGCGCGCATCAAATAATGCTTCTCGCAACCACGGTAGATCGGCGAGATGCACCACTGTGCCTCACCGAGCTGCGAAGGATTGACATCGTGAATCAAACCTAATCACAAATCACGTGATTAGTTGACCCCGTTAACCACATCATTAAACATTATGGGAGTTGTTAAGGGTGCCCAATTAAGTTGACCATCGTTATTGGTTTGGTCCGGCGCGCGCTACTTCGTAGAAAGCGGCGCGAGAAGAAAGCGGCGCGCGCTACTTCGAAGAAATTTAGACGAGTTACGTCTTAATTGACGATGTCAATTCATGGCAGCTCGGCGCGGCACAGTAGCGCATCTCGCCGATCTAGCCAGCACAGTAACGCATCGCGCTACAAAGTAACGTACGTCAAACAATTATGGGGTCGTGTCACGGTGTCACATATTGGATGTACTTTAAGTAAAAATATCGTGCGCGCCTAAATTTAAAATTTTGAACGAGTTTTACTATAATTTGAGTTTTTGATACATGACGATAATAATGATTTGATTTGAAACTTTTACAAATAGTACATTATACAATACAGCAAAGAGAATTAAAAATATACGACATTATTATCATGAGGCATTTGTAGGGTAAAAGTTGTAGTCCATATTGTATAAATACTAAAAGCATGGTTAAGTGGTACAAGTTCTGGGGGTATACGTATTACAAGTAATAGTTCTACTCCCAGACTCACTAACACCACCTCCATCTAAACACACAAAATGTATCTAAAACACGCAAATTTAGAATTATCAAAATAAATACATAATGTATCCATGACCTGACTCATAATGCGCCAAAAATTGCGCGCGTATCATCACACAGCAATTAAAAGCAGGATTACAGTCGGATATAAAGTTCGCGTAATCCAGTTAAGTATATTAACTGTGGACTGCACCAGGGTCAAATCATGGTGACAGAACGTAAATGTTATTTAATATTATTTAATAGATTTCTTTTTATATTATAGTTGTTATATTCAGTATCGTGACCGATCTATCAGTGGCGGGGGCCCACATATAAATATCATTTGCACTCATTAACTTAGTCAGGGTCTGTCAATTTGTCCCAAAAGTGTTTTGCCAGGTTTGCCTTAAAAGTTCCGGCATCACTTATCTCTTTAAGGTCAGTTGGTAGATCATTCCAGACACTGTGTGTTCTGAAGAAGAAGCTTCTCTTAAAGGAGTGAGCTTTTGCTTCCACAGTACACTTCAGGGAAAGGTGGTCGTGTCTGTTCTGTCGCCTCTGGTTGATATCAGGCATTTGAGATGTATCAACTTCATTATATCTCGAGGGTTGCCTTATGTTTGAACGCAACCTACCCTGTTCACTGGTTGTTATCGGGGTTAAATAAGGTGGGAGCTTCAGAACAGATTGACCATTGTATATCTGATGGAATAATAGTAAGTCTGTGTATTCAAACTTCAGCTCCATTGGCAACATGTCTAGCTCTCTTAATCGAGCCAAGTATTCTAAGTCATTATAGTGATGATCCTGTTCGCCAAGGATCCACTTAACTGCTCTGCGCTGAATGTTTTCAACTTTGTTATTCAAGACAACTCTTGTTGGTCTCCAGACAACACTGCAATTTTCGAAAAGGCTCCTAACCAGCGCTAGATAGAATGCCCGTTTTTGTTTACGGTCGTTAATAAACCGTAGAGTTCTTTTCATTAGACCTAGACGAGAACTAGCTTTCGTACAAAGGTTGACTATGTTCTCCTCCCACTTAAGGTCAGTTCTAACAAAGACCCCAAGGTCTTTTTCACTCTGAACGAAGTCTAGTGCCGTTCCATCTAGGGTGTAGACAAAGAGCTGAAAGGGGAAAAAACTCAAAATTCCTTTTTCGCTCAATTTGCTTGATATAGAGAGTACCTTACATTTATTGGGATGAAACTTCATTTTGTTTCTTACTGCCCAGCAATGCAGGGCATCTATATCTGCTTGTAGGATCTCATGGTCCCTCCAGCCCACAATTTTACGCCATATTTTGGTGTCATCAGCGTACAGGGCAATTTTTGTACCTTCACTTACGCATTTTGACATGTCATTAATAAAGAGTACAAAGTATAATAAAAATAATATTTCTAAATACTTTTTAGGCAATTTGGTAGCAAGAAAAGTTATTTGATGCGCGGCGTGACCTATAAGTGCAGTGCTATTATTACGCGCCGGGGTGTAATAGTTTATACATTATAGCAAATTTCTAATGGACTAAATTATTGGTAATTGATATATTCACAGGAGGACGATAGTGCAAAGAAACTGCTGCTAACTGCTGCTCACTGTACTGCTCACTGCAGCAGCAGTCGACGGTCCTGATATATGGAACAAATATTTTACGAGTATCACTCGTTAAGCGCCGAGTTGGACTCGTCGACGGTCCTGGAACAAATATTTAACGAGTATCACCCGTTAATCTTTGCACTATAGTCCTTTTGTGTATTGGTTAAAACAAAATTAAGACCAGATAGCTGTTCAGTGTTCATTTTGAACAAACCCGATCCATATTCAGTCAAACCACTAGTTACTTTAAAAGTTCACATAGCCATACTGTATACGCGTACTGCGTACTGCGGTCGCGCGCTACTGCAAGCGAGAGGGCTCTGGTTAGTGGTTAGAGCAACTTTAAAAGCTTCAATAAGGTCCCCACGTATTCGCCAGTCTACGATATCCAGAAACTCTACGATACAGTTCCACTTTAGTGAAACGACAATAACAAACGTTTCACAGGGCCTGGCATGCATTTACCTGGGGACCTCAGGCTACTATTTAATTGACGATTTCAATTCATGGCAGCTCAGCGCGGCACAGTAGTTAACGGGTGATACTCGTAAAATATCTGTTCCATATATATATTCTATATATATACCGTCGACGAGTCCAACTCGGCGCGCGTCCTGGTAGGTTGTAAACCTACAACACAGTAGCGCATCTCGCCGATCTCGCTGTGAGAAGCCTCATTGAGTGCGCGGCGCGGCACAGTTACGCATCGCACTACAAGCTATTATGTTCATAAATAGAGATTCGGCGGAATGACAGGCTGAGCGCGGCCCAGTAAGGCATGCATATGTGTGCTGTAAGCTAAGAGAACACAAAGTGCAAACAATTTCATATTGTGTAACCACCCTTGCCACTGCGCTTTTTATTAAATCAATTAATTGACGATGTCAATTCATCTCAGCTCTGCGCGGCACCGTAGCGCATTTCGCCGATCTAGTGAGAAGCCTCATTGAGTGCGCGGCGCGGCACATTTACGCATCGCGCTACAATTAAATCAATAAATCTTTTTTGGGACCAAATATATAAATAAGAATGCAAATAAGCAATGACCTTGGTAGCTCCATCACCTCAGTACGATTTTAAATGAGTTATAAGTATTTTCCGAGTCCCTTGTGGTCTGGTTTTGGTATTTTGTTTTGGAGTTTGCCGATTGGTGATTTTTTATTTTGATTTTGAAAGTTGATAGCATATTAGTAAATTACTGTAATTCCGCCGAATCTCTATTTGGCGGAATAATGTTTATGAACAGGTAAAGTAGCAACCTGATCAACACTCCTAAACCCTAAAAGGTCATGGAGTGCTTGTTGGATTGGGGTCTAAACTGCTTTTTGTTGTGATGTGAATTTGTTATATATTATTTTAAAGGGTTTTTATTTTTACCTCAGTTTTTAAAATTTGTACCATTTTTAAAGAATTTTTATATAGGGTCATTGCTATATTATGTTATATAGCAAAATTGTTGCCAGGCTCACATTTTAAAAGGTTAATAACAGTTTTAAAGTGCTGTGAATATATTCTAGCATAATAGGATACAAAGATACAAAAGTGATAATTACTTTATTGAAGACTAAAATTGTTGTAAACCAAATTTATTGAGACTAAATTTTTCGGCGACTAATTTAAAAGCAGACCAACATTTCAGTAGAGCATATATGACATGAATAATATTTAGCTTACATCACAGTGCTGGCAAGCATGACCGTTGCCCTTATACCTCCTTATACCTCCTATGTATAATTATACCCCTTTATTGTTTTTGCATGCATTAAGACTCATCGAAAGTCGTTCAGCAGGATTATTTTAAGTTCAAAATTAATTAATTAATTAAAATTGAAATTTAAAAACACCACTATTAAGCGTACACTTTTACTCAGCAGTGTCACTACAACTAGTTTACAAAAATACTTTTAAAACTATATATCAAAAGCAAAATAAAGTTCTATGTATAAATTCGTTCATAAAACTTCCAAAAAGCTAATATAATTTGATAAGTCAAAGAGAGGGTTAAAATTATTAATAAAACATTTTTGCTACCTCAGTGTCAGATAAAGTAAACAAATAAGTCTTCAGTGCGGACTTAAACGCCTCAACAGAATAACATTGTTTAACTGAGTCTGGTAGTGCATTAAAAACTCGTGGACCAACCACACTAAAACTACGATCACCAAAACCCTTGGTTGAACGATAAGGGACTATGAGCCTAACAGTGTGTCCATGGTGAGCATACTTAAACATATCTTGAAGGTACAGTGGCGCTATTCCATTAATAGCCTTAAAAGATAGGAGACATATTTTAAAAATCACTCTTTTAGGTATATTAAGCCAGTGCAATTTATCAAGATCGTCGCCTAGGTGATCAAATTTATATTTTCCAGTTACTGCTTTTGCACAGGCATTTTGAATAAGCTGTAGTTGATGTATGAGGTACTTGGAGATGCCGTAAAACATGGCGTTACAAAACATTCTAATTCAATGTCAAAGTTGAGAGGAATAAAAATAGTTGTGTGGAGGTTTTTAAGAAATTTGCGCAAAATATGCGCCAGCACTTATACGAAATTCGGTAAAAAACTCAAAATCGCCATATTCAGGTGCCCTAAAAACCATGTTAAAAGGAGCTTAGTGCTTATTGAGTAGCCTCCGAATTGAGTAGCCTCCGAATTCCGAAAAGTTTTAGAATTAAAGAAATAAGCCACTACTGACATGAAAGGTAAATTCTGAACATTTTTTACCGGTTAAGTGTCTCATATACCCCATTAGGGTCTTGTATGCACTTGTATCATATTGAGATGATACAGCTTGATATCTTACTATATATAAAGCGAGACGATATATATGTGTTTATCCATGCCATTTTACTGACACCACGGCATCAACTTTAACGCGACTTTCTGCAAAAGCCGTAAAAGATATACAACTGAAACTTTTTCTACGGTGTCAAATACTTTAATGGCCTCCAAATCTGTATGAAAAAAAATAAAAAATCGGCCAAAAAATAGGAATTTTAGAGCCCAAAATTTGGAACCCCAAGTGGTGTCAAAAACGCGAATTAAATAGGTAATAATTATTTTAGTCTCTTGAGTCTTGACACCATTTTAGGGTTATACGGGTTCCTGCTAGTGAACTTAAATTACCACCAAATGTTGTTTTAGATAAGCTGTGATGAATCACGCTTCTTGCACATAACGAGGTAATCGAATAAGTAGTTCGGGGGGGGGGGGGGGGGGGGGGGGTGAGACTATTGTAATAAACAGGGGCATTGAGTAAATTCCCCTGAACTAAAGGTTACAATGGTAGGCAAATTGCTGTTACAATTTAATAATGTTGGGGAATAGATATCTGTGTTTACCTTTACAATTAATTAACGACACATACTCCCCAGTAGTGTAATGGTAACATGGCAGGAAATGGAGCAGCCACCTACACCTTACTTTCAAGTAAGTATTCTGCTTTTTATTTCTATTAGAAGTAATTATTGATATGATTTAGTTGCGCCCTGTAATTTATTTTTTTATTTTCATTCGATGATTCTTCCATGACAATTTCCGATCTTTTTCTTATGAGACAAGTTGATAACAATGTGATGATAAAGGGAAGGCGAGGTTACTGAGTTCAACGTCTGAGCGTCCGGAAATCAGATTGTTTGTTCTATGTAAACAATCTTATCACAAATTTTCTTCTAAGAGTAATCACGCACTATAATAATTTAATAATTATAATAAAATGAATATACTATAGTGAATATAATAATATTTAAAACACTAATAATCTATACTGTATTTTAAACTTGACGAAATCCCCCCAGCAATGGGGGCATTAAAAAAGCACTGAAAATCGACCAAAAACCGACCCTCTGACTCGAACAATTTCAGCTCGCAAATGGAGTTGAAACCTCGCGATTTTTAGCAGGGTTGTAAAAAAAGGATAGGAATAGGAGATAGAATTCGTAGAATTTTTATTAAGGCTTTCGATTTTCTATAATTAACGTCGGAACTGAGGTAAAATAAACGTTAGAATAATGGCGTAATTTAATCAAAGGTTACGTCTGCGTCGTTGCTTAGCAACATCAAGAGATTGCACGTGCGCGAGCAAGAACAGATTAGCAATGCGCGTTGCCATGCTTTATACTGATACTTGATATGTCATAACTAGCTCACATTATCATCATCGTAGTTACATTTTAAATGTTTCTAAAGTTCACGTTTATCATTTATGGAAAGATCTAATTATCATCTGTCGTGGGGTGAGCGTCGTTGACGTTCAGCTAAGGATCATGAGTGGTCTATGCAGCCCCCGGTCTACTCAGCCGAATACTCGAGAAATGGGGTGTGAGGGTTAAATGAGGAGCTGCACATTGCAGCAAAGTCTCGGGCGAAGAAAGTATGGTACACACTACCTTAACCGTCACTGGCTAAAAACAAATCCTTCGGCTTCCTGTAATTGGCTGGTTGCACTTGTGTAACAATGTGGCTGTTGGAATACTCCGAAGTAAAATAAGTGTCTTAATAAAAAAACCTAAAAATATAAACCAGAAACTGAAGTGAACAGTAGTACGACCTTCATGTTGCTGGACTAGTGATATTGACTATAACACTGTAAGAATAGTCAGCTAATCCTAATTTGGTAGCACTGTAATCAAATCACTGTGGCCCAGCTTACTGTATTCACATGTAAGACTAGGGCTAACATACACTGCTGTATCAGAGTACCGGTATTAAGACTCATTCAGGACCTACTGCCCCGTATGTCACGTCATCGGCTTTGTTCAGATCCTGCAATTCATCAACCTACATGTCAGCCTACATAATATAGTAATCATATTTCATCTCTCCAGATATTTTATGAATAGTTCATCGGATAGTATGTTATTTTTATCGGACAGTACGTTATCTTTCATTTTACTCGGTTCTTTCTTCGTGACGACTATTTACGAGCAGTCGCTAGTGCTTGATATACTTGTCAATTCACAGGATATATGTTGCATGAATACGTTAGAAGTAGCAATGTAATATTGAAGTTTGATTTGTGCTCAGTTGGTTGTGAGTTTTAAGAGATCTTACCGAGTTGACTTTTTGCTGCATTTCAATGTTGTATTTCGAAAAATGGTTTAGATTTATTAAAACTATAGCATAGTTTCAGTTCTGATAAGATTGTAGTGACGGAGAAATTATTATCTAACTTTTTATTCCTTATTTATTTCGTCGTATCATTTCGTTCAGCAGACTAGCTGCAATTGGAATTAACTAACTTTCAACAATCTACTCGGATTAGATCCTGCAATTATGTCATTTTAATTTTCTCATTCTAATTATGTGCATAAATTATGAACTGATATAGAAATGCATAACCTTGATATTTCCATACTAAGTCTCGCTTTACTTGTATAACTTAATTTTAATGTCGAAGCGTGTAATAAATAATAATATTAAATGCTACAATTAGCATCCTATATCTCAGGCAGGTATATTTCATTACTCCAGAGAATAGATTAACTTTATCGGAAATCGGAATGCTGTACGTTATCTTTCATTTTACTCGGTTCTTTCTTCGTGACGACTATTTACGAGCCTTCGCTAGTGCTTGATATACTTGTCAATTCACAGGATATATGTTGCATGAATACGTTAGAAGAAGCAATGTAATATTGAAGTTTGAGTTGTGCTCAGTTGGTTGTGTCCAGTGCAATATTTGTGTAGAGATTATATGACTTTTTGCTGCATTTCAATATTTTTGATAAAATGCGATAGTTCTAATAAATCTAATTTTGTAAATAAAGTGTATTTCTGTGATAGTTAAAATCGGCAGCCACAATAAAATGTCTTTTTGTCTTCCGTTCTAATTTCGCTCTGTCATTTCTTATCATACCCAAACAAGTATTTCACATTCCGAGGATATTTCACAAAAAATGGCTGATATGTGATTACATGAACAAACTACTGGGTTGAATTATTGGACGATCGTTTATTAGCTGCATATTATATGTTTAAAGTAAATTAATTCCAATTGCAGCTAGTCTGCTGAACGAAATGATACGACGAAATAAATAAGGAATAAAAAGTTAGATAATACTATCCCCGTCACTACAATCTTATCAGAACTGAAACATTTAAAATAAATACATATCAGGCAAAAATCAATATTTGTTAAAATGTTTCAATGGAAAATCTAAAATTTTATCAGAGTGCAGGTATTAAGACTCATTTATCGGCAATCTTAGTTTTGAGTTAGGGCTTAGGTTGACAAATAAAATTGCAACGTAGGTACAGGAACGGCCGCACTTCAAGTCAATGTGATAGGTTACTAGGTTAATCTACTCATCCGAAAGATAGAGCCAACCGTACCAGATAGTTTGGATTTAGAAATCTGGCCCAAATATGTTTTTATTCAAACTCAATAGTCTGTCCTTCATTTTGGTAAACAAATAGTAGAAAGTATCATAATTTCGTAATTACTGTTTAGTTGCCTTGAAACATGTCAATTAATTTCTCTACCTCTGGGGTAATGTCAGATGATAGCTTAATATTATACTAAATAACAAATCTCAGGTCCCAGTCCGACTGGATCAGATGACAGAGAGAGCTGCGAACTTAAGTTACCCATGTTCTCCGTCCATCTCATCAGATCAGATGATAATTTGGTGAGTAATTTAATTATAAAGGACTAATAGGAAGATCTCATTAGAGCGTGAATTTAACTAGGGTAAATGCAGAAATTTCAAAATTTGTCTTAAAATTACTTGTATTGTTAAAGGTTACCGTAAAATTGAGTTAAATTGAATGAAACACGATGATCGTAGAGAAGTGTGCATTTTTTCTTTTAAATTAGATCTCGTTTTAGGGAATAACAATGATAGAAACAATGCTTGGAATTTAGAATGGTATGTTGTAGCGGAGGTGGAGCTTTCTCGGTTACATTTAATTACTGTCATGTGTAGGAATTTATCGTATAAATAAGATCATTGCTGGATTGCAATCTAACAGTAACTTCAGAGCTTTAGAAAACAGCAAACATTTGGAAGAACAATTTTTACCTGGTATTCTTAATTTGACAGCAGGTTTTAATATTTGTTCGATGCAACCCCTTCCATAACTTGTTACATACGAAATTATTGTGGACCACTGTTTGAAGTATTTTTAAAGAGTATGCACTATGCAGTACATCTTGATTGTATAAACACTCAAGATGTACTGCAGTACCTGTACATCATGAAATTTCAGCTGTGTTCAAAGGTAGACAATCACACACTGTTACACTGTTACACTGCTGTAGCTGTGTGTACAAATAGCTTCACTATCCACTTACACAGAAATGAGCTCATAGAAATATGAACTGGGCTAAGATGCAATAATAACAGGTGAAGTTGTTCTGTAAAGATTTGATTTACGATCAGAATTTACGACCTTAAATTGAATTGTAATTCGATTTTTGAAAACCTTACAAGTCAGCAACCCCTGTGCCCTTTTATAACAGCTTAATTTCTTCAAAATTGATCTGACCATCAGTGTCAAAAATTTCTTTTCTGCTCGTACGTACATGATAAATTTAATGCGAATGGAAATGAACATATTATCTTAAAATGAAATGAAATAATGTGCTTGTTTACCGCCCATATGGTTAGCAACTGACACGAGTGTCAGGTACTAACCATTTCAGAGCGGTTCTAAAGGGTGAGGTGAAACATTCAGCAACAAACAACTGAATCATCTCAAAAACAAATCTATTCAGAAAATATCGCTTTAATTATATCATATAGTAATCTTAGGAAGTTTTCAAACACATACGTGAAAAATAAAATATTAACATATATCCCACGAAATTCACGGGTTTTTTTCCGTTTGGAATAAACTAATTACAACACTACAAATCTATTACATTTATTGAGAATTATGTAATGTAACGTGATTGAAATATTTTAAACGGGCATATCCTGTCCAAACCCAGGATGCACTACATGAAGAATTCGTTGTACCTTTGTTTGAAAAGCATTAGTACTTGCCCATGTAGATATAGAATTTCTCATTAATTAAGAATACCGTTCCGATTGCTGAAATGGGAGGAATATACAAATGTATTTTGAATTTATCATAAAATATTATTGCATTCAATCGAAATGATATTTATGTGGTTATTACATCATACATGTACTGATTACGTTTAAGCTTATAATCATTGCACTGAATTGCCAAGTTCCTGTGGTGTGGTCTGTGAATCAAGTTTTAAAACATTAACATAAGATAAGATTGTAATTAATTATTATAACAATACAGATAATATGACACCGAAGAGCAAATCACTTTTAGGTTTAACTTTATGATTGTAATTATAATAACACCACCATTGCTTTTAACACTTTTGTCTACACAATTACATATATTATATTGTATACACAATAATATATATTATCTTTATTATCTATCTTTAAAGATCATTTACTTATATAAAGTAATATTGTGTTTATTACAAGGATGTCACCGAGTTAAATATCATGTCAATTTCGGGTGGATAAATTTGACCAAAATTGATCAAATTCGGTCAAATATGAACAGCAACCAATTTAACACGTACACCCGTTCACCAAGTGTAACACGACTCTACTAAGCGAGTGGGTCTCATTGGGAAGAAACTTTAAACAAGTAATTAGCGGACTGATAAGAGAGGTGATGAATTATTCAGGAAATTTGTTAAAATGCCAACGATCGTGTCGAGAGTATTTTTGACGTACATCGATGATTTTATCGTTTATAGGGAAAATTTAAAATTTATAAGAAGAACAAATTTAGTTTAATCCCTATATACTCCCTGCTTGCTGAAATACCATCGGTTTAGTAAGGGCATTACAAAAATGATCTGTGAATAAATAGATGGAATCGCAAAATTAAGATGATACAACAATTAAGTGGCACAAATTATGAATCGACTTCGACTTGACTTCGACTTAAGGCAGCTTCAATGTCCAAGCAGATATAACCATTCTCCAAATTGTTGCAAAAAAACAGCAATTTTTAATTTTATTCAAATAATTAAAATATCTCGATTTGCGATCGATGACCTGATGACCTGATGACCTGATGACCTGATCAATGTCAAACCAACATTCACCATAATTTATCATATTTAATTGGCAAAGATAAGGAATGACTAATGAGTCAAGTTATAAACCTATGCAAGTCTGCACTCAAATTACTTGATTTACTTGTAGTAATTCCTTTTAAACATGTTGTACCACCTTCACAGTGAATTTGGGTGGTCTCACTTTGACTTTCCTCATATCCTCAACGACAGGATTCTATTTTGTAGCAATTGTTAATAGCACGAGATGTCATTTGTAGAAAATTAAAAAGACAATTCTTGTTGTTGAACACATAAAGGAAGATTCTTCCCGGAAGAGTCAAGACTTTTGAGATCCATGTTCAATGTTCACAGAAAAATCTCTTAGAATATAAGAATAAATAAATTTTCAAAATTGTCCAATCTTAAATCTCCTCAACTGAAATCAGATTGTATGACCTGTTAAATAAGTTCATCTGATGAAGATCTTTTCTAAACCTCACAATTCCTCCCGACGATATCTGCCGGTATGTTATTGTTTATAATTCTCTCCGGGAATTAATATATCCCGAAAAGTCGTGAACACTGGTAACTGATAATTTCCCGCAAGGGTTGCCACAGTATTATCAGGACAGACTGTACGGCATAACTGCTTTATTTTTTATAAAAGCGTTACATTATGCCCAGGGCACCTCAATTTTCCTTTATTGTTTTACAAGTTTTAAAACTTTAGCATTGGTATTAATTTGAAAGTATTACTATGGTTTATACACATACACATAATCTTTTACTTATTAAAGTGCTCGACTTTAAGCTGGTTGTCTCATCTCTCACTTTTCCTTGCAATGAGAAACTTTTTTATGGTCACGTGATCTACGTTGTTTGAGGTTTTATGATCACGTGAAAATGAGATTATGTACTATGTGACGGCTATGTGGAACAGAAAATGAAAGTTATGTTGTTGGTGTTGAATGGGGTTCACTTAAACATGTTGACTGTAATTGAGGTAACAAAATGTTCGTTCCGGTTGAAGACCAGGAATCATGAACCAGTGTCGGCTTGCATGTTTTCAGGTTCGTGGTGTTTTATAGCGATATTATACTTATATAGTTATATAGGTGTACAAAGTGTAAAGTGTATAGTTTGAAGACGAGCTGGCCCGGAGGATAATGTCAGGATTTAATTGATCATCAAAATATAATCACTCTTTCTAGTATAGCGGTAGGGGCATAAGTTTTCCAGGGGTGGTCAAAAAAATTTAGCGATAAATTTGAATTCTATCTTAAGCACTGTTCTGTAATCATCACTGTTCCGATTACTTACACTACTACGACGTCGGTTAAAATAATTTCTGGGTTTCTGGTACCTATTTCTAGTCATGAGACGGTCTACAAATTAAAATATTGAATGAATGTTCTCTTTCCTGATGTCCTGACGAGACATTAAACACTCTTCCACCCAGAACCGGAAAAAATGATAAAGCACACTATAACGTAGAGTAAACTTTTTTACATGTACGTCACTCTTTATTGTTAATGCACAATGAATATGGGGAAAGTGTTCTTCTACGGGTGTACTTATTAACAATGAGTACACCCGCATAATGAGAATTAGCTGGAGACTTTAGACTCCAAATAGTTGGTTGCTGGTTACATTATGATTAATACTAAGTTACCACTTACCATTAACCAACTTATCCATTTTTAGAATATAAACGTGAAATTAGTTTAAAATTATGTAATTATACTTATGGCATTTGCTCATTATATCCAGGACCCTAAAGGCGTAAAGATAAGAAACTCCAATCATCATACATCAGTACATCAGGTTGTTTCGTAAAATTAATATCCCTGTATAATATTTCATGACCTTTTTTCGTTTCGTGACGTGAAATTTCAGATCATCTGAGTGAGACTCTGCAAAATGACGTAATTATCTCAGCCTGAAAGACGTCAGGAAGTTCAGCACCTTGGTTTAGAGAGATGTTTACAAACATGCAGTTAAATAAACATGCGAAACGTTACACACAGTACACACATATTCACTCAGTCATAAAGACTACCCTGAGAAGCTGGCCGTATAAACTGGAGTACCATATCGCTTATATAATTTTTAGGTCGGACCTCAAAATTTAAAGCTTAGTTCAGGGATCTGGACTCAGACTTCTCACTTCTTACGTTATTTCTCCGAGTCTTAAACTTACCATTTAATTGATAACTATCAATAACCACACCCCAGAGGCAGGCAAAGAATTTATATGTTAACTGCTATCCTCTCGTGGGTCACCATGGTTTTTAAAAATGGGGTCTTGCAATACATGTAATTTCAAATTATATCACCTTCTAGGAACGCGCGAAAAGTTCTTGATAACATGAAAAGCATGAAAGCGTAATTAAAGCGCGGTTTCCGCGCGCATTTTATACACACGGTGTACTGCATGTAAATGTGACATAATTGATCTACATTATTGTATGGTTGTTAGATTAAGCTTATGCTGTCAACAAGTTTTAAAGAAAGTGCTTCAGGTCTCGACTGGTGCTAAGCGGAGTCAACTGAAACTAATTATCTTCGTGGTGTCATGTATTCTGACTTTATCCCTCGCATTTATACTGTACTTCCTTCTCGGTAAGAGTTCGTATATCAAAAACTAAGCAGCTTGACTATACTGTTAGTACTAACCAATTGGCTACTGAATTATGCTTGCTGGAAATTCTAACGATCTTTGTGTCAATTCCAACATTTAACTCAGGATTCTGGAAACCGAGATGGAAGACACTGATGACACATTCTCTGTGCCCCTTGACAGAAGCAACAGTCATTTTAGTAGAAGAAAGAAAGAAGTCCCACCCAGTGAAAGTTATGAAAATAACGCTTCCGAAGGAGGATATTAGCAATTACATCGTCGGAAAGTTGAGCCAGTACGCAGATCATAATGATGTCATTTCGGTAAGTCAATTTACATTCTTTACAATCCGTACATGCCACATATTATCTAAAGCTTGCATATTACGTAAAACTGATATGTAAAATCAAAAATATGTACTTAATATCTCGAATCTGGATCTCATTATCCTCAATTAAATGTAGGAATTTAATGTACGAATTTACTGAACGGCATTATTGAAAAAGTACACTAAGCTAGTGCTCGAGAAAACATGCTACTAATAAGCATAATTATGCTAAATAATCGTCTCAGCTGATAGAGTACAAGCTGGACAGATACGTGTTCACTGGTTCAAGTTTAGAACGAGTAAACGGTTTGGGTGATGGTGAGACTTTCGGGACTCTTCAGGAAATGGTTGAAAGTGATCATCTGGCGTTGGATACTCTGTCACAGGTAAACCAACTTACTTATCACTGTACTGATAAAATTTGGGCTGCTTGTTGTGTGATGTTTGTGGGTAGTGGGTACGTTTGGTGATGTCTTTGGGCTCTCCGCGAGTGATGTAAAAATGTGATCTTATTCCCAGATATTTGGTAGAAATGTACTGGATGTGCCCCTGAAGCCGGTTATTCACTTCGTTTTAACAGAGGTCCTTACATTCTTCTACTTCTTCCAACTCTTCAGCTGTCTTGTTTGGTGAGAGATTTTGTAGATTTAAATTATTACTGACTTTTTACACTATTTCAAGCTCATGTGATAGGTCGCCAAATTCTACAATTTTACTACTGTGTTTTGTGTTCAAATTAGGATTAAATTAACAAATTCCAACCCAGGTATAACAACCAATACGAGGTGTACGCCACTGTGATAATAGTAATGTCAGTCCTTTCTGCTACCTCCACCACCTACATTACTCGGATAGCTATCGTTAAACTCCGGAAAGCTGTTCTGTTTGAATGTGAAATAGAAGTCAAACGGAGTGGAAAAATTCAGGTTATGACTGTGAATTTTATTAATGTACGGATATGGGCAAAAAGTTTAAAGTAAAAACATTTAGCTATAAGTTGATTCTCTTTATTTCAAACCATTCTTTGCAACCTGCGAGGTGTTAAAATATATAACCTGTCAGCTATAGACTGACAGTCTCACGATTAAGGTTTCTATGCACACAATTCGTCAAATTGTCAACACCCAAAATCTGTGCTCCAACGCTCTTAATGCAGAGTTGTTTCATATTACAGAACTGACTTTGCGATTGCTATCGAATTACACAAGTAAATTTATATTTGCGTCATAGCCTTCCTGGCTCAGTTGGTTAGAGCGTCAGTCTCATAATCTGAAGGTCGTGAGTTCGAGCCTCACGGAGGGCAGTATTTTTCATGTTGTGCGCAGTGAAACATTTTATTGTTGTGTCACGGATGTCGAGTAATTAATCTCTAATTATCTGATGATTAATCTTCAACACTTAAGAGTTGGAAATATAGTAGAATATCCTCGTTTTAGACATAAAACACCTCAATATCATGAATATGATAAAACACCTCAAACGTTTAATGAACGCTTTTTCGGCGTTCTCCACGTTTAGTTGAATGACTTAGGTTTGAGTACAGAGTGCAGGTCTCTCTCAATACTTGAGTAAAAACACTATTTCAATACAGTTCACAGTTGTTGTGACAACGTGGAAGTTGGCGTGTACGCTTACAGCAACACTTTAAGTTAATATTGTTGGTTGGAATTAGGTGCCAACGTAAAAAGTAACTCATTAAATTTGTGTAAGCTATGTTATAGCCTTCCTGGCTCAGTTGGTTAGAGCGTCAGTCTCATAATCTGAAGGTCGTGAGTTCGAGCCTCACGGAGGGCAGTATTTTGGATTTCGTGCACAACGAAGTTCATATCTTCCATGCCTAATGTTTCTACGGAAAGTGTAAGCGTATTGTACAAATTAAACGAGAAGTTAGATCAGTAAGCACGTTCACAAATGAAATATAATCAAGTGTAACCCATACACTCATAACAAGCACTCTTATAGTTTAAGATTGATATTACGGATGGAATTATTGTATGTTACCTAAACCCTATTGACACCGAGCATCTTCAGGTGATAAAATCAGGTGATCTGGTGCCGGGTGATATTGTTAAAGTACCTCTCACTCAAACCAAGGTGATTTATATTCAGCATTTACAGCAATCTAAGTCAATCGTTTATGGTCTCAGAAGGACCCCATCACTTTTTTCAGCGATTCAATTTTCATGACATAAAAGATTTATTTGTTGATTACTTTTGTTTTTTAGTTGAATCAAGCTAACACGTGATACTATAACATAGGTTGGGTTTGACGGGGTTCTGTTGAGTGGTAACGTAGTGGTAGATGAAGCTATGTTGACGGGTGAAAGTGTGCCTACTCTCAAAAACCCTCTTCCCTTTGAATGGTATGTGGCATATTCTTGCAGGAGAAGCATAACTTTAAAATTCGCATTCTCAACATTCTTGCCACGCCAAAACGTCAAAAATGTCCCTACTTTTCCCGAAATATATGTTGAAGGTGCGGAGAATGATTTAATTTGCTAACCATATTGTTGATGTTTCGATGTTTACAGGGTCTATCTTGAAATTTTTTGGGTTGCAAATTGTCTCACATGTCGCGTATTTTCGAGTATCGAGACCTTGAATGTATCCGAAACTTTCCAAACATTTTAAGAATGTTGATGTTTCCCAAAAGAGTGAGTTCATTTTAGAGAAGAAAGAAAGAGAGCAGTTGATTAATAATATATATTAATAATTCTTCCGATAATAGGTTTGCAACTCTCTAATCATATCTTGAATGGACCGAATATTCGTCTCAATTTCAACTTCCTGCCAGAAATTAAATTTGAGTTTCTCTTTCCAGGTTAGAAGAGAAATACCACGCAGACAAAAATGAAGTTAACACCTTGTTTTCTGGAACCACTATTTTACAAACCAGACCCCCTCCTTCTGGACAAGACGATGCTGTGAGTTTAATTAATTAATTAGCTTGTTGTCTTGTTAATATCAATCGGCAACACTTGCTCAACTAACTTTTAATAACGGATCAGTTTCCCCAAAACTGAAGAAATAAATCAAGTACAAAAGTTAACTGTTTATTAACAACCTTAATAATAACGATATGTCCTTTACAGGTGTACTGTTTGGTTACGAGAACAGGATTCCGTTCTAAAAAGGGGGAGACAGTCAAGTTCATGTTACATCCGGACAGAACACAAAAGTTCAAGTTCTACTCTGAAGCTTGGACCTACATCAAGATTATGGCCTTTATAGGTCTAGGCGGCATGATATACCATATATACGACAGTATCAAGAACGATTATTCGGTCAATGATGCCGTACTTGGATCTCTAGATTTGGTGTGTTTCATTAATTTGCAATAAACTTGCCACAAATAGGACAAAAATTTAGCTAAGATCGAATTAAAAATAAAAAATAAAATTATCTTATTTCAATTTAAACACCAACAGGACACACGAACTTATAATCATTTTAACGTCATGCAGATAACGATAATCATAGCCCCATCCCTCCCTCTGGCTCTCAGTATTGCAGTTTTCTACGCTATCAGACGTCTGAAACAGGGCAAAATCAACGTTTCCCTGCCTAATTCCATCAACATCGCTGGAAAAGTTAAGATGACGGTGTTCGATAAAACAGGTTAATTTTTTTATAGATGCGCCACAATATTATATTAATTAAAGGACTGATATACTGATCAAATATTGATTGAGTGGATAAATAAAATATTTTCTATTACTTTTCATTCCGTGTTAGTATAGTGGTGAGTATACCCGCCTGTCACGCGGGTGACCAGGGTTCGATTCCCTGACATGGAGCTTCTTTTATGTAGCTTTGATAATTTGGTATCGGGTTACAAGTTCGTTAGTTCGAGCTCCGCTAGTGACATTTTTAAAGAGTGATCTACGAACTTTCTAAGTTTTTCCTTGTCATCACGGCCTCACGGGGTCGACTTAGCTGTTTGATCGTGAACACGTGATTGAGGGAACATGCCGAAGCGGTTTTTTTTGTAAACTTTATAATATCTATTTATGATTTACACCTTTGTTAACTTAAGTTATCCCATATATCTCAGGAACACTAACAGAAGAAGGTTTAACATTGCAATGTGTTTTGTCGGCAACAGACGGGCACATCTCGGAGGAGCTAACAATAAACGTGCCTCAACAGATGAGGCTCGCTTTGGCTTCGTGCCATACTTTGTCTATAATAGACAACAAGATTTGTGGCGATCCTATCGACATAATAGGACAACAAACTAGTGGGTCAGTATTCGCATGTTTATATTTCGAACTATCAGCTCCCTGCCAGAGCTGGTTAAAATTGTGCGATATCCGTCGAAATGAGCACACCGCATTTATTTTAGCTGTCATTAAAAATTGTTGATATTTATTGTTTATACATTTGACGCTTTTATGATTTATATTACAGCAAACGTTAACAAGCTAAATTATCGCTTCAGGTTTGAGTTCAGAGACCATGGATTTGAAGCTAATATCTTCAAAAATAAAGTGTCAGCAAGTAGTCTGGATCCTAAAACAGGCTCACGGTTAGGCCTAATCAAGACAGTACCGTTCGAATCACACCTCAAAAGAATGTCTGTGGTATGCGAAGTATCTAACGGTTCCGTGGTGGTCTTCTGTAAAGGTGAGTACAGTTCAGAGAGCTTTATTTTGAACTTTTGAAAGTTACACTTTGTTCCTCTATGCTATATAATTATACACTTTTAAAGTTTTCAATTTTACGTCAACAATCAACATGCACAGTTTCAAATGTGAACCAGAATGAAATATATTGCAAATCAAAATATTCTCGGAGATTAAGGAAGTAAATTATAATAGCATTAGAAAATCTAGAGAAGTTTCGTAATAGATTTAGCACAGTCTCTCTATCTCCTACTCATGAATCACAGAGCCAATATCAGAGGAATCGCCGGTAGAGAAGGAAACGTCAACTTCTGATGAATCCGAAATGAGCATCACGTCACCCTCGGCCCCGTCCTCTTTGTCTCATACTCCCATTCAGAGATACGGTAGTGAAGGAGGAAGTAGCTGGAGACGTTAGCCTCCTAAGTTGGAAATTGGAGCCCCCCATAGATATCAGGGCAGCTGGAGACAGCGTGGCTGGCAATATTCCAAGTAACTCTCACTGTTGGACCCTCTGTTTTATTGAAGAGGCTAACACTTTTAGTGAAGGTCTGATTGCCACAACCAGGAACATCAACAACGAAATCTTCGTCTCCTGACGAAAGATCTTGACAACACCAACACGTCCCACAACCTGGCTTTTCTCCATTGTTTCTTTTTATATATAGACCACCAGGCAATCTATTACACATGCCAGCATCGTCAGCGTTGTTGTCACTTTTCCATTTCCTGTCTTCATCATTCCAATGGTGACAAACCCAGTCTTCCTTTTCTCGATAAGAAGCGATATGAACACCACTGGTGACAGTCTGAAACAGGTTAGTACTTCCGATGTAAGTTCCATTCTGCAGAAAGAACTGCAAGTTACCTTGCAGGATCATCCCTTCGTATGCAGGCTCACTTCCCCATCTCATGTTTATGCTGGGCTGGAAGTTGTCTCCCATCTTGTAGGCTAGTTCTGAGCGGTGCCAGTGGACATCTTCAGAGGGAGTGTCAGTGAAAATGGTTTCGAACCAGCCTTCCCCGCAGGGTTGAAGGTTGCAGGTTTGGAATTCCTCGTTATCCCCCACACAGTTAGCTCCCCCATTAGTAGGGGCCGGGTTAGAGCAACTCCTGGTTCTGTTCTGAGCTCCTGTATTACACTGAGCTGCGCACTCAAACCATTCCCCATACTCACTCCGACACTCCAGCCTCCATCCACCGGACACTCTTCTGTGTTGCATTCCTGGGTCTCAGTGCTGTCTCCTTCACAGTCTGCTCCTCCTTCCTTTGGAGCGGGGTTGGTGCAAGTTCTGGATCTCGTTTTGATTCCTCCTCCGCAAACAGCTGAGCACTCAGACCAGTCTCCAAATTCACTCCATCCTCCTTCTACAGGGGTAGGAAATCCTATTGTGTGGCATGTTTGGCTCTCAGTGCTGTTTCCTTCACAGTCCGCTCCTCCTTTCCCTGGAGAAGGGTTGGTGCAAGTTCTCATTCTTACCTGGATTCCTCCTCCGCAACCAACCAAGCACTCCGACCATTCTCCAAACTGACTCCAGTCTCCGTTTGTTGCAGAGCAGGAGTAGCCACACTTCTTCAGAACTCCCTCCAGTTTACTGCACCTCTTTTTCATCTTCTTCTTCAACTTGCCGTCTCCTGATTCACAGCCCAGAGAGGACTGGAAACCTCTCTTCAAACATTTCGCACGGTACTGCTTTATCTTCTTGTTGAGACTTTTCTTTTTCAAAGGACATTCCTTTGAAGCAGCAAATACTAAAAGAGTAAGAAGGACGGCTAAGGTGGAGAAATGTTTCATGGTTCTGCCAACGATCGAATAAATTGAAATGACTCAATCGTCACTTTACTACCATGTTTATTGTAGATAATTTCTAAGTGGGTGTGGTAAACAATAAATTTGTTTATGACAGAGATAATTTGTTTATAATTGAGCCAGAGATATCCAACATGGCATCTAATCTAAAATATCCTATTAATTTGGTTAATTTCAATTTCACAGGAAAAATGGCTCTTACTATCGCGTTCCTGAACTGTAAATTATCCAATAAACCGACTTTCTACGGTCAAATAATTTGATCTTAGCGTTAACTTCGCCACTGACCAATAACTGTTCTAAACATCAGTTTAATAATGCTCTCCGCACAACTAACAGTAAATTGTGTCCCCACAATGATAACTCAGTCTCCACTCTCCACTCGTCATAACGTTTACATTAACCAATTACCACGGGTTCCACCACAGTTTTGACAGGCTAAGTAAGATGAGGCCGCGGATGGATGAGTGGTAGGAAATTTAGGGGGGGGGGGGGGGGGGGCCGGGGGGTTCACCCTGATTTTTTTTGTGAAACTTGGTTTCGAGATAGCAGTTGATCAACAAACTAGGACCGATGACCGAACTTTTGAGGGGTCCCGGACCCCAACCGCCAAACGGTGCCCGCGGGGCAGCCACGCCCATATTTGGTCCAAATTAGGCCCAATTTAGCCAAATACCCTGAACTTGCCCAAAATCCAGATTTTAGGTGCTCTACTTGTAGCTAGTAGTCCCCTGAACTCGTATATGAATTTTTATCAAGATTGGACAAAAAATGACTGAGTTATGAGCCAAAAACCATATGACCATATTTGGGCATACGCACCAAATTTGATCGATTTTGGCCTATAAATTGGTTAAATATCAATATTTTTGAATGAAACCAACTTTATATGGAAGGTAAGCCTATACTACACATTCTCTATGATTATCAGCTCAGTATCTACCTAACTGTGGATTCTGTGTTCAAATAATAGCAAAAATGAACAAAATCGCCTATATCTCAGTTCGCGATATTTGCAAAACTGATTTCGCTCAAAACAATAGAACTCAATAGGGTTTCAATATTTTTACATGAAATTTTCAGAATCAACGTAGAATCGCATTTCGACCTTAAGTTTTGGGACAGAATTTTGAGTTAGGCCTTTAAAAAAATTTGGCGGCCAAATTCCAAATTTTGCAATGCGAAATTAACGCTCTGATAACGCTCCTTTCAACAGGTGCTCCTGAGCAGATAGTACTACACTGTGATCAGAGCACAATCCCGCAAGAATTCTCCTCTAAACTGGACCACTTCTCTTCTCAAGGTAAACTGTAGATATAAGATCATTTGTTTTATGAATAATGTTACGAAAAATCTTATTAAGTATAACTATAAGTCGGTTATGTAGGTTTATAACTCAAGTTTATCACTAGGGTATCGGATACTAGCGTTTGCCAGTAAGACCCTCCCTGAGGAGTGCAATGTAAGCTCCATTCCTCGTGATGAGCTGGAATCTGGACTCACATTCCTAGGATTCCTGGTGCTGGCTAACAGACTGAAACCAGAGACTCGGGTAGTGATGGATGAGCTCAAACGTGCAGGTATTGGAATTTCTGTCTTTTGTATGAATCTGGGATGAATGCTCGGTATAGGCAGTTGAGATATTGCTATGTTTTAGGACTGATCTACTATTTATCTAGGCCTTGTATCTTGTTGTTGTATTACAGACACCGTCTATGATCACTAATTAATATGAAGTGGTCAATAATACATTTTCAATTTAAAAATCTCTACCAATGATTTTTACAAATTCAAGAAAATTATTGGAGCAAGGCCTTTTTACTGAAATGTTCTTCGAAAAGGAAAACTCATATCCAATTCTTTTAGAAAGAAACAGACCAAACTAAATAAATTTTAAAACTCGAGGCACTCTAAAATGATCCATGATTTAACATTATTGATTAATAGAAATAGTACAATAATAAGTTTAAACACGTAGTACTAGTAATAACACAAGATGAATTAGCATCGCTGATCCTTTTGTTAATCAGCATTCAGCGGTGTTCTTTTCATTAAATGAACTGTTAATTTAGAGTAGATCATCTCAAAAGAAAATATACCGCTTTACCAGTTCATTTTGCCCACAGTTCTTACTTCTTTTTTGCCTGTTCATCAGAAATACGAGATCGAGTTTCTTAAAGTCAGCTCTTTATCACTCACAAACAAGTCTTCGTCGCTCCTCTTCCTCAGAATTTGCCAGAACTTCAGTTTAGGTAAACAATCTCACAAGGGTAGCTGATATCTTCATCATCCTTGTTTTGAGGAACTCCCTAGAGCTGCTGAGAGTCAGCGTATAGATGTAGAAGTTGGACATCAAATTCAGGGACCCAGTCGCATACCCAATCCTAAAGAAGGAAACATGCCAGAAATGGGACATCTCCGTTGGGGCATCCTTCACAAAGTAGCTAACTACAGCGCAGATAGCTCCCGGTAGATTAGCGACAGTGAAGACAGCTACAGTAAGCACTAGTCATCACCCCCCTCCACTGGAGTCCTCCTGGTCCTCTAGCAGTGATCTTCTTAGCTGTGATGATAATCATGACATTGCTCACCATCACAACCACCAAACTAATGAGCACTACTAATCCCATTAAGATATAGGTGATCTTTAAGAACCAGCTGTCTTGAGATGAAGATCTGTTAAACTGACAGTTATAGGTCAGGTAGCTGAAGTAGATATCATCCATGTTTGTCAGGACAGGCAGCGCTGCTAATAGTAATACGAAACTGCAAACGAAGAGGACGAGTGATGAAATATGAGCGATCTTTGTGGAGAGGTTGACAGCTCTATACGGATATTTCAGGATCAGAAATTTGGCGAGGGACAGCGCAACAATTAGGAAAAGGAACGTGCGTCCAATACTGCAGGTAACACAATAGTCTACACGACAGAAGAGTTCACCGAACACCCATCTGTTCAGAGCTAGTGAGACTACTTCCGGCAAGACAGTGAAAATCACCATGAAGATATCAGCAAGAGCAATGTACTGAATAAATACAACCATGACTTTATGAAGATTAATCGCATTGTATCTCAAGGATCCTATCAATATTAGAGCATCACCTATAAGAGATGACGTGGCTATGGTAGAGGTGTATGCAGTTAGAAGCTGTCTTTCTGTAGGGTTGTGGATACCATACAGGCTATAGTTATCATACTTCATTCTAGCTCTGGACTTGTAGAGGAAGCACTATTGGGTTAACAAAGTGTAAAAGTAAAAGATTGAATTAACCTCAGTAAATCGCCTTACCCATGCCTATACTGAAAACTCGGAATAATTGAACAAATACGTATGATGAGTAGAACTAATAACCATGGATCTAAGAAACACGACTTGTCCATCTTCTTACACACTACATACTTTGGAACATTTGGAGGGGGTGACATCGCCATTTTCAACATTTGTAAATTTTTGGAATGGACACGGCGAAAAATGTCAATTTTTCAGGTATTTTTGCCATTTCTGCATTGAAAATATAGCCTCATCATTGTGGCCTCCAACCCACCTGACACTAATTATAATTTGTAATTTGTAAAGTTCGTAGATTCCTCTACAGGGTCATCGAATAGTTCGACCGCCCTTGTTTTACAGTACACTACATTGTAGATGTTCTGAAGGAGTATCCTAAGATTCTTGATCTTTTGGCACAGGCACCCCTCCTCATTTAACCCTCAATCAAGTTTCCTATCAATCGGCTGAGTCGACCGAGGAGATCGCATAGATCCAATGAATCCTTAGCTACTCCCTAGACTGGGTGATACTGGGATTCGAACCCTTAACCTTCTGTACAGAAGGCGGAAGCTCTAACCACTAGGCCACCCAGCCCCCTATATTTCGTTGGACATTTAAAAATAAAGCAAAAAACTATTTGAAATATTCTGAATTCTTTCTCGTTGTGTAGTACCTTGATATTTATATAATTTGAGTTTAAAATTATGTCAGACATGTACATATGTATTGAATATACTATCCTTGAATAATCCCGAGAAAGATTATATAAAATGTTAAATAATTAATGATTCTTCGATTGATGAATTTATAACTGAAGGTTCAGAACTGACTTCAGATCTGACTGTTTAGAACTGACTCGTGAGGGAGGTCCAGTGTCCACCAGCTGCTCTGTTAGCCGTTAGGCACCTGCTTTGAATTACGGTCCAAAGATAGTTAGTGCGTTGGTAGGGTGTACTCACTGGGCAGATAATTCATCGTGAGTTTAACTATTTTGAAACCCGTTATAGTTACGATCCGTGACGCTTTGTTAAGAACTACCATCTTTAGGAATTTAAACCACAGATAAAGTTGAATCCAATTTTCGGATATTTTAAGAGCCTGATACTTTAATCCAGCGTGAACAAAGTGACAGTGGAATAATCCAACTGCAATTTATAATAAATGGTGAACACCTGTACTTGGAAAGATAATCAAATATTATCATCGTAACCAGAATCAATTTCCGATACCGGTGTATGGGTCTAAAATAAGATCCACCTGTCGAGCAATGTTTTCAATGAGTTCTTAACTGTAATGTCTCTTTATTGCTTTTCAATTCTATCTCTGTGGTGTTGCTGAAAATGGTAATTTTATTTAAGCAATATCTTTAAAATTTGTACATTTTCCATTTTTTTACCTTATTCGCAATTGTTTTAAAAAAATTTTTAAATCAAATATGCAACCTACTAAAACCAATGGGGCCCTCCCCGGGGTCATTACTCTCGCATTTGCGAGAGTCGTCCCAAAGGTTTGAAAGTAGGTCAAGATTTGTTCACACCAAGCTCTAGCATCGCTATTTGTTTACCATTCACAATTGTTTTAAGATGACACATCGGCATTAACCACAATACTGATTATTCTTAAAATACAACATTATCCCGCTATATCTTTTCATGTTTACTTCTCTTAGTTGCAGCATCAAGTATCATAGAAAATGAGTTCATTACCATTACCAAAGGAATTCTCAATCTTCAGTGGAGTTATTGCCATGACCGGGACTGTAACAAATGCTCTTTCTCTGTCCTATTTTGTCACCAAAGTCGAAAAAACCTTGAGCAACCGAATATTCATAATGCTAAATGTGTCTGACCTTCTTGTTTCACTGCTTGATTTCGCCATCGCTACCTTGGGGCATTATGGAAAATATGAAGGGCCATCCTTCAGAGTTGAACTTGCCGTGATGGTCGTGTCACTTGAAAGCACAGCTTTTGCTACATGTCTTCTGAGCGTTACAAGAACCATCTCTCTGTGCTTCCCTTTTTATCAAATCCACAAGAAAGCTGTCGGAATTGCGGCACTTATATTCCTTCTCCATGAAATTTTGAGGTTCATTCTTAAGATCTACATTTACTTTATTTATGTTTCGGCACTGGATTTCTGCGAAGTCTTTGGCAATGGTCTAATGGTAGTTTTAATATCAATTGTGATCCTTGTGAGCCTTGTTTCTTCCATTTTTACAGCCAGGAAGCTTTCGAAAAATCGATACCAACTCGTCCTAGCTGCACATAATGGTAACAACCACGGTCCCCGAACCAACACCAACCAGAAAGCTACCGTCACTATCCTCATCATCTCAACTCTCTTCTGTTTCTTAAACACCATCTTCTGTATCGCCTTATATTTTGGTAACTTCGGATATCAAGTGCCGCGTACACTGCTTCCATTATACGGTGTTTCCTTGTGGCTCGCTCCAGCCATCAACTCAGCCATCAACCCGATCATCTACTTCATCAGGAAAGAAGACATGAGAAAGTACATAAAGAATTTTATTCCCAAGTTTTTTAAAATCTGTATAGGAGGACATGATTCAAATTAGACAAATCAACTGATTATTAAAGTATTAAGAAATAGAGAAAAGGAAAAGCGGACATATAAAGACTTATGCGGACACTCAGATAAGGAATATTGATCAATGGAAATCTGTTACACTTTATGATTTTATTTTGAACACACTTATGTTATAAGTTAGTCATTATAAATTAGATTTTGCTGACTGAAATTATTCATTCTAGTTTTAATGTTTCTGTGTAGTCTTTACCATTGTAACATAGCACTCATTGAGGGGACCTGATTGAGGGAACCTGTTTGAGGGGACCTGTTTGAGGGAACCTGCTTGAGCGGACCTGTTTGAGGGGACCTGTTTGAGGGACCGGTTTGAGGGGACCTGTTTGAGGGGACCTGTTTATAAAACAACATAATATTTAAGTTTATAAAACAACAACGATGATATTCGTCCACATTTTTCGTGCTCAAATATATACATGTATTGTGCCCAATGTGTTGGTGGCTGGTGCCCATACCTTGCGGAATGCGGACGTAAGGTACTAAGGTACACAATTATACGACGTATTTACATAATTATAATAACGGCTTCATTGCTGATATTTTAAATCTGTAAGTACTAAATTGAACTTTGTACAGGTTTAAGGACGGTAATGTGCACTGGAGACGCTCTACTTACAGCGGTGTGCGTGGCACGGGACTGCTCCATGATTCCTGATAACGGTACCCTCTACCTGTTGACTGCTGAACTGGGAGACAATGGCAAACTGGCCGTCAAATACACTGAGCAGGTAGGAAGATAAAATCGGACCAAAACTTTCCAATCAAACGCAAATATATAAGAAGGATCCATATTATATATACGCCCGATATTCCTGAAAGTGATCCTCTTCACACGCTGATAATCTCAGGAACATACCCCGGATGGGTTTCATATGGAGGACCTGAAAAACCTGTACTCAGGACCCTTCAGGAAGGTTCATCTGGCCATGGACGGGGCTACATTTGATCTTATATCCAAGAATGACAAATCTTTAATGGACAAAGTCTGTGTCACTGGGACAGTTTTCGCAAGGTTTGTTTTGTTCATTACTTTATAACCAGCACTTTTTCTTCAGTGAGCATTTAGCATGAAAATATTCCTCTATCAAGCTGTTCCGCCAATTTGTTGTTATCTAAGATTGTTTTAAATTGTACTTCTCAGATTTAACCCGGAACAGAAGATGAATCTGATAGATGAGCTGCAGCAGAGGAGCTACTCCATCTGTATGTGCGGAGATGGTGCTAATGATTGTGAGGCTCTACGACATGCTAACGTCGGCATTGCTCTCTCAAAATGTCAGTACATCATATATTTTATATTCATTTTTTCTCGCTATTTTTCTGAAAATACCTCACTCGAAAAAAATAATAATTACTACACAGTTCATATTATGCATTCAGATTACCCTACAACCATTGTTTCTTCACATTTGTTCCGTACAACGTACATCAAAACCTCCTTTTTTTCAGGTGAGGCGTCGTTAGCAGCCCCCTTCACAAGCTCCGTCTTCAACATAACCTGTGTGCCAGTACTTTTAAAAGAGGGACAGGCAGCCCTGGAGAACGCTATGGCTGTGTTCCGTTTCACTGCCATGTACAGTATCATTCAATACGTCTCCGTGCTCCTTCTCATCCACTACGAATCTATCCTAGGAGATTACCAGTACCTTCTAGAGGACCTTGCTATAGTCCTGCTGTTCGATTTTGCTCTCGGCTACACCAAACCCTCCAAGATATTATCTAGAGTGCGTCCACGTGGTAGTCTCATGCACCCCTTCACCGTGTTTAGTTTTATCATGCAGACAACACTAGTTGTGGGGTTTATTGTCTTTTCCATGTGGCTGGTCCAGCAGCAGGCCTGGTACGATCCCTTCCATGTCATAAGAGTTGATTACTTGGCTGAGGGTGAGCTTTATGTACCTTACTTCGAGACAACTGTCAACTTCATCCACTCCTGCTTCCAGTACATTATTATAGCCCTAGTCTTCTCCATCGGGCACCCCCACAGACGGCCGCTGTACACCAACATCCCTATGTTAGTGAGCATTGTTCTGACGGCAGGGATACTGCTGCTGGTTCTCTTCATTTCAGCGGAGAAGATTCCTCTCCTTGAGATGGCTAATATTCCCGATATTAGCTACAAACTTTTAATGCTGGGTCTGGTGGTGATGAACCTGCTGCTCTCGCTTGGTGTGGAGTACTCCTACAGGGTTATAGAGCCTCTCCAGCGGTTCCTTAAATTGCTGAGGTTTAAGAAGGGACATAAGAACAAGTTCAAGTGTTTGATAGACGAGTTGGAGGCTGCGGACACTAAGTGGCCCTCCACTAACATAGTGGAGAATGGCATTTGAGTCAGATTGTTAAGTTTGACGGTGCGCGGGTACGGCCGTTGACAGGAGACATGATCATATGTTACATTAGTTTTTATGTGTTGCAACATTGTTACAGTATTTAACACAAATGAATTAATTTAGAAAGGACTGCAGAAAAAACACGGTAAGAAAGCGAGCGTGCTTAATCACTCTACAGTCGATCTTCGAGATTTTTCTAAAAGGGCCCCTGACAGTTGAAATCTACTTAGTTCGAACTTCGATGTATTTTCGAACGCTGATTCCGAATCACCCCATGACATATGTAGACATATATAATACTAATAGAGTTAAAATAATCCCCTAGCGAGATATCGGCTAAAAACTGTCTCGATCACGTAATATGACCATATAAGGAAGTTGGTCCTATTTCTCGTTAGGGTTAGGGTTTCAGCATATGATTCAGTTATGGATTGGGTAAGGACTTAGGGTTAGGACTTAGGGTTAGGGTTGAGATCAGATTAGAGGGTTAGGGTTTCGAATAGCCACCTATAGGGGACGTGTTCAAAAAGTCACGTGACAGTCGAGTGTAGAGTGATTAATCATCATCCATAAGAAAGTAATATTAAGGAGTGATCTTTGTAATCTTTACAATGTAAAAGTTATCATATTTTTTGTAATAAATATCTGATTATCTTATATTTTCTGATTATACAGGATGGCCCTCAGACCCATAATAAACACAATGTAAGCAACCATGTTGGATCAGTTTTGATGAGATAACATATTATTTTTATCGTGATTCTGGGGATTCGATTTTAAACAGAACTGATTTTTTATATACAGTTACACCATGCAGTACAGGGTAATAATTTATAAGGCATTCATTTTTGAGTTTATTTATTGCATTTAATTTTCATATTTTCCTAAATCCTTACTATTTTAAAATATTGCATATTTTATATTGCATGTTTAACCTGTTTTTCTACTAGTAGTTGTATAAACTTTTATTTAGCATTAATATTGCAAACCTATTTAGGTCTACCGACAAAACAATTCCTGATCAGATTCTGACATTTCCCGACAATATCTGCAGTATCTGTTGTCAGGGTGCAACGTGTGATTATGTAACATGCCTGGTTCTTTTCATGTCTCCTAATGTCACAAATGAAATGTACTGATGTCAATATGTGTACTTTTTTGTATGAAATTAATATGATTTCAATAATCTGTTGTTTCAGTTTGCGCATTCTTTGAATTTTATTATCTATGACAATTGCACTAGCCTACAGTTATGTAATGCTTCACGTAATTAAAAAGATTTGGCATTTGAAAGCCAGAACAGTTTATTTTATTCCTCTTGTCAAGTTCAAAAACATGGTCGGTTTGTGAAACTGAAATTAATGACAAGCATTTTAACAAATGTAATCATTGAAACAAATATGATCGTATTCGTAAATTCTGGAAAAATTGATTTCATAATTGACTGCACAATTTATAAATAAAGTGAACGAAATTAAATGTTAATATAAAATGTCTTCAGCCCGTGATATGTAGAGTTGACGAGAGAATGCAGTTGCCAAGGCCAAGGAGAATTGCTGTTGTCCCTATTTTCTTATATTAGGCTGAGCTCATTTCACAGACCTTTTTATTTCAGTTCCACTGACAAAGACCAGAACTGTTAATCAATGATCACATGTTCAAGAATATATTCTTGATTATTAAAACTTACAAATGCTACATTTGCTCTAAATCTTAGACCCTGACTCTTCCGTCCTAGACATTAAGACATAGCTATCCATCATGTTCTCCTTTCCATGCTGCTGCCATGATACTATGATAGTGAACTTGGCATTTTCTCTCACGTTCGAGCATTTCATCGCCACTGTTTTCTCAAATTTATGAAATAAAATGGTATAGATGGTCCACTGAGAATGGTTTCCGAGAAAAACAACTTACTAATATTAGACTGAGAGTGTGTTATTGTTAGAAGTGAAAGTTTCCAAACTCTTCAGCCATCTTCTTGATCATAAAGTATAATGCAACAAGTAGTAGTACCATGATTACTGCCACGTTTATCTTCGTTGTCTTCGGTATTCCCATCCACCTAGCGTAGAATTATATAGTTTAATCAATTCCTCAAAATTGTGTACTTAATTCGAGATATGGTTTTAACTTCTAAGTAAGAATTAAGATAGAGATATTGGGGGTCTGACTGCATTCGGACCGATTAGTACTTAGCCACGAAATTGAGACATTTCTTACTTGGCTGGAATGAAGATAATGAGTAATCCCATAGCAATGCCGAGTAAGCAGATCCCCGTCACTGATATCAGTATCTCAGCGTAGTGCTCCGGCCACTCCTTCCTTGTTATCATCTGATATATGTAGTTACATTAAGTACATTTTAAGTAACTTTTCATAATGTCGATGGTCGAGTCAACACGTTTAAGGACAGTGTCTGCTGCTGGCTGCAGAGCTCGTTAAATGTGTAAGAGACTCGCAGACAAGAACTAAAAGTCGAGATTGCTTGACAATGACAAGTGACATTGAGGAATATGATTTTAATTTTGATTAAATTTTGTCCGACATCCAAGCTGATTCCGGTTTCGGCCAAAAAAAGTCTTTAACTATCGGTTTTGTTGACACATGTTGTGTACCTCTTTCCCCGCGCGGTTTTGTGCTTGATCCAGCTCCAAAGCTACCAAATACCGGGTATGAATCAGGAAAACTACGTAACAAAAATGTCAACCGTCAAATATAATATTTATTTCCCACGAAATCCGGGAGCCATTCATGCATTTGTTAACTATTTCGTATACACGGTTAATAAGTTTACCTTTAACCTACTCCGTCGATTTTGAGAAAGTTTCTTGAACAAACTATCAAGATCCTGACATTTTCATTAACTTTAAAAGCGCCAAATTTTAATTGTTTTAACTACTTAGATTCTGACTGGACAAATACTGGACAAGAGAATATCCAGCACGTGCCGTGTAATTACTATTATAGGATCGTGTTCTCGTGTCATAATTGATTAGGGTCCGAAAAATAGGATACAAAATCGTTAACCTTCTCAGTTATAAAAACTTTGGCAAGCTTCAAGACATTTTTCGGAAACTTCCTAGACACCCTTCCAGACTCCTGGATACAATGCAGAAAACTCTAACTCGACAATCGACTGGTGCAGTCAGATCAAGGAGGTGGTCCGCAGATTGCGTGATGAACTTGAAGATGCCTACTTCTAAACTTATCAATAGGTTCAATAGGTTCAGTCAATGAAATTTATAAATATCCTCGAATTAAGGAGCCGAAGTTCAAGTATTACAACAAGAATTAACACTGGTGTAGAGAAAGTGAAAGTGAAATTATTACCGCAAGTACAGTGAAAGCTCCGGATGTTTGTCGACAATTACATCGTATAATCGGATCATCAGAGAATTTATCAAAGGTAGTTTCGCAAATTTGTGTGTTCCACACCCCCAGTAGTGATTTGTCCTTCAGTATTGTTTTCTGGTCTGCAGAGGGATGATTTGCATGTGAATATTAATTTTGTAAACAATTAAATTTGGGTCCGTTTACCTTAGTCTAATTGCTTCTTGATCACCGAATTAATTGTCTACTAAGGTTGAAAATCTTTAACATGTATAATGTATAATAGGACCTATAACTATTAATTAGGTATCTTACCAACAAGGCCGTCTGCGCTAATGGTTGACTTGTCCTTATCCCAAACTTCCCCTTTCTCTTCCAGATATCTATCACGTGTAGTGTTCGTCTCATACAGTGCACAAACATATTTTATTTGGTATGTCAGCCTGGACTCGTTCCATATCGCATTGAACATCCTGTCCTTACTTTTGTACGCCTGAAGAACACTTTCGGTAACTCCTATGACCGCTTATTAATGCTTTTCAAACAAAGTTACAACGAATTCTTCATGTAGTGCATCCTGGGTTTGGACAGGATATTTATGTGAAATATTTGTCATCAGCAATTTTTTTAATTTGTCAATCGGCAATTTGTATTTTCGATAATTTTGTTGATATAAGCGGGATATAAATGCTTCATTTCATAATGGTCGACTGGTGACTGAACACCATCATCAATCAGAATCATGTGAGAATTGATGCAATGATGGAGATTGCAGATATAGAAATGACGTAAACTGCACGCAGGTTAATCAATAAAGCTATCGCACCGTGTTGTCGTACAGCTCAAAGAAGAAGTTAGTGTCAGTATTGTTGGGGAGCCCCTGCACATTAAGATCCACAACCATGCTCGCTATTGTCTGTACATCATCCTGGGGCTGCTGTTTGCCAGTCTTGTAGTTCTGCAGGGTTTCTGAAACAAGATTCGTGATAAAAACTTGTTACTTTTAGTCAATGCAACAAGTTTGAACTTTGTTACATGAGTTGGATAAAATTTGGGATTTTGTGCATATTCAAAATTTGTTGATACTGCAGATGATATGATAAATAACATATCGAAAATAGTATTTTCGTTAACTAATTTTCCCCCCAAAAATGATATGGTCTGATACCGTTGAACTCATGAGCAGGAAGTATTTCAGTCTCATGAGGGAAGAAAGTGTCGCTGTTTAGGAAGATTAGTGATAAAGAAACGTTATCCCTTCTCGAACCGTCTACTAGTCTGTCCAGTTCGTTCCTCATAATCTGGTGAGTCATAGTTACTTGTAAGAAATAGTGAATGCATGATATCATGGTGATGATCCTTGATTTATCTCTACCTCTCCACTGCTCTATCTAATATTTTTTATATTATCAACTCATTTCTCAACCCCACAATTATGACTTACAAGTTTGCAAAGAATGATCCCTACCTTCAAGAAACTGAGACGGTCGTTTTCACAGCCGGTAATCATATCATGGAAGGTGTTTCTACAGAACTTGTGCATGTTGATCACCGCCAGCATGTCTTGAAGGTGGAATAGTCCGATGTTGTCTGACAAAATGAGAACTGTCTTGTTTTCTACCCGGGGGACAACCTCTCTTAATAGCTCCATCATCCTGAGATATTATTCTGTTACTGAGCCTCTGTTAGATCGCAATATAAACAGTTATCTCTGATGCAGGTATAGAGATTCTGTTAGATTGCAATAACGGTTATTTCAGTGGCATGAATCATGATGCAGGTTAAATTAATTAACTTCGTATTAGTGGCGCGTTAAAACATCAAAGATAATAGGTTTGTTTACTGAAAAATGCATACACACAGCATAAGTCATGATGAAGATCAGAACATTTACCCAGCACACATAAACGCAGTGATAACGATAATAGTCAGTTAAAATTTAAAAACACGTACCAGAAGCAGGAAGGGTCGTTATGACAAGAGTGAGATTTAGAGATGAAAGTGAGAGTGTCTAACACTGCTATCGCTGTTTCATAGGTCACGTGACCGTCCCCTCTCCTCGTTATTGTGTTGAGGATATCATAGCTCAACAGTAGATCCCCCTTCCCTGGGTTAATCGTGTTTTACTTTAACTCTATTTAGGGAAAATAATATATATACTTACAAAATCCATTTAGATAATGTGGATTGCATGTACTTGGAGTACTGTGAGTAGATATTCATAAAGGTCATTGTTCATGAAGACCAAAGCACATATGCTAGGCCCCATGCCCCGAACTAACTCATTGTTCAGTGTTCATTGCATGGACCCTAGCATAAATGTCCTTTTATAATCATGAAATTGTTATACACGCAATTCAGCTGTAAGATGTCTCCCAAGTCTCTTACCAATGTTTTGGCTTTCATCTGCATGCTGAAGTTCAACAAAGTCCTGACGGGTCTGATCTACATTAGAACTGGAGCTTGAGTCTAAGATTGTCTGTAATCTGGCTGTTAGCGAGGTTTTAACACAGTCAGTCGTGTCAACTTCTTCCCAAGTATTATTGGCAGAGCAAACTCTTCGTACTTTGAAACCTGGTAGGTAAGGAATGCCGTTATGTGTGGTATTTATTTTATTTATTAAACAAAGCGTTAGCGGAGCAAAACTAAAAAATTACAGCAATATTAATCAAGCACTGTTTATGTTAAAATCCAAAAATTTCAGAAAGTCCTGAATTTTAAACAAATCTATATCGACTGACTGTCATCATATTGGCAAGGAAGTTCCTGAGCTGTTGTAGATACTAAAGAAACAGGCCAGGTGAAGGAGCCGTAAGGAGTCAGAGTGACTGATTTAGGACAATAAAGGTAGGCAGAGCAGACTGTGCTACCACAGAAGTCCATCATCTTCTCGAAATCAGTGCAGATTTTTGTCATTCCAGTTCCATAGCTAGTTTCTTGTGTAGAACAGCTTAAACATTTCTCGTTTGCTATGTTTATGTGATACCCTTCTGAACACCTGCCTGTGGTAGATATAAAGTATCATTAGGGAGCGTAAATTCATCAGATTCATTATTGCAGGACAGTATACAAATTTTCTCTGAAGTACTTTAGTTGGTGATTAGCAGTTAGCATTTACCAGATATGTAAATCCTTTCACTGAGATCTGATATTGAGGTAAAATCCACGTTTATTTTCTCTGACATTTTTGTCTTGTCCCCCTCTGATATAGTTGAATCACTGAGATTCCAGGCTGCTGATGGGAATCCATCTATAAAAACTTTTAGCTGAAAGTGAACAAAATGTGTAAATTGAAAACATTGGAACTATTGCATGATTGCAATTTTGATAGAGGACTGACTTCTAAAACTGACAGAGAGCATTTTGAACATTATTGTTAATAATATAAACAAAGTCTACTAACGTGGTCTTCATGGAAAGCGATGGAACAGTCGTAAGAGTCATCACTATCGTCACCATTAGAAGGCATAGAATCGTACTCTATCAGTCCACCTATAGCTTGGGAAGCCTCAGAAACTAATCCAAAACTGAGCTTCTTAGTGCTTCTTTCCCAAAACAAATCAATTCTGAATAGATATAATTTCAACAAGAGTACTTGGAATAACGAAATTCCTATTTACAACCCGTTGAAAGTCTAATGGTTATGAATTAATAATGCAATAAGCATATAAAATCAAATATCACAATTGATAAAACAATTGTTTACGAAGATAATTAAATTCGAAAGCTAAAGTCTCACAAGTTTGAGTCAGTGATAGAGTCCTTGAAGTGAATGAGAGTTTTCCCCTGACTCTGCTCAGGCCGTAGGATAACTACAGAGTCGGAGAGGTTTACGTTTTTACACACTTTATTCAAACATTCTTTTACCACCAATTCAACACACAATCCTGAAAATCGAAAGATTTTTAAAAAACCTGCTAGATTTGCGCTGGACATAATTAAGGCTATTAAGAGCACATTCATAATTATCATCGTTCGATAGCAATTCTAAATTAATGTGGTATAAGATATGAATCACCAATTAAAAACTTACTGACAGGTTACGATTTCCAGCTATACCTGATTTTCCGATAGTGCTAAGAATGAAACAAAACCATAGCGGTGTATGATTCATGCTCCATCAGGGACTAATTCATTGACAGTGTCACATGTCACATTGGTTTTGGGTACCTTAAGGATAAAATAGCTGTATACGCCTAGAAATAGCTGTAAGAAAGTTGTGCCCTGTCTTATCCAATCTACATCAAGCTACCATCGGAAGATTACGAACGAAAACCAATAAAAAACTAATTTTGTTTACAATCGGTCACTTGTCAATAGTCAAGGCATGTACAGGTCATTCGGCGAATTTTCTTTGAAATAAAATGATGTATTTGTGTAACAATTTGAAAGTTTATTGATAGAAAAAAAATTCACAAAATCAAACAATAAAACCAAAGCTTTTAAACTGAAACGATTTCTAAAACATCAGTGGGTAAAACTGGAATAAAAAAGCTTATCCCCCATCAAACCACGACAATCTCACCCGTACCTTATAGTATAAGCAGTATCTCAGTATCTGCGTATACGTTATAAGCAGACAGGATTAATTAATACCTCACAATCTACTAATGGCGTAATGGTGTTGGTAGTATGCGCCTACATGCTGGTGTGTACTGCTCTCATACGTGTAGTAGTAGACCATATAGCGTACAGTCGCAATATAACGAGTCTAACTGATCTAACGTATACATCTCATGAATAAATCGCCACAATTGAGCTTTTAACGACTTGTTATCTACAATTTAGTGGCTCCTATAAAACTGTTATAAAGTATATGCCGCTCGTATAAAGCTGTCGCCCTGTGTAAAAACGCAAAGAATGAGCAAAGAAAAGCCAATCTAGATAACAAAAGGGTGGTTTAGGAGCGTGCTGTAGCTAAGAGGGGGAAGCTACCTGGGCTCTCTCTCTCTCTTGCTGAGCCCTTTGAAAGTGTACAATGTCTAGCTTTATAACTAGGGTTTGCAATACCCGTGTGTCTAATGTCGGGCGTTAGTATCGAATTTACTACTGTAGACACATGCATGTCGCACATAATAGGTAGAGCAACAGATACTGGACGAGAGCGGATAACAATAGGCACTTAGATACTTAATGAATAGGCACTTAGGCACTTACGAAACGCTTAACTGTAATATACGGACTTGGCTCCCAAAACTCGAGATAATTACGTACGCATAGCCAGCTGATCTGCTTGGCTTCAACAAGTTAACCTATTTCTACAGAAATGTCTAAGATGTGCACTGGACTGAATAGTGAATACTACTCCAGGGAATTTCTAAAGTAGAGACTCGATTGATTGGGGACTGGCCCATAGAACCAAAAAGTTCTTACTCAAAATATTACATAGTTATATTAGCTATTAAAATCCACATACTAAGATACTGTGCATTGAATACTTATACTCGCAATATTACAGCTCAGTGCTCCACAGTCTTTATTAGAAGCAAATCGAACCCTGAAACAGTAAATAGGAGAACAATTTGAACGAAACAATTATAAATACTTTCAATCCCTCTTGTACAATACAACTAGATTTCTAACTGGATCGGATCAATCGTTTAACAGATGAAGTAATAAACGATTCCAGTCGACCAACAAGTTAATGGTTAAGTGGCTGAACGATTCTTCTAAATTTCGATTATATTCTGACGTCAATTATTCATTGTGATCACCGCCCGATGCAGTCGATTGTACAGCTTTTAATTTCCTAATTGGAATAATTTCATTACCAGTTCGATTAAAGGCCATTGGGAAACTATAAAACCATACCAGTATGACTTGATCGAAGAATGATATTATCGTCCAGGAAATTGAATACTGCAAAAGAGGTGAAGCAATTTCTCAACCTATTTAGAGACTAGATCAAGCTACCACGGAAAGATGACGAATCAAAACCGATAAAAACTCAAAAACTGATTAATCAGAATTCTGATACGACAATTGCGCCCTGTAAATCACGAAATTCTGTTTCATGAGCTTCAGTTCACATAAACTTATATTATTAATTTACATTATTAACTTATATCGTAAAATTATTATATTGTTAAAGTCATATAGAGTTACAAATTATATTAGTATATTAATAGAAACCTTTACGTAGGCCCGTTACGATAACCAATGAAAGCATGAAGAGTAGTGAGAGCATGATTCATGAAGACTGATTATAAAACCATACTTGAAGCGCGTTACTATTAACGCGTGATCAAAAGTTCCCATTTTACAAATATGGAAGGTAAAATTATTTTCTGCTTATCAGAGAAAATATATGTGTAGGGATCTAGCACTGACCACATCTGATCTGGACTTGCTATTCAGAAATTACCACTGTGATCAACACGAAACTCGAAAGCTGTGGAGCTTAAAACATCACAAGCGTCACGGTGCATGTACTAAGCGACATCTTTGTACAACTACAACTACAAGTACATAGCTACCAGTGTTTACATACAAGAGACTGAGAAACAGAGCTTGAGAGAGAGAGAGAGGAGAGAGAGAGAGAGAGAGAGAGAGAGAGAGAGAGAGAGAGAGAGAGAGAGAGAGAGAGAGAGAGAGAGAGAGAGAGAGAGAGAGAGAGAGAGAGAGAGAGAGAGAGAGAGAGAGAGAGAGAGAGAGAGAGAGAGAGAGAGAGAGAGAGAGAGAGAGAGAGAGAGAGAGAGAGAGAGAGAGAGAGAGAGAGAGAGAGAGAGAGAGAGAGAGAGAGAGAGAGAGAGAGAGAGAGAGAGAGAGAGAGAGAGAGAGAGAGAGAGAGAGAGAGAGAGAGAGAGAGAGAGAGAGAGAGAGAGAGAGAGAGAGAGAGAGAGAGAGAGAGAGAGAGAGAGAGAGAGAGAGAGAGAGAGAGAGAGAGAGAGAGAGAGTTATGTCCTCGTAATCAGTGTCATCATGAATGATAAAGTGGAGCAAGCAAACATGTATTGTTTGGTCCCGGACAACTCGTTAGTCGCTGTCCGCTCCACGTGCTTCACTGAGATTACCTTATCATTACATTTACAGTCTATTGTTATACCCATGCTTGAACTCGTCATGGTTAGACTCATGGGTAGACCCATACATAAACTCAAGTGTTGGAAGTCCCAAGTCTAGGAGGTAAAATTTTGAAAACTTAGTTTGATACATTAAGATGAAAAATTCAATCCATTACATACGGTTTTTAAATTTTTACCATTTCTAAATCCGTTTATGTAGCTTCTTTAATGCTAGAATTTGATCTACATTGCCATTTGTCACCACTTATTTTTAGATTAAAAAGAAGTTCGATCTGCTCGTTTACGTTAGATACCTAGATAAAGCAAAGATGAGTCTGACAACTCGCTCGAAAGCATGTCGGAATTGAAGCAACAAGTTTTGTCGGAAAATTGTATGCAAATTTTGCACTATATAAATATTTCTCGTACGTAATATCGTTTATTTTCAGGGTTAGCAATTAAAACGACATATTTTAGTTTCATCGGTATATGCACTATACAGAGTGCATTAATGGACATTTAACAAGCTCAAATAAAAATCTCACAGTCAATTTTAATAAGACCTCAAAATTTCAATAAAGAATTAAGTATTCAGTGTTCTTCATGTGTTTGATAACATGGTAACAGCTACAAGTTGGTCGATTAATTACAACTTACTAGAAATCTAGCATATCCTTGTACATGCAAAGGAACGCTTCACCAGCACTTCATTTCTGAGCTTAAAGGCAACCCTTTCCTCCTGCGCAGGGGTTTGCCAGGACCCCAATACAGTCGTCATTAGTGGTACATTGGGCGTGCTCGACAACATTACCAGTGGCACTGATCTTACACCACGTCGAGCAGTCTGAGCAGAATCCTTCGTCCGGGTGAGGACACGTGGGCCCTGAGGTGGAATACAGTTAGATATTATACTTAATGTTATAAGGACACGAGGCCCCTGAGGGGGAATACAGTTAGATATTATACTTAATGTTATAAGGACACGAGGCCCCTGAGGGGGAATACTGCTAGATATTATACTTATAATTTCATGAGGACACGAGGCCCCTGAGAGGGAATACAGTAAGATATTATACTTAATGTTATAAGGACACGAGGCCCCTGAGGGGGAATACAGTTAGATATTATACTTAATGTTATGAGGAAACGAGGCCCCTGAGGGGGAATACAGTTAGATATTATACTTAATGTTATAAGGACACGAGGCCCCTGAGGGGAAATACAGTTAGATGTTATACGTAATGTTATGGGGACACGAAGCCCCTGAGGGGGAATGCTGCTAGATATTATATTTAATGTTATGAGGACACGTGGCCCCTGAGGGGGAATACTGCTAGATATTATACTTAATGTTATAAGGACACGAGGCCCCTGAGGGAAAATACAGTTAGATATTATACTTAATGTTATAAGGACACGTGGCCCCTAAGGGGGAATACTGTTAGATATTATACTTAATGTTATAAGGACACGAGGCCCCTGAGGGGGAATACAGTTAGATATTATACTTAATGTTATAAGGACACGAGGCCCCTGAGGGGAAATACAGTTAGATGTTATACGTAATGTTATGGGGACACGAAGCCCCTGAGGGGGAATACTGTTAGATATTATACTTAATGTTATGAGGACACGTGGCCCCTGAGGGGGAATACTGCTAGATATTATACTTAATGTTATAAGGACACGAGGCCCCTGAGGGGAAATATAGTTAAATATTATACTTAATGTTATAAGGACACGTGGCCCCTAAGGGGGAATACTGTTAGATATTATACTTAATGTTATGAGGACTCGAGGACCCTGAGGGGGAATACAGTTAGATATTATATTTAATGTTATGAGGACACAGGCCCCTGAGGGGGAATACTGCTAGATATTATACTTATAAAGTTATGAGAACACGAGGCCCCTGAGAGGGAATACAGTTAGATATTATACTTAATGTTATACGGACACGAGGCCCCTGAGGGGGAATACAGTTAGATATTATACTTAATGTTATAAGGACACGAGGCCCCTGAGGGGGAATACAGTTAGATATTATACTTAATGTTATAAGGACACGAGGCCCCTGAGGGGGAATACTGTTAAATATTATACGTAATGTTATAATGACACGAGGCCCCTGAGGGGGAATACTGTTAGATATTATACTTAATGTTATGAGGACACGAAGCCCCTGAGGGGGAATACTGCTAGATATTATATTTAATGTTATGAGGACACGTGGCCCCTGAGGGGGAATACTGCTAGATATTATACTTAATGTTATAAGGACACGAGGCCCCTGAGGGGGAATACAGTTAGATATTATACTTAATGTTATAAGGACACGTGGCCCCTGAGGGGGAATACTGCTAGATATTATACTTATAATTTCATGAGGACACGAGGCCCCTGAGAGGGAATACAGTTAGATATTATACTTTATGTTATAAGGACACGAGCCCCCTGAGGGGGAATACTGTTAGAAATTATACTTAATGTTATGAGGACACGAGGCCCCTGAGGGGGAATACTGTTAGATATTATACTTAATGTTATGAGGACACAAGGCCCCTGAGGGGGAATACAGTTAGATATTATACTTAATGTTATAAGGACACGAGGCCCCTGAGGGGGAATAGTGTTAGATATTATACTTAATGTTATGAGGACACGAGGATCTTGATGTTATGTTGTAATGATAATGTAGATTGAAGATGTTATGCCTAATGTTAAAATTAAATCTGCGCTACAGGAATAAAACAAATTTTCCTGAGCAACAATTTCACGACCTTGTAGTGTGATTTGGTAACTTATAACACCGAAAACAGTAAACTTATATACAGTAGTGAGATGCGTGACAGGTGAACTAGAAATATAATTTGTAGAGGGTACAAGAAATTGAAATTAAAATATCTCAAATTAAATATAATCAAACGACAAACTAACCGTTGCATCCTTTCCAGCATGATCCACCGTAACAAGACCATGAACAGCCAGTATTCTGTTCGCACTGGTAACCATTACCGGAACCGAACCAACAGATTGCTGGGGTACAGGTTTTGTTAAAGGTGTTAAACTATAATAGTGGCCATTCAAATTAATGTTTGTATAATTGGTGCACATCATGCGTATATTCAGTGCGAATATTTTGTGCATATTTAATTTTTAATAACAAATTTAAGAAATGCCACTTATAAGTTATAAAGTTCAGTTTATGGTTTAGTACCAGAACATTCAGCGCTGTTCATGCATTCCCTTGATTCCACTGCTTCACCACCACAATCTTCTCCACCATTAGCTGGAGGTGGGTTATTGCAGGTTTTGGACCGGGTCTGTGTCCCTTTACCACAACCTGCTGAGCAAGCACCCCAGTCGCTGTAGTCACTCCATCCTCCATCAACTGAAGCTGTGGTTTTAATTTAGTCAACAGAAAAATAATCACTCAACTCCCTAATCCTTAAACAATGTGCAGTACAATTATCAAGTTGAATCATAGTGCAAAATTAAAAACCTACGGGCGAAATTAAAAGCCTGCAAGAGAAATCAAGAACATTTGGTGCTCATATTATGGGTATACTCAGTGCAAATGTTATGTGTATATTTAGTACTGCACATTTGATGTGCTCGTCCATATTTAACAACAAGGTTAAGAAATGCTACTTATAGAGTTTAGTAATAGTTTATGGTTAAGTACCAAGGCATTCAGCAATCATGCATTCCCTTGATTCCACTGCTTCACCATCACAATCTTCTCCACCATTAGCTGGAGGTGGGTTATTGCAGGTTTTGGACCGGGTCTGTGTCCCTTTTCCACAACCTGCTGAGCAAGCACCCCAGTCGCTGTAGTCACTCCACCCTCCATCAACTGAAAGTAATATGGTTTTAATTTAGTCAACAGAAAAATAATCACTCAACTCCCCACTTCATACTCCCTAAATAATTCAGTTTAACTTTAATTATTAAAGTTGAATCATTATATAAAACTTAAAGCCTGTGGGAGAAATTAAAAACTTTATCATACCTCCTACGGCACATTTTTGTTCATCTTTTTACATTTTCCCGTATAATCTTCTGCACTTGCCAGACCAAGAGCGAGGATAACCAGAAGAGTCACTAACATTGTCGCTAGCTTTTTAATAAATCAGTGGATTAAACCTCCGCGATAATAGCAGAATGGTAAACCTTTTATTTTGGAATGGAATTTCGATTTTAAAGCTTAATATTTTGTTGACGCTATCTAGGGCAGATAGTGACATTGACAATGCTTAGATTTGTGTTACCATATCTGCATGATAAATGAAAACGTATATGACCGGATAAAAATTAAAAAGTATGATAAAATTGTTCAAAATCGAAATTCAAGTTCAAATTAAGCTTCAGAGATTAGAGAACGTAAAGAAAATATCATCAGCTCGGATGTCGCAGCTGTTTCATTTTCCTGTACAATTATATGCTTGTCGCGTCGCTTGTCATCAACAGCCGCTAACTGAAACAACCTCCTTCTCTCTGATCCAAATAGGCATCACTTAGTAATAGTGATCCTAATGATGCACTTAGCATCATTAGTTGAATTAATGTTCTTAGTGATGCAGTGACAGTTAACACACACAGTAGGTACAGTGTATTGATGCCGTTAAATTCGCACCAAACGTATTATTCGAATTAAATTCGCATACGAATTTTTCTTTAAGAATTGTCGCATGTAAAAAAATATACCAAATACGGGAACAGGAAATCACGTACCCGCATCAAAATGTTCACGATAGTTGGCTTTGTATGGTGGAATATTGCCAAAACATGTGCTTCCCGCAACAGGTGCGTCGTTACTACCACTGGTTAGTGACTAGCGTGGGTACTGACCAAGATCGCAAGGGGTTAAATTTAGCTCATACCCGAAGACGTTATGCAATGGAGTAAACTAACTTCTCTTATTAAACTTGAATCACTTAATTTCCTCCACAGTCTATTCTACTTGTCGCGAATTGTAAGTTTGAGATTTGAAGTATAAGTAATGTATAACGTCACAATTCAATTCACATATCCAACTAGATTAATATAGAATCGAGAATGCTGCGCGTTGATCCGCACATCCAAATTTTTACCGAATTTTCAGCGCATTTTTTGGCGAATTTAACAGCTCTAAAAATTAAAACTTGAAGTTGTAAATTGGCGAATTATTTGTGTACTTTTTGAGTTCTTAATACGCCGTACTTTTTGACGAAAATTTGGCAAATTTAACAGCCTGGCAGTGTACCTATCTTATAGTTATAGTCTAAATTTAAATTTTATCGACTGTTAACAAAACATTCTTTTCCTTAAAATTTGGTTTAGGAAGGTGACAAAGGAAAGTACTTCAAATTGAATACGGGATTAAGAATTGCAATTACATTTAAAATGTCTTAATGTTCCTCAATACGATATAATCTCCAATAAATTCAGAATTGCAATTACTAAACTACTGAGTACTGTACTAAAACCAAAAAGTGTAACCTGCCATCCAACAGGCCCGCCCTTAAGTATCCCCAGATAGTATAAACACTTTCCCACTCTCTCTAGCAATCTGTAAACAATTCCTTAACTATATCCTCCTTGTAACCAAAACAGAGGTGTTAAAATGAACTCTCTGATAATCAAAACAAAGATGTTAAAATGAACTCTGTGCTCCCCAAAACTCTCTGCTCTAAACAATTCATACACTATCCTCCTTGTAACCAAAACAAAAGTGTTAAAACGAACTCTCTGATTATCAAAACAGAGATGTTAAAATGAACTCTCTGCTCCCCAAAACTCTCTGCTCTAAACAATTCATACACTATCCTCCTTCTAATCAAAACAGAGGTGTTAAAATGAACCCTCTGATAATCAAAACAAAGATGTTAAAATGAACTATCTGCTCCCCAAAACTCCCTGCTCTAAACAATTCATACACTATCCTCCTTGTAACCAAAACAGAGATGTTAAAATAAAATAAACTCTCTGTTCCCCAAAACATAGGTGTTAAACTGAACTCTTTGCACTACCCTGCTGTACTAAATGTCGTACACAAATATATGCCCTTAAATACTACGCTAAAATAATGTGCTAAAAAGCTAAGATGAGAAGTACGAATGAGTCGGACTTTTCAATTTACTCGTATCGTACGTACTTTTCAATTCTACTGGGTAACTCGGTAATCTACCGATGCACATCTGGGGCACACCTCGGGCACACCTGGGGCACAAACTCGGGCACACCTCGGGCACACCTCGGGCCAAAGCACACCTCGGGCAGAACCACCTGGGGCACACCTCGGGCACACCTCGGGCACATCTCGGGCACATCTCGGGCAAAATTCGGGCATGGTAATTGATATAAATCAACTATATTATCTCCCCACTAAACTCTTGTCATGTTTATTAGATAAAAAGTCGTAATAACAATATTCTCATACTGTCAAAGCGGTAGAAATCCAAGTATTTTTATTACACGGTGCGCAAGGAATTTCGTTTTAAAAATGTGTAGACTGTAGGTAAGATAAGCCTAAGTGTGGCAGTGAGAAAAATAAATTGCAGTGGTTGACTGCATTAAATGCATTATCGCAGTTCATTTATTTAACTGCACTAACGTTTAGGATTCTTTCAGCTGTTATATTTTGCTAGTATTTTGTTTAAAAGTTGTAAAGGACAAAGTTCTTGTCCGTCCACGAAAAGTTCTTTACGTCAAGTTTTTGTTTGTCGAGTAAGTAACGTACAGTGTTGTCCTTAAGGTACGTTAAAGGGAAGGATTTTATTTATTTCGTTTATCGTGTTGTTGTATAATCGTGGTCCTACGTTAGAGATGCTAGGGTATTAATTCTTTTCATGCAAACAAGTGAAAACGAATCTTTTATGTCATGTATCCTGGGTTTGGACAGGATATGCCCGCTTAAAGAACTTCCATCGCGTTACATTACATAATTTTCTGAAACATATATTACATTTACAATAAATTATGCAATATCACAACATTACAATCAACAAAATAAATTTAATCGCAGAACCTCAAATATATTATATAGTATTCAGTGTTCTTCATGTGTTTGATAACATTGTAACAGCTACAAGTTGGTCGATTAATTACAACTTACTAGAAATCTAGCATATCCTTGTACATGCAAAGGAACCCTTCACCAGCACTTCATTTCTGAGCCTACCAATCGCAGCCTTTTTCTCCTACGCAGGGGTTTGCCAGGATCCCAATACAGTCGTCATCAGTGCTACATGTGGCCTTCTCGTCAACAGAACCACTGGCACTGAGCCAACACCACGTCGTGCAGTCTGAGCAGAATCCTTCGTCCGGGTGAGGACACGCGGCCCCTGAGGGGGAATACTGTTAGATATTATATCCACTGGCACTAGCGGGCTATATTTGCGCCAGTGGGACCGCACAGCCCGCTTGTTAAAAAGGCCTGATATTTCTCAGCCCGCTGATACAGCTCGCTGATATAGCCCACATGAAATTTTACTAGTAGCGATATAGCCCGGAGACCAAATATCAGTTTCACTTTATTTTGTGCCTGGTTACTCTAGTACTAGTAGCAGAGTGTAGTTGAGTGTGCACTTTGATTTCCACGATTTCTGACAACACAGGGTTGTTTGTTAGGTCATTCTAAACCAAAGTAGTTTAGGTACACAATTTGTTTCGCTAGAGACAACCCTACAGGGCAAATTTTCTAAGTTTTCGCTTTTCGGCTCCTGAAGGTCATAGAGACTGTTTTTTGGCTTAAAATTACCGCAATGGCCACAGTTATATACAACTTACAAATCAAATTTATACATCTAACCATCTCCTTTGTTGCTTACATCTCGTTAAAGTGAATTCTGCTACCTCCACTCTAGCTCCTTTTAGCAATCTCTGAATGCTACTTCCTGCTCTATCTAGCTTCCACCAACACCCATTAATTGTTGTTCAGCTATCACCAGCACTTTCAAATTCTAGCACTTAATCCAGCAACCTCAGACTACTTTCTGCTCTATCCAGCTAACACTAGAAAACGGTTTACGGTACCCACAAATTTTAGCTTCTTCTAGCTACTTCGGGCTACATCCATCCTCATTCAGTTGGTTGAGCTGAGCACTCTCAAATTCTATCTGTTTTTGCCTAATTCAGGCTACCTCCAGGCTAGCAGCTAGAAGTTGAGGGTGCTTGCGATATCTGGATATAGCATAACGTAGTCCGAGTTTTATGGATAGGGCTAGAATTTGCAGGTGCTAGCGGTAGCTTAACAACAATTAGTGGGTGTTGGCGGAAGCTAGATAGAGCAGGAAGTAGCATTCAGAATTTGCTAGAAATAGCAGGTTTCCTCTTCCTCAATGAGCTGGAAATTGTTGAATGCAGCCGAGGCAGCCGTAAAGAGCCAAAATAAATTGTTGCTGGTGGTGTTATAAAAGGCAAGAGGTAACTTTAAGTTAAGCGTGCTAGAAAGAGCAGAAGTTGAAGGGGCCAGGCGGCCTTGCAGTAGTAGCTAAATAGATGTAGCCGAATTCAGAGGTTGCTAGAAAGAGCTACAATTATAACGTGTTGGCATGGTAGCTGGGTAGAATGGGCATGGCATGGAGGTAGCAGAATTAAAGGTAGCTAGAAGTAGATTCTACTTCATGAGGTGGGATTGAAGTTGATTAGCCATAATAGTCAAACAGTACTGGAGAGAGCCCAACTTGTGGTAGCTATAACGAGATAGTTATATATGTTCATGAATAAATTTGGGGATTGAAGTAGTTTGAAGTAACCAGAGAGATGGTTAGATGTTAGGTATACATTTGGGGATAAGATAAGATAGCTGGAAGGAGCTTCTGAAACTGAATTGTGTTGCTCCATAATTCATAAATATTATCTGATTATTGTGTTCATGCTGAAAATTTTGCTGTGCTGCAAGTAAAGTGTATGTAAGAATTTTTTAGCCAGGCCCGGGATACCAAAATTAAGTACATGTTTGATGTTACTATTTTAGGATGCACGAATGTTAAAACTGTTTTTAATGAATATCTCCAAAACTAAGCACTATAAACCCTATGTTACTTTATAGCTTGTATGTAAATGTGGCCTTTCCAGTTAGTTTGAGCTAAAAGAGAGGCCCCTACAACGTTCAGAAGCCGAGATACAAAAGTCATATTATATTAGCGCCTGAGGGTAATTTAGAAACTTCCCCCCTAGGGTTGGAACTAATGATAGAAATTGCGTACCTTATCAATTCTGATCCATAATGACCTTACAAAGGACCTGGTTCATAGAAAAGTTGTAGACACCAAACTGCATACTCGATTTCAATTCACTTCTAGAGTACTTTTTTTCACTCGCCCAAGTGAAAATCAGTTTTCCTGGATTTTTTCCAAAAGTAAGCATTTTTGGCCTTTATGACCTTTAAAGTGTCAATATAAACATGTGCATTGCAGTCATTTTAAGCCAAACTTTGAGTCTCTAAGACCTTCACAGTTAGATATCATACTCAATGTTGTGAGGACACGAGGCCCCTGAGGGGAAATACAGTTAGATATTATACTTAATGTTATGAGGACACGAGGCCCCTGAAGTGGAATACAGTTAGATGTTATACGTAATGTTATGAGGACACGAGGCCCCTGAAGTGGAATACAGTTAGATGTTATACGTAATGTTATAAGGACACGAGGCCCCTGAGGGGAAATACAGTTAGATATTATACTTAATGTTATAAGGACACGTGGCCCCTAAGGGGGAATACTGTTAGATATTATACTTAATGTTATAAGGACACGAGGCCCCTGAGGGGGAATACTGTTAGATATTATACTTAATGTTATAAGGACACGAGGCCCCTGAGGGGGAATACTGTTAGATATTATACTTATTGTTATAAGGACACGAGGCCCCTGAGGGGGAATACTGTTAGATATTATACTTAATGTTATAAGGACACGAGGCCCCTGAAGTGGAATACAGTTAGATGTTATACGTAATGTTATGAGGACACGAGGCCCCTGAAGTGGAATACAGTTAGATGTTATACGTAATGTTATGAGGACACGAGGCCCCTGAGGGGGAATACTGTTAGATATTATACTTAATGTTATAAGGACACGAGGCCCCTGAGGGGGAATACAGTTAGATATTATACTTAATGTTATGAGGACACGAGGCCCCTGAGGGGGAATACTGTTAGATATTATACTTAATGTTATAAGGACACGAGGCCCCTGAGGGGGAATACAGTTAGATATTATACTTAATGTTATAAGGACACGAGGCCCCTGAAGTGGAATACAGTTAGATGTTATACGTAATGTTATGAGGACACAAGGCCCCTGAAGTGGAATACAGTTAGATGTTATACTTAATGTTATGAGGACACGAGGATCTTGATGTTATGTTGTAATGATAATGCAGATTGTTGCTGTTATGCCTAATGTTAATATTTGAGCTGCGCTACAGGAATAAAATAAAATTTCCTGAACAACAATTTCACGACCTTGTAGTGTGATTTGGTAACTTATAACACCGCAAAGAGATTGAAATTAAAATATCTCAAATTAAATATCATCAAACTAACCGTTGCATCCTCTCCAGCAATGTCCACCTCGACAAGACCATGAACAGGCAGTGCTCGTGTCGCACAGGTAGCTTTCACCCCACGCACAGATTCCTGGGGTACAAGTTTTGTTAAAGGTGTTTAACTATGGTGGCCATTCAAATTAATGTATTGTATATTTGGTGCACATCATGCGTATATTCAGTGCGAATATTTTGTGCATATTTAATTTTTAACAACAAATTTAAAAAATGCCACTTATAAGTTATAAAGTTTAGTTTATGGTTTAGTACCAGAGCATATATATTTCCACCCACCATAATTTGAATTGCTGAGTTACGCAAATTTCTAAATTTTAAATTTCTTTTATTTGATTGATTGATGGATTAATATTTTGAATAAATTTACTAACATGTCTTTATATCAGGATGATTGTAAAGGTACATTTTACCGACATTTGAAGTCAAGGCGTTGTTTTACTGATAGTTGTGGCTGACTAATAATTTATATATATATATTACCCTGTCTTTAATCTAATTTTTATCAGCAGATTTATAAATCTGCTGTTCATTTGTAGTTTTTACCTTGCTAGTTATGAGTAAATTTTTGCCTTCCATCAATTGAGTGCAGCTTTCAGTTTCAAAATTTTCAGTTTATTCTGATTTTTCGTTTTCAATATTGCAAATTTTTAATAAATCATGTTCAGATTATGGTGATAATAGATGTAAAGGTACTTCAACCGAATTAACAATCCAACCGTGTGTATGACGTGTCCCAGTAGCCAATCATAATATATATATATATATTTTGTAGCTGTACTCCTACACATTAAAAGTCGGTGTTGATTAGATCTTCGAAATAAGTCTTTGCATCATTTTATTAAACATCGTTATCTGAGATAAAATTGTTCTAAAAGCAACTGGAATATTCACAAATCTTTAAAATAACTTACAAACTAGGAAAGGAAAACAAGTCTTAGGAAGACGTACAAAACTATGTGACTTAAAACGGTACAAAACTAAAATATACTGAGTAATAAATAATAATCAAACGAAAAGAATGGCTGCGTACATTTTATCTAATCTATTAAAGATTAGTTTCTCGGAAAAAGCTAGATTTCTCTGAATCAAGCAGTAAAAATATATAAATAGTAATGAATATAACACGTCTCTGATAGCAATATTGTAAACTAAACACGGGTTAATAGGCTGAGATCATGTCAAATAAAATAAATAAACTAAACACTAAGCTCCAGCGGATTTAAAAAGGATGTGGTTACTATCGAGGGTGTTCATACCCCCATAACGCTCAAGGGTTTTCAATTGGGTCTGGTAGAACCCCTCTCTAGCTTCCATGGCCTTTTCCCTATCTGCTTGACTTATTTCAGGTTTAAATTCAAGAGCGTCCACTATAATAACAGAAAGGTGCGTACTAAGTGAAGAGTTATATAAGGCTACTGAACTAAAATCTAAATCATGATCAATATCTAAAAAGTGATTTACTAACTTACAACTTCTGATACCTTTCTTAATGTGGCTCTTATGATTAGAAAATCTCTTAGGGAGATTAGAAGTAGTATATCCTACATACGACTGTTTACAAGTTCTACACTCCATTAAATAAATAAGGTTATTACTCTGACAATTTATATATTTAGTAATAGGGAAAACTTGTTTAGAATGGTGACTACTAAATTTGGAACAAGGGGACAGGAAACTTTGCTTACAAACATAGCATTTTCCACAGGCATGGCACCCTGCGTTGTCAGCCTCCCGAACAGCCGGCAATATTGCAGCGTCTGGTTCAAGAAATTGACTAGCAGTGGCTTCTCCATCTCTATCACTGCTTACAGTTCCACTAGCACGATACTTATTGTGTACAAGCATGCCACCGATAGTTTGATTCTTTCGGTGACTTACAAATACACTGTCAGCACGTACTAGCTTCTTCAAGGCTGGATCGAGATTAAGAAGGTGCTTATACTTGTGAATAATGCTCCCCATGTTGGGAAGTGCTGGATTCTGATCCATCACCATGGGTATTAGACAAGTAGTCGTCTCATCCTTATTTTTAGGGGCATACAAGTTTTTCCTATTGGTAATATCACTAAATTTGTTGAAAGCATCGTCTACAATACTAGAATGGTAACCACGGGCTATATATACAACTGGTTTTCTTCTCTTATAGAAAAAGGGCTCTACTAGCTGTAGCTAGGAGCATGAAATAACGGTACAAAGCAAACTATGCAATTGTCAAACTATAAACATATATATTGTTTGTCAGCTGCACTACTGTCAGCAAAACAACGCGTTAACTTCAAATGTCGGTAAAATATACTTTTACAGTCATCCTGATATAAAGAGTAAGACATGTAAGTAAATTTATTTAAACTATCAATCATGCAATCAATCAAATAAATAGAAATTAAAAATTTAGAAATTTACGTAACTCAGCAATTCAAATTACTGGTGGGTGAAAATACCAAATGAGTGGTAGAGGTGAGAAAATAAAATATGCAGGAAAAAATCATCTTTCTTCTCTTATAATTATATATATATAAGTCACACCTGCCCAAGCTAGAGAGCCATGGCAGGGCCAGCAAGCAAGGCCCGGACCAAAACAAACTGAGCCGACTGGGTAAAGAAAATGGAAACAGTATTAACAATAATAAAATATAATAATAAAATATAATAATAAAAATAGTATTAAGGGGATGGTGTGTTGCTGTGACGGGCACGCATGGGAGTAACTATTACGACCAGAACGTCTGACGCTTCCAAGAAGCCTACAGTTCTTCTCTTCAGCTTTGTTTTGTTCGGTTTTTTCACGGTGGCATCTCTCCACTTCGCCACATGGAATGTTAGAGGCATTAGTCAGGAACACTCGCAGCATCTAGCTGCAAATGATTGCAACAGATACAACTTGGATGTTATAGCCCTCCAAGAAACTAAGGTGTCTAAACACTCAGACACTGTTATACCCGGCAACCACAGGCTTCTTTTGTTTAACCAGAAGTTGTCTTGGCATGGCGGACTCGGTTTTATTATCAACAGTAAATTTGTATCAAATGTTGTCTCGTACCATCAAATCAGTGACAGAGTAGCATACATGGACCTTTCTCTACCATCAAAGTGTCATGGGAAACCATCACTGAAAGCCCGTATTATAAACTGTTACAGTCCAACTAATGTCAAATCTATACAGAACCCACGCATTGCTGATGAGTTTTACTGTGAGCTCCAGGAAGCTATCAGAATTCCTGCCAGACATGAACTTTTCATCATGGGTGATTTTAATGCTAGGCTAGGGAAACGGACTAAATCAGATTTTGAAAGTGGTCTTCAAACTAACATGGGAAGACATGGTATTGGTCGGCGTAACGAAAATGGCGAAAGGTTGCTAGCTTTCATGATCACTAATGGACTCTATGCAGCCAACACTGCATTTTCACATGCGAGCAGACACACCAACACTTTTACAGGATGGATTAAAGACCGTAGATCCAAAAAGTCTGTACCCTGGTTTTCTCAAATTGATTATGTTTTATGTAGATCTAGAAGTACCCCTCTGCTTGTTGACGCTAGGTCTTACGCTGGTGCAAAACTTCAATCTGATCACAAAATTGTAAAAGCAACTTTTGACCTCAGTAAACGTTACAAACTTTACAGTACTGCCAAACACAAAGTCAAGCAGTATAACACCAACTCATTGGTTTGCAGCAAAGATGTTCAAAGTTCTTTTCAACAAAATGCTGCTCAGAAGATTGAAACTGATACATCTGCCCAGTCAGTCACTGAAAGTTTTAACAACCTTTTCGAGGCGGTTAAAATTGCTGCATCTGAAACAGTGGGTATGAAAAGAAACACAGCCAAACGTCACAGAACATCAGACCCACAAGTCGTCTCTATGTCAGAAAAGAGACACCAATTACTACAACATTTAAACGACAACAAAATGCGTGACAGAACTATCCTGCGTAAGGAAATCAACAGACTCAAGAATGACATTGCAAAGCGCCTTATTACACTTGAAACCGCTCATGCCGATCTTCTAGCTGAGACGATCAACTCCACTGATGATACCAGAAGAATGTTCGAAGCAACCAGAGCAATTTCAAGCACAAAGGACACTCCTCCTATTTCAATATTCCTACCAGAAACAGAAGAACTTGCTCTCAATGACGAAGATAAGGCAGACATAGTCAAGAACTGGTTCATGGAACATTACACAGGCCCAGAACCCCCACTAGAACCTTTTGTTGGAGCTGCTAAGCCATTAAATACGCCTATAACTGCACTTGAAGTTGAGACAGCAGCCAAGAAACTAAAGAACGGTAAAGCCGTTGGTCCTGACAACCTCCCTAACGAATTCCTTAAGTATGCACCTCCTTCTTTCTACATGAAGTTTGCATCACTTATCAATGAGTCCTTTGAAAAACAAGAGCACGTTCAATCGTTCACTGAGGGATATCTTACCCCCCCTACAGAAGCCTGGAAAACCAAAAGGACCAGTTAAGAGTCTGCGTCCCTTGTGCCTTCTCAATGGAACTAGGAAAATCCTTTCCATGATAACACTCCAGCGTATTCAACAACAGATAGCAGACTACACTGGGCCATGGCAGAATGCCTATAAATCAGGACACAGCTGCTCTAATATTGTCTGGACACAAAGGGTTCTTATTTCTGTTGTCAAGGAGAAACATTGGGAGTTTAGTAAAATGGGGATAGACATGTCATCAGCCTTCGACACAATACATCGGTTAACTATCCTCAGGCTACTCGAAGATGCAGGATGCTCAGAAGATGACATAAGACTAGTTAGATATCTGCTCGCTAACACCAAGCTCAGAATTAAGATCAAAAAGACGACATCGGGAGAGTTCGAAGTCACAATAGGAGCCTTTCAAGGTGACTGTTTGTCTGGCTCGCTGTTTACCATGTATCTAGCTGGAGCACTCTACCACCTTAGAGTTGTTGTTATACATCTACGCCCAAATCCCCCCATTTCTGAAAGCTCCCTTCCTTTAGAATGGGAATATGCTGATGATGTGGACTTTGCTGATGAAGATGAGGATTCGTTACACCAGCTCCTTCCAATTTGCAAGGAAATTCTCTCAGAATGGAATTTGTTTGTAAATGAATCTAAAACCGAGTTTGTAAAGTGTTATCTGGCTGGAAGTAGTGAGAAGGACGAAAAAGGAGAACCTCTAAGAAATAGAGAACCTTGGAGGAAGTGTGTGTCCCTAGGCTCTAAGCTATGTAGTAAAGAAGACATACAGCATCGTATAATCCTTGGAAATGTTGCATTCGAAAAATACAAGAAAGTTTGGATGCAAGGATCTAAGATTAATCTGAAGACCAAGATTAAGATATACGAAGCATACGTTACATCTGTTATGCTCTATAACTGCAATAGCTGGGCTACCCCTCAGAACCTATTTGACAAACTTGATGCATGTCATAGAAGACACCTGCGTCAAATATTGAAGATGACTTATCCCATTATTATCAGTAATAAAGCACTCTATGAACGCTGTGGTGTAACACCGTTGTCAGAGCGAGTGACATATGCTCGCTGGAAAATGCTTGGACATGTCCTTCGCAGTGACTGCTCATCACCAGCTCAGAGAGCCTTCAATTTGCTGTTAATGCGTTATTTACCATGAAAGGACGTGTTGGTCGACACCAAAGTAATCTTTTAAAGTTTATTATAAATGATTTGAATAAAAGAAACCTACCATTACGTGATATTAATGATCTTTATGATCTTAGGGCTACTGCCTCTAACAGAGTTTTGTGGAGAAAATTATTTACCTCATAATTAACCTTTATTTTTCAGAGAACTGTTATGTTTTTTTGGGCACTTATCAGTCTCTTAAGATGTTTCTTTACTATTTCGAGATTGTTTTAAAAGTTAGATAATAATTAAGGAAGGACAAACCGGTTGAACATGTTGCGCTGTCCATGCATTCCCTTGATTCCACTGCTTCACCACCACAATCTTTTCCACCATTAGCTGGAGGTGGGTTATTGCAGGTTTTGGACCGGGTCTGTGTCCCTTTTCCACAACCTGCTGAGCAAGCACCCCAGTCGCTGTAGTCACTCCACCCTCCATCAACTGAAAGTAATATGGTTTTAATTTAGTCAACAGAAAAATAATCACTCAACTCCCTACTTCATAATCATACTCCCTAAATAGTTCAGTTTAACTTCAATTATTAAAGTTGAATCATTATGTAAAAAAACTTAAAGCCTGTGGGAGAAATTAAAAACTTTATCATACTTGCTACGGCACATAAGGCTTCAAAAGATTTCTTCGCTTTTTCCAACTTTTTTGTTGTTTTCGTTATCTTTTTGTCCATCTTTTTACATTTTCCCGTATTTTCTGCACTTGCCAGACCAAGAGCGAGGATAACCAGAAGAGTCACTAACATTGTCGCCAGCTTTTTAATAAATCAGCGGATTAAACCTCCGATAATAGCAGAACGGTAAACCTTTTATTTTGGAATGGGATTTCGATTTTAAAGCTTAATATATTTTGACGCTATCTAGGGCAGATAATGACTTAGACAATGCTTAGATTTGTGCTGCCATATCTGCATGATAAATGAAAACGTATATGACCAGATAAAAATTAAAAACTATGATAAAACAGTTCAAAATCGAAATTCAAGTTCAAAATAAGCTTCAGAGATTAAAGAACGTAAAGAAGATATCATCAGCTCGGATGTCGCAGCTGTTTCTTTTTCCTGTTCTTATAATTTATATGCTTGTCGCTTGTCATCCTAACTGCACAAATGTTGAATTGGCTGGGACTTCATGGCAGTCGTTCTGCCAAACTTCATGTCAACAAATGGGCTCATTAGTCTCGTGCCAAAATAGGAAAAATAAACAATTTCTCATCAGAATTTACTAGTGAACGCAAATCCAAACAATGGGCCACCTCATGAAACAACCTTGAATTAATGTTCTTAGTGATGCTGTGACACACACAGTACAGTGTATATATCTTATAGTCTGAATTTAAATTTAATCAGCTGTTGATAAAAAGTTCTTTTCCTTACAATTTGATTCAGGAAGGTGACAAGGGAAAGTACTTCAAATTGAATACGGGATTAAGAATTGCAATTACAATGTCTCAATGTTCCTCGATATAATCTCCAATAAATTCAGAATTGCAATTAGTAAACTACCTACTGTACTAAAAACAAATAGTGTAACCTGTCATCCAACAGGCCCACTCTTAAGTATCCCCAGATAGTATAAACAATCTCCCACTCTCTCTAGCAATCTGTAAACAATTCCTAAACTATCCTCCTTGTAACCAAAACAGAGGTGTTAAAATGAACCCTCTGATAATCAAAACAGAGATGTTAAAATGAACTCTCTGCTCTAAACGGTTCCCGTACTGTAGTGCGACACGTACCCTAGTGCGACACGTACCCTAGTGTGAAACCTTCAAGATTTGACATTGCAATACAATGTTTTTAATGACAAGAGTGTAGTCATGTATGAGTAATGGGGTTAAATATAAAATCAAAATATCACAATATTCAATTCAAAATCATTGTTCCAACACACTTCAAATAGTCCATTCTGTCATAATCATCGTAGCAATCAATCACAGCGTTCAAGCGACGGTCGTAATCGGTTCACTTCTTCAGTCGGCGAGGATGTGGTTATCTGAGCATCTTCTGGTTGATCTTCCACTGGGTTAGATCCTGCTCCTTCTTCAGGACGTCGATAAATCGCCAGATAGTAGGGTTGGTGCAGCCCATCAAGGATCGAAAACCGTCGTGCCAACCCTCAGAATTGTTGGAACTTCTGGAAAGTCCGGCAATGACAGCATCCCGTTGATTCCAGATCCAGTGGGTGTAGAGGGGAGGGGAGGTTTGTGTTCCGACCCAGATACGTTCGTAGTAATCAGCAAAGGAATTCAGTTTCTTGAACCAGTAGTGCGTCCATGAATGAAGGTGATTGTAGAAGACATGTTGATCTTGTTCGATGCTTCGGTAGAATCGTCGTGACTTGAACTGACCCGAAGAAATTATTATCAGTGTACAATCGTTCACTGAGGGATATCTTACCCCCCCTACAGAAGCCTGGAAAACCAAAAGGACCAGTTAAGAGTCTGCGTCCCTTGTGCCTTCTCAATGGAACTAGGAAAATCCTTTCCATGATAACACTCCAGCGTATTCAACAACAGATAGCAGACTACACTGGGCCATGGCAGAATGCCTATAAATCAGGACACAGCTGCTCTAATATTGTCTGGACACAAAGGGTTCTTATTTCTGTTGTCAAGGAGAAACATTGGGAGTTTAGTAAAATGGGGATAGACATGTCATCAGCCTTCGACACAATACATCGGTTAACTATCCTCAGGCTACTCGAAGATGCAGGATGCTCAGAAGATGACATAAGACTAGTTAGATATCTGCTCGCTAACACCAAGCTCAGAATTAAGATCAAAAAGACGACATCGGGAGAGTTCGAAGTCACAATAGGAGCCTTTCAAGGTGACTGTTTGTCTGGCTCGCTGTTTACCATGTATCTAGCTGGAGCACTCTACCACCTTAGAGTTGTTGTTATACATCTACGCCCAAATCCCCCCATTTCTGAAAGCTCCCTTCCTTTAGAATGGGAATATGCTGATGATGTGGACTTTGCTGATGAAGATGAGGATTCGTTACACCAGCTCCTTCCAATTTGCAAGGAAATTCTCTCAGAATGGAATTTGTTTGTAAATGAATCTAAAACCGAGTTTGTAAAGTGTTATCTGGCTGGAAGTAGTGAGAAGGACGAAAAAGGAGAACCTCTAAGAAATAGAGAACCTTGGAGGAAGTGTGTGTCCCTAGGCTCTAAGCTATGTAGTAAAGAAGACATACAGCATCGTATAATCCTTGGAAATGTTGCATTCGAAAAATACAAGAAAGTTTGGATGCAAGGATCTAAGATTAATCTGAAGACCAAGATTAAGATATACGAAGCATACGTTACATCTGTTATGCTCTATAACTGCAATAGCTGGGCTACCCCTCAGAACCTATTTGACAAACTTGATGCATGTCATAGAAGACACCTGCGTCAAATATTGAAGATGACTTATCCCATTATTATCAGTAATAAAGCACTCTATGAACGCTGTGGTGTAACACCGTTGTCAGAGCGAGTGACATATGCTCGCTGGAAAATGCTTGGACATGTCCTTCGCAGTGACTGCTCATCACCAGCTCAGAGAGCCTTCAATTTGCTGTTAATGCGTTATTTACCATGAAAGGACGTGTTGGTCGACACCAAAGTAATCTTTTAAAGTTTATTATAAATGATTTGAATAAAAGAAACCTACCATTACGTGATATTAATGATCTTTATGATCTTAGGGCTACTGCCTCTAACAGAGTTTTGTGGAGAAAATTATTTACCTCATAATTAACCTTTATTTTTCAGAGAACTGTTATGTTTTTTTGGGCACTTATCAGTCTCTTAAGATGTTTCTTTACTATTTCGAGATTGTTTTAAAAGTTAGATAATAATTAAGGAAGGACAAACCGGTTGAACATGTTGCGCTGTCCATGCATTCCCTTGATTCCACTGCTTCACCACCACAATCTTCTCCACCATTAGCTGGAGGTGGGTTATTGCAGGTTTTGGACCGGGTCTGTGTCCCTTTTCCACAACCTGCTGAGCAAGCACCCCAGTCGCTGTAGTCACTCCACCCTCCATCAACTGAAAGTAATATGGTTTTAATTTAGTCAACAGAAAAATAATCACTCAACTCCCTACTTCATAATCATACTCCCTAAATAGTTCAGTTTAACTTCAATTATTAAAGTTGAATCATTATGTAAAAAAACTTAAAGCCTGTGGGAGAAATTAAAAACTTTATCATACTTGCTACGGCACATAAGGCTTCAAAAGATTTCTTCGCTTTTTCCAACTTTTTTGTTGTTTTCGTTATCTTTTTGTCCATCTTTTTACATTTTCCCGTATTTTCTGCACTTGCCAGACCAAGAGCGAGGATAACCAGAAGAGTCACTAACATTGTCGCCAGCTTTTTAATAAATCAGCGGATTAAACCTCCGATAATAGCAGAACGGTAAACCTTTTATTTTGGAATGGGATTTCGATTTTAAAGCTTAATATATTTTGACGCTATCTAGGGCAGATAATGACTTAGACAATGCTTAGATTTGTGCTACCATATCTGCATGATAAATGAAAACGTATATGACCAGATAAAAATTAAAAACTATGATAAAACAGTTCAAAATCGAAATTCAAGTTCAAAATAAGCTTCAGAGATTAAAGAACGTAAAGAAGATATCATCAGCTCGGATGTCGCAGCTGTTTCTTTTTCCTGTTCTTATAATTTATATGCTTGTCGCTTGTCATCCTAACTGCACAAATGTTGAATTGGCTGGGACTTCATGGCAGTCGTTCTGCCAAACTTCATGTCAACAAATGGGCTCATTAGTCTCGTGCCAAAATAGGAAAAATAAACAATTTCTCATCAGAATTTACTAGTGAACGCAAATCCAAACAATGGGCCACCTCATGAAACAACCTTGAATTAATGTTCTTAGTGATGCTGTGACACACACAGTACAGTGTATATATCTTATAGTCTGAATTTAAATTTAATCAGCTGTTGATAAAAAGTTCTTTTCCTTACAATTTGATTCAGGAAGGTGACAAGGGAAAGTACTTCAAATTGAATACGGGATTAAGAATTGCAATTACAATGTCTCAATGTTCCTCGATATAATCTCCAATAAATTCAGAATTGCAATTAGTAAACTACCTACTGTACTAAAAACAAATAGTGTAACCTGTCATCCAACAGGCCCACTCTTAAGTATCCCCAGATAGTATAAACAATCTCCCACTCTCTCTAGCAATCTGTAAACAATTCCTAAACTATCCTCCTTGTAACCAAAACAGAGGTGTTAAAATGAACCCTCTGATAATCAAAACAGAGATGTTAAAATGAACTCTCTGCTCTAAACGGTTCCCGTACTGTAGTGCGACACGTACCCTAGTGCGACACGTACCCTAGTGTGAAACCTTCAAGATTTGACATTGCAATACAATGTTTTTAATGACAAGAGTGTAGTCATGTATGAGTAATGGGGTTAAATATAAAATCAAAATATCACAATATTCAATTCAAAATCATTGTTCCAACACACTTCAAATAGTCCATTCTGTCATAATCATCGTAGCAATCAATCACAGCGTTCAAGCGACGGTCGTAATCGGTTCACTTCTTCAGTCGGCGAGGATGTGGTTATCTGAGCATCTTCTGGTTGATCTTCCACTGGGTTAGATCCTGCTCCTTCTTCAGGACGTCGATAAATCGCCAGATAGTAGGGTTGGTGCAGCCCATCAAGGATCGAAAACCGTCGTGCCAACCCTCAGAATTGTTGGAACTTCTGGAAAGTCCGGCAATGACAGCATCCCGTTGATTCCAGATCCAGTGGGTGTAGAGGGGAGGGGAGGTTTGTGTTCCGACCCAGATACGTTCGTAGTAATCAGCAAAGGAATTCAGTTTCTTGAACCAGTAGTGCGTCCATGAATGAAGGTGATTGTAGAAGACATGTTGATCTTGTTCGATGCTTCGGTAGAATCGTCGTGACTTGAACTGACCCGAAGAAATTATTATCAGTGTACTGTAGTGCGACACGTACTCTAGTGCGACACGTACCCTATAAGTGCGAAACCTCCAAGATCGACACTGTCGCAGTAGAGTAGGTACGCTACCTGGATAGTAGTGCGACACGTACCCTAGTGCGACAGAGAATTTTCAAGGCCGAAACTGTCGCACTACAGTGCGCTGGACTGTAGTGCGACACGAACTAAATTAGTGCGACAAAACACTTTACACATTCAATAAACATTTTACTTTCCATTTTTAATGACAAGAGTGTAGTCGTGTATGAGTAATGGGGTTAAATATAAAATCAAAGATTGCAATCACAATATTCGATTCGAAATCATTGTTCCAACACACTTCAACTAATCCATTCTGTCATAACCATTCTGTCATAATCATTCTGTCATAATCATCACAGCGCTCAAGCGACGTTCGTAATCAGTCCACTTCTTCAGTCGGCGAGGAGGTAGTTGTCTGAGCATCTTCATTCTTCTGGTTGATCTTCCATTGGGTTATATCCTGCTCCTTCTTCAGGACGTCGATAAATCGCCAGATAGTAGGGTTGGTGCAGCCCATCAAGGGGAGAGGAGGTTTGTGTTCCGACCCAGGTACGTTCGTAGTAGTCACTAGGCAGCAAAGGAATCCATCTCCGAGGGAAGGGTTGCTTTCAGCTGCGTCCAGGCCACAGTAGTGTTGTTCGTCAGACTGAGACGTCCGGAGCAGGTCTTCTCAGGGCATCGCCAGTAGGTCTTGTCGTCGCGATTCTTATCCAGGCAGTAGCGGTATCCGTCCTGGATAACGTTTCTTGGACCAGTAGTGCGTCCAGGAATGAAGGTGATTGAAGAAGACATGTTGATGTTGTTCGATGCTTTGGTAGAATCATCGTGACCTTATTTATGGCCCAAGCATATGAACTTGTTATCCCAATCGGAGATATACATACGATGCGTGTGATAGGAATGAGGATCATATGCTGCTTAAGAGTTACCCAGTGGATCACACACTGCATACGTGGCTTGAACTGACCAGAAGGAATTATGATCAGTGGATAACTTCGAAACACGTGATGTGAACCGACGAATCGTATTCGCAAGATCACTTCAAAATAAGTGACGTGAACCGACCCGACGAATCACTTAATGGTCCATAAGAAGGATAGGATGTGACCAGAACTTGGAAATAAGTCAGGATATTTTGTCGCACTAGAGTACGCTACCTGGATCGTAGTGCGGCACGTACTGTAGTGCGACAGAGGGCGTTTTTGTCGGACTTCGCACTAGTCGAGTACGTGTCGCACTAGAGTACGCGTCGCACTACAGTACGATTACCGAATCCAATAACTCTGTTCTTGTTGATCACAACATCAATAGACATGGGATTTATACATCTCAACGGAATTCTGTTTTAAACGGAAAAAATAAAAATAAAAATCTTGCGATGGTGTTCGCTGATTAAACTGACGACGATGGTACCAAGTTACTAATAATACTGCATCTTCTTTGTTTACGAACATATAAAAATAATTATGCTGTCACAAAACCAAACTGAAAGGGCTGTTTCATGCACAACAGATAATAATTATCGTAATTAGATAAATTAGCTCCACATAAATCGTCCCAATTCAGTGGAGGAACCGAGGTGTGAGAACTATAAGTACGTTACTGGCACGTACCAGAGTAATGGTAAACTAATGTAATTGTTGTGGATAATGGACACTGTCGGAACTGGGTTGTGTTAAACATGGCGAATGATGCTTGCAAAGTCATAAAGCTAATGATCCTTAAAAGCTTTAACGACTGATTTATTTTATATGTGGTTAATATAAAGACTAATATAAGACTAAGAGCTTGAATAAATAAAAAGATTTTCACCCGTTTCCTTTTTTACCAGTGACCAATCAGTGAGGTCAGTGGCAGTGACACAAGTCACGACCAAGGCACTGGCAGCTGAATATCCGGATAACCTTTTGATGAAAGGAAAATCATGAAAATGTCCTACCGGTAGGACATTTTCATTGATCAGCTTTCTTCAACCCAAATTTTATTGTTTAGACTACATTTTTCTGCAATGTATAGTTAGTATTTACTGATAACTTGATAGAAGGTGTTTTCGTCAGGAGAATAAATTGGACCGATATTGTTGACGATTGTGATTTGTTGTTTTTAATACATTAATTTCCAACAGTTTCATTCAATAAAAATGTCTGAATTGGTGTTAAACAATTTATGTTTTTATCTCAAAGTAAGAAAAATGTGACCCGGCAGTCGGCACTTAGTTCCAATACAAAAACATAAAAATTTCGACTCATTAAATTGAGGGCCGATTATATGAAATATGATAAAAAATCTTGAAGCATCTATACAATCAAAATCCAACACTAAAAACACAAAAATAATACAACAAATTAAGAACAAACTTAAAGTTTTAAATTTTGAAAAGAATCTGTAGCACAATTCGAATTTTGTTATTTCACAAAACTTGAACAGCTGAGAATCAGCTGCTTCTGTGACCATTCTCCTCAGATTTAGTCGGGCTGCTATTGTCCACAATGTCTATCCTGCAACTTCTGCAGTCCATTTGCTGGCAATCCCCCGTTGGGCACCGTCCGTACACATTCTTGTATGAGTCAGCCCAGTTTCGGCTCATCATGTTGCCAGTGTCTTTAACTTCACCCCCGTTTTCGTTTACTCGGCTGTAGTCCTGATTAACTGCTTCTTGGGACCTTTCGTGTCGCGCCTAATTAATAGCGAATGTTACACCACTGATATTTAAGAAAAGGAACTTAGAAATGTTTCGAAATCTTATAACGGAGGAAGAAAAACATGCTGGTCTTAGGTCTAGAATTGATGAAATAAGACGTTTGTTATAAAGAAACTTGTTTTAAAGAATCTGAACCTAAATGTTTGTTTAACATTTATTAATTAATTATACATTTATTGGGCTCTCGGCCAGACTATCGTAGCTGGAAGTATTACTGGTTCTTCTTATTTCACTAACATCATCAATTCTGTCGTGTATGCTCGTCTGCTGAGAGTGGAGAGACTGGAATTTATTTTGGAGATTCCTTCGTTAAAACATTAAAACATATTTGTAAGAGATTATGTTTTTATAAAACAATTAAAAAGTTGGTAGACGAAAATAAATAAGTTAATCATTATAGCATACAAATTGTATTGCACTTTTATTCATTCTCTGACGAATCTTTTTGACATTTAATACTTCTTCAAGGAGCTCTTTTGAGTGACGTTATTATAAACGTTATATAGGACTACAACATACTTTTTCATCCCAATTGTTGTTATGGTTTTTGGTGTTACAGTTGTTGCTTTTATGCTCTTCCGCCACTTTAGCATGATGATTCTTGAGTTCCTGATTTTGTTGCTCCTATGGGTTTCTTTATTCAGAGGTTGCTGAATATTCTTGAAAATTCATACCCTTATAAAATAATGATAGAAGTGATCAGTGGGATCAGCATCACGGTAGACTCCAACTTGGCTAAACATACACGGTAGTTAAAATTTTAATTTCCAGCTGAATTATACGCTGACCACATCAGAAGGTGTATGTTTAGCCAAGTCCACTTTACCTACCTGTTCTAGTTCAGCTATAATTAGGCTCGCCTACTTAAGTCGTTAAATGAGACCCTTGTAATTGCAGGCTCGCCGCCAAGTGAGACCCTTGTAATTCATAATCAGTTATCTTAGTAAAAGGCCAATGAGTGCTGAAACGTAGATTATTTCATTTAGTGTTCACTAGTCATTTGCCTTGTTTCACTCTGTCTGTCGAGAGCCGTGATGCTCCTTACTGAACACTACAATGTTAAAACTCACGTCTGGCCTTCCGAGATCTATAAAATAGAGAGGAAAATAAGGCATCAGAAAACGAATGAAAAATGAAACCACCCTTACTTTCACTGTAGTGTAAAGTTTCTCGAATTTAGTCATGATAAGAGGCATTGGTATAGCAATGAGGGGTAGCCCTATCAGAGCTAGAATAGACCCGACTATCTTTCCGAATGTAGTCTTCGGAATCATATCACCATAGCCAACTGTAGTGATAGTGACCTGTAATAATGAACACATGAATATGGAAATCTGAAATAAATGGCTGACGTAATTAGTTTAAAAGCCGTCTAATCGATATTGAGTATCTTAATCTAATTGTTGTTGAGACTTTACCGAAAGATGCAATATACTCACAGCCGCCCAGTAACTAGAGGCGAATATGCTAACATATTTCGTTCTATTGTTTGTGCATTCCCGGTGAAACTTGCAATCGTCAGTTCCTATCCAGGAGTCGTTGTATAGACAAGTTTTAGTTTCAATGTCGTACTTCCCACATGGCGGCTGCTCTGCGAAATAGACGAATCCTGCGATTTGATGATCAGTTGGAGATCAGATGTTTGGAAATAAGTCTTCTCTTAGAGAGTTTTCTGCACTACAATACGTGATAGGAATACTGGTTCTATGTTAGATGGAGAATTTGTAAGCCGATAGGTACAAATATCAGCTAATTTATTAATCTATTTTTATCTGAAGCCGTTAATCGGAATGTATTGTAAATATTTAGAACCTGCAGCCAGGAACATAATGAAGATAATAACTCCAACGACGTGGAGGAGATCTGAGAAACTCTGTCTGAGAGCCAGACCCAGGCAATACAGCAGAGTGGAGTGTCGGGCTAAATTGAATAGTCTCAATACTCCTATAGCTCGCAGTGGCAGCTGAAACAGATTACAAAGGTGTTATCGTTATTTTAATTGGTAATAACACCGCTAATAGAATAGCTGTCAATGCTCCGTTTAGCAAACACAGATTCCTCTCTTCTTTAATAAGCTTGTTAATAGTTGAACAGCTCCGCGGATAAATCTTAAGTGAGATTCAAGAAACGGAAGCTGTGGCATTGACGGAAAAGAGACGAATAATATGGGCTTACCGGAGTAGGATTTGAGACTTTATTCCAGTGTAATATGTTGTCTATTATAACTGCGACAACAATTATTGCATCCACCATCGACATAAAAGATTTGATGTATTTATACTTTTCCTCGGCGACAACCAAGCCGGCAAAGTAGTGAACTGAAAAATTCGAATCATTGCTTTTTGACTTTGACTGCTATCGTAGTAAAAACTACGCGACAAAGCATATTTAAATAAAATCTAGTGTTTCTATACGACAGTGAAATCCAGAACTTACTCATAATATCACTCATAAAACTTACTCATTATCCACAAGACGCACATCCCCTCTATAACACTCCCGTAACTGAAAATATTTTACATCTTTTTCATTTAACACTACAAGTAACAAGAATAAACTAACAAATCAACAACTCTGCTGATTTAAACACTGGGTAAAATAATACTAAAACATACTAAAACATACTAAAACATACTAAAACATACTAAAACATACTAAAACATACTAAAACATACTAAAACATACTAAAACATACTAAAACATACTAAAACATACTAAAACATACTAAAACATACTAAAACATACTAAAACATACTAAAACATACTAAAACATACTAAAACATACTAAAACATACTAAAACATACTAAAACATACTAAAACATACTAAAACATACTAAAACATACTAAAACATACTAAAACATACTAAAACATACTAAAACATACTAAAACATACTAAAACATACTAAAACATACTAAAACATACTAAAACATACTAAAACATACTAAAACATACTAAAACATACTAAAACATACTAAAACATACTAAAACATACTAAAACATACTAAAACATACTAAAACATACTAAAACATACTAAAACATACTAAAACATACTAAAACATACCAAAACATACTAAAACAAACTGAAACATACTAAAACATACGGATAAAACAAAAGTATACTAACGGTTCTGGTATGAGCCCTTGATCGTGGTCACTGTCGTGACCGGACACTTCGTCCTCGTGGCTCCCCACAGATTGTTGTGGTTGTTCTCCCTCTGTTTGGCCGGTTGTGATGGTAGATACCACGTGACAGAACACGAAGAGTAAGGTCGCTACCAGATCACAAGCCATCACCACCTGAACACAGGATATTAAGTGTTAGCTGGGTGGTATTAGTGGCGGTGTTGTGTACTTACTTTCAGCTTTAGTAGATAACTTTGGATTTAAAATAGTTTATAAATAGCCCACGACTTATAATTATAACTTGGAGAAATGTGATTTCCTGTTCGGAACAGTAGTCGCATGTTGTCATGCGGCTAATGTTCCGATTTATGATGATCACGTTCATGATGATCACGTTGTTGCGAAACACTAGCTATTTAGTCTTATCTAAAAAGAGCTTTTGACTCCTGGGTCACAACAACGTAGAAATTTTGAATATTCAACGTAAAATTAAAAAGCCCCTAAGCTATTATGCTCGACATGTTTCCGTTATTTTCCACGGCCCTAAAACTCACACTGAGGCCCTCTGCTATAATCGACCGTTTAAATAAAAGAAAAATAGGCCAGGAAATAGATGTGAAATCTGGTGGGGAGGTGAAGCATAATTTTTTACATGTGGCAGCGATTCTGTGGTTTGATTGGTCAATAGTGGAAGCTGATTGGTTTATTGCTGTCACGTGTCAAAACATATACATTTAAATTATTAGTAAAAATAGTTAAAACAAAAGGAAATGCTGATGGAAAAGAGGGCTGTGGTAATTTCGGCCCAAAAATGCATGACAACTGTATATGGTTATCGTCATAAAATTTGCCAAATCAGTTTGCAAATGCCACTCAGAGATTTCAAACGAAACAAAAGGATCCTCAATATTTCTCCTAAAAATGTGTCTGCAGCTTCACAGAAACAAACCTAAGCAGCATTTAAGTTCAATATAACAAACTTACTGACGAACTTAATGAGTTTGGTGCCAAATCGACCAGTCACTCCTGGATTAGTCATAAGATTAAGTCTTATGAAAAGTTGATGTTTGTAACTTGAGTCCCGTGTTTATTGTTTATAACGTGAGTTCCACTTTTCAAATTGATGATGATTGAATGATCTGTTTTGGTTTGTTTAATGGTTGAGGGTGAAATAATAACCTGAGTTAGAATGAGTACAGTTGTTTAATGGTTGAGGGTGAAATAACCTGAGTTAGAATGAGTACAGTTGTTTAATGGTTGAGGGTGAAATAACCTGAGTTAGAATGAGTACAGTTGTTTAATGGTTGAGGGTGAAATAACCTGAGTTAGAATGAGAGAGGCCGCACAGCTGCACACCACGACACATCTTCGAGAGTACTTTATCACGAACAATCATCAAATTACCTTTCCTACCTTGTATGTCCAAGTTCTGCCACCGAATATTGTGCTGTAAAGTTTTGTATACCGCACGTTACTCGGCGGGTATATGATCTTTTTCCGTTCTGTTGTCTCATTCTTGTACTTCCACTGCATTGTTCCACTCTTGTTCAGGGTTGTTGTTCGTTTGTTGTTGTTTGTATTCGCCACTATCCGAATTGAATCGTTTGGTATCTGTGGAAATTTCATAGGTGATGTCATGTCGAAAATTTCTTCGCAGCTTTGAGTTTGATAGGTATGCTAGATTTGATAGGTATGAAACGGTGGCGTTCTTTGCAGAGGAGTAAGGTCACTCAGAGGTCATAATCTCCCAACATAGTCATAACAAACGACATATGCGCTTTTTATATTTCAAAAGAAGCCAATGAAAGTAAGAATTACCGCAGTTCTTTTATTTAGATAAATATAAAACATATGTTATACAAGCCGCACTCTATGACTGTCTGTGTACAAATGAAAAAACATGCAAGTAACCTCAACTAACCTGGAAAAAGTCCACTTCCTCGATGAAAGTGCTGCAGTACACGTTTTTCGGCTGACTCAGCAGTCCCCTGCTCTGGTAAAAATAGAGAATGGCCTCAAAACTGAGCCTACATCTGTTAGTGAATACGTACGCTTGTCTCACGGGGTCCCAGAATAATTCTTTTTGGTTCGATCCCAGGAGAGTGTTAGGGTATCGTTCTAGTGTCTCCTAAAATTAGGGTCGGGTAATGTTACATAATACACGATTATACAATATACGTACCATGCAAATACCTCAGATCCTCGCCTTAGAGCCATTTTTGTTATAAATTGCTAATGTATAATTTATGGGATAGCTGTCTCAAAAATAATTTTCTGATTTTTAGCATATTGCAGAGTTGATGACAGAAAGGAATTTAGACCTGCGTTCGAATGTTTGACGTAGCCTATTTTCCTCTCTAGAAATTACCTTTAGGGTCTTGAAAGGCTCTCCCGAGACGATGATGTGAACGAAGTTGAACTGGTTTGTCACCACACTCAGGGTCGTCTCCTGCTCCGATACAAAGTCGTCTATCGCAATGCTACCCACCTCCTCGATCATGACGTTCTGATTATCGTCAGCACCTTTAAGGAAGCCACCTATCTTCAACCAATCGACAGTCAAATACTCTGGCAACTCTTCGAACATGGAATAACTCGAAACGAAAGCTCAGCAAGACAAAAAATGTTTAATGCTCAGTTTGTCGTGACAATTACCTAAATCTCATATGTAGCTTATTTGTTCTGAGTGGTCAGCTCATTCAGTTTTAACTTGCTGATTTTTCAATGACACACTATAGCTGTAGTGTGATTACGTTAATATAATATACGTTAATAGATAAAATTGTGTCGATATTCGGAATAATTATCTGTTGTAACACTATAATCTAACGAGTTGTACTTGTAATTTATAAAGCAAGCTTTATACTTTATTAGTTTAAAGCAGACAGTGTGTTGCATGCGACCTAGATTTGATATCTTGATCGGAAATCTTGATCAGAAATCCACCAGAAAGCCAAAGCACGAAAATTAGAACGAACAAAAGATGGATTGGTGGGATACACCACGATTTACAAACGAAAATCTTCTCCACAATTAAGTTATAATGTTTCTCTCAAAGGTTAAGAATATACCAGCTATCCGAGACAGGGCGCGATATAATGAGAGTGACATTAACCCAATCATGGACTGATGTCGCACATTGAGTATTAGCTCGGTCACACTCTCTTAAATGGACGGTTAGATCGGAAGCTTTTAGTCCGGGCACGGGGTGGACGTGTTCTCTAGTGGTTTGAGTAATTGGAGTGAGGGGAGATGGCTATTAACCTGTTACTTCTTGTTCAAGAAAAACGATCGGAACTGGTTATGTTTACCATTAGTTAGTTCAAATTGTCAAGTCATGGGTTATTTGTTGATGCAATGTTGCAGAGCGCTATGAGAATTGTCGGCTTAAACAAGACGTGACTCACAATTGTACTCTGATGACTAATTTTACAAGCCGCTCTTTACTTACAGCACATCATCCACTTGTCATACTTTTTTTCAGTAAATGTGCAGAACTTACTTTAGGGAAATTTTGCAGCCGTTGTGGTAGTTTAGTAGTTTGCTGCAAAGTGACTGGATCTATGCAATCATACATATCTTTGTGGCACCAAGTAAGCAACATATTTTCAGTGTTTAACCTTTTCTCTTTGATGTCGTAACCATAGTCCTAAGTCCTAACTCATTGGGCATGTATTTAGGAAGGTTATTCCTCAAGTGGAAAACTTGCAGTTATAATCTACCATGGAATACATGTTGTAAGGTCTTGTTTAGATTAAGCGGAATCAAGTTTAGATGAATTGTAGGTATTCACTTGTCAATGTCAGCCAGATAGTATGGTTATAGTTTGGCAAATAGTAACCTAAAAAAGTGACAAGGTTCTATCTGATGAGCATATCTTTTTATAAAAATGTTCCATGGGCGTATTATAGTATGACATTGCTACAACACACAACTTCAAAACAATATAACATTCAGGAGCTATCAGATGGGTACAGAATGGCCGCAATTGTTACATAATGGCGGGTGAATGCGAGCTTTAAAGTGGTTTGATAATATCTAGAGTCAAGATATCTGATCGCTGTTTTATGAGCCTGATTTTGTTAACTTTCGGTAAGAAGAATTTTAAAACGTCCCGTTAAGTGCAAAATGACCGGCACGTTTATACATAAGCTACAAGGAAACATGTGGCCTAAAAATAACTATCTTTTTGAGTTACTGTTGAAAACCCAATTTCACTAATCAAGCAAATAAAATGTATGCGGTGAATCAAGTTGGTAAGGTTTTAGGGATGTCCCCATCTAGGTGCAAACTGTTTGCAAAAGCCATATTTATGCTCGACTTATGAAGCAAAAAAGCCCTCAACTGCTTCTTTTTGTGTTATTTACGAAAAGTAAATAATTGCGGTCATTTTACACCCCTCTGAAGCTCCTGCGTGTCTTCCTGGTGGATATTATAAGTTGCAGAAGTAGGATGGTAAGCGCTTATAGACCATTTCTCTAGACAGTAGTGCCCATCAGATAGGACCTTACCACTTGTTTGGTGGTTCCTGGGAGTGGGAACAACACTTCTATGGTTGCGATTAATTCAGAACATTTACTCTTTTTTACTAAACTAAGAAAAAAGGCGAGGACTAAAGTTTTACTAAACAATCCAAAAATCGTAAATAAGGAGAAGACTAGACTCGAGCAGGATGTTCAGCGATCCCAAATGCTAACCTGATTTTACAACGCCGCTGGTCGCGGCAGCAGGCATCTAATTATTTTAAGAGTAGACATAATGTCTACTCTTTAAATCATTTGATGCCTAGACCTTGCAACTTGGCTATCTGACCAATCAGGTGTCTACAGATGCGTGTTCATTAGTATCAATTGTCTAAGCTTTGACCCCTTCAATAAAGACAAAACATCACGAGGATTATGGTGCGATACAGTAACTGTTTTGAGATCCATCTAAGCATCTATATAGTCGATTAGCAGGCTCAACCCATGCCTAATTAATTTGCTTGTCGCTTGATCTCATTTGTTTTGGGTTGTTTGAGATATCAACGCTTTCTATGCATTGCTTGCTTTCGCATACATCTGAATTAGCATGTAATTTTCAGAATTATGTATGTAAACAGTAAAGCGTGGGCAAGTTAGAAAGGGAGGAGGGAAGATATTCTCAAAGATACTGAACTCATTTCTTCATCCTCAATACGATTATTGTATTATGATATATTTTGCTGAATTTTTGGTTGATTGCTTGATGATTTTTTCCTATGCTGATGAGTCTATTTTAAATTTACTTTTGATCGTTTAAATTTTTACTTTCGGTGTAAAAGTTTTGTATAGTTTTATTGATTAACCAGTCTTCATTTAGCAGAATATTTATTTTACGAAGAACTCATCTAGAGATGCTACCTTCACTGTGTGTAATGACTGTGTAATGACTGTGTACTTAAGTATTGAACCTCAAATATTTAGGTCAATTTGCAAATTTGACAGAGGAGTTTAATTTGCAGAGCTTTCGCCTCATCCTTAATTACGATCATTAGATCAATACAATTAGTTTTTTTATAGAATTGAAAACTCCTAACAAGTAACAAAAGTCAATCGATTTCTGACAAAACCCCAGAATATTTGCAAAATAAATAATAAACTAGCAGATTAATAATAAGTTTACAAAGTATGATGTAAATATAATACTTGAGAGTTGAGTGCACTTTAAGACACATTTAAAGAGAGTTATACCATAGGGTGCTAAGCGCAGCTATGCTGTGCATTCTACAATCTGCAAATTGTCGACCCAACTTGAATAGCTCATGCTGAAAGTCCAACCAGTTAGAATCACCTCTTTTCGCTTTACTGTTACTGCCCACATCTCACACCAATTGTCATGTGCGACGCTAACAAACTGTCCAACGCACACTCGTGTGAAAGTTAGCCTCAATTTGGTATGTACAAATGTTATTTGTATACGTAGTTGGACTAAATAAGGTTCTATAATTGAGTGCACATTTTTGATGCTATGTTTTTAACAAGATGGACTGAAAGAGTTTACATATGGCTTAACTATCGCAGCATGAATTGTCTCGAACCGAAGTACTACAACTGTGCAGTTAACAAGCTTCAAGATGCCTTGCAGTGGGAAGTCAATCAGTGAGACAACCTGTTGTCTGCATTGGCAGTGAGGTCCGCAATACTACTACTCGCTGGTCAATGCAATACTGCTTGCTGACTAGTCTTTGAGAAAATTTCTACACATCCAACCATGTACCGTTAACTTAACTTATATTTTCTTATACAAAATTTGGCGGAATGACAGGCTGAGCGCTGCCCAGTAAAATATAATATGACATAACAAGCAATTCTAATGTAATACTATGAACTGCATGGCAGTAATAAAACTGAATGAAATCCAACTCTCTAGAAAGCAAGAAGATGTTAAAATATCCCGAACGAAGCCTCAAGTCTCATAATTCTTTTCATTCTAATATAGTAATATAGGCTTCCAGGAGTTTTTAGAATACCTTTTTACAAATTTTCAAATTCCGATGCACTGACAATTATATACCGCAGCTAAACTTTCGGCTCAGTGTCCCTTCTCAGAGCAAGAAAGAAGGGGGTGGTATGTTCCGTCCTTCTGACAGAAGGTTCTTTGAGGAGCAGAGTGGTGGTCACAGAAGAGCATGACTGAGTTTCCAGGGAGGACTGGATGGTGGGGCTCCGTGTAACCACCCTCTACCAACAAAACAGGACACCCTGCGGTTATATTATCTAGGTTAAGTGAGCTGCAAGAAGCTAAAGCGTCATGATAAAATTGATTTGGATCACAATATTTCCAGAATAACAGAGTCCTGTTTTACTTACATCTTGTAGAGTTCTCGATTTCGTTAGATTGAAAATTACTGCATAATTTACACGATCTTTTACAATTGTAAAACGCTTCAGTAGGATATTTTAAGCAAAAGTCGGTGTCAATTTCAATGTTCTGTTTGCAACGCGTCAGTTCGTAATCTGTACAATCTTCTGAACTGGTCACTGAGGAATCTGATGTTAAATAAGGTGGGAGCTTAAATTTAAGATTGCTAAAAACATTTATCAGATGAATTCCGTGAGTGTGTGTGTGGGTAATTACTCCCGGGCTACTATTCGATGACCCAGTAGAGGAATCTACGTATCTCTCCTAAGTAATAAGTATCCTAATATAACTATAAGTAAGTTTGCAACAAGCAAATTTCGTTAAAGAAATTTGTCCGATTCTCCTCCTCATGCTAAATTAAAACCGATGACTAAAGAAAATAAAATGATCACATCACGATCAAAGAATGGCAGGTCTATAAACTCACAAGTAGATCGCCCTCTCCGTCTAAAAATGCGAGGCTGGGGGTTGCATGGGCGGGGTTTAGTGCGGTGACCCCTGGTTTTAGGTATCGCTGCACCTGTTACCGTGTCCACACACCAACAATCCCCATTGTCACACTGCATCTGTAGAATGAATTGGAATTGAGACTTTAGGCATGCAACAGAGTGGTAATCGCTAACTTTAGAATTTGTTAAATAAGGAATTTAAACTTTCGCATATATGTCGATTAAGCTTTAACTCTTTAATAAACTAAAATTACCTCATGAAACTCGCCACGTTCATTGCACCTCGGGGTAAACGCATCAAATGGCACGATATATCCGTCAAATCGGGAGTTGTATACCGGTCTGCCACTCTGGTAGTTGAGACAAGTGGAGTTTGACATGACCACTGGTCGGCATGTGCCTGGAGCATGGTTGTATTCTCCGGACTCCCCACATCTTAGCACTGCTTTTCCATCCAGTTCGTGTCCTTTATAGCAGGTTATCTAGGAATTAAGGTTCGTAAATTTATTGAGGCGAAATTCAGTCGGACTACAACGTTGTATGTACGGACACGTGACACGTGACGCGTGTGACGAGGCAGCCTAGCTTGATAAGGCAGCTGCAGTTGCTAAACTCCCAACTTGTACGCAATAGTAATCATCTGCAGAGACATTTTTAATTTACTCCAAGGTCTAACCTGTACAATGGAACCAGTAACAACAGGGCCAGTAGGGAAAGAAGCACCATTCTCCACTACAACATCAGCACAGGTGGTCGTGTCACCACAGAATCCACACGTTTTAGCACAGTTATCCAGCATGAAGTTCTTGAAGAAGGAGCAGTATCCAGCTACTACAAATCGGGCACAGTTGTCTCGTCTGTCCCGGCAGGCTTGTTTGTCAGGGATATTGAGGTTCGGGCAAGTTCCACATGACCTGTGTTTTGAGGTGATATTCAGTTTTACAATTACTTTCGCTTGAATGGTACTTCAATTTAACTTTTACCTAGTCACTTTCATTGTCATGATTCAGTTTTACTATTCGATTCAAACTATACATTTGTGGACCAATTAATGAAAGGCTAAAACATTCGAATGTCTTACGACCGTTCGGTTCTAAACCATGACTCTATAACAATCGTCTACATATATAATATGTATCAACAATAAATCGTTATTATTTCACCAATAAGAAGCTAACCTTGGGCAGAACTGTACCATATAAGGAGCTCCAGATAAACATTGACCTGCTCTAGCGAAATCTTTACACAGTGGGCTAACATCGTTACAAGAGTAGAAGTCCATATCCAGGAACTCTTCAGATACTTCGTTAACTGAGTAAAATTGGGTTCAAAATATATACATTTTTATCAATTACTCTATTTCCAAATATATTATCAGTGCAATTATATAACATAAGAATCTGATCTAAATCTAGATGATATCATTAAGGAATATTGCTGGATCGTAAAACGTTAATTTTTTGAGTCTCAACCTTGTCTTTTGGACCGTTTGTTGTCTTTAGTTTTGCTATAACTCTGGAACACATCCTCCATGGTGCTGCCTCGACCGTACAGCTTTCCTTTGGACCGTTCAGAGGGGAAATATTTGTCAGCTGGTCGTCTGTTGTACTCGTATGGAGCTTAAGGAAGGGGTAGAGGATATTAAATAATTTAATTTTGATGACAGTGGATACCAACGAAACAGGATTCCTAAGGCAAGGGTCATTTTAATGGTAAATAAACTTTTATTGTAAAGACTTGCGAAACTTACTGCAATCAGGTCTCTCGCCTGAGGCATGAGTAAACCTAGTGTCTTTAATCTCCTTGCCGTTGAGATTTACACAGAAACAGCAGCAGCGGTTGCATTGCATGGGTAGATACTGGCCCCTGATTATTTCAACTTTATTTGAATGACAAGAAATGCGAAAAGCAACATTCAGGTCATCTTTGTATTACAAAAAATAAATAAAGATACCATTGACTTTAATAAACGCTCCGTCGATCCTCTAGTTTATTATAATGAGTTGATAAACCTTACTAAAACTAATAACTGTTACTACCTAGTATCACACTCCGGTACAAGCTCATATTCCGGGATAATCCAGCCCACTTCAGGTAGCTGTATTGGCTGAGACTTCCGGTACTTCTCCCTCTGACACTGAGTCATCCTGTATACTGCAAAATGCGACTGTTTAGTGAAAGTCAACCCAGTGCAAACTGGAGAGTGGAGGTGGACTGAACTTATCCGCTCGGCTTAGACTCTTGTTAAAATGTATTTCTTAGAAACTGTATGGAGAGCATATATAGACTGCTTCATTTAACTAAAAACATACTAACACAAATTGTCGGTCATCTTGGTACATTCTCCTCCCGGTGAGTAATACCCATCTTTCTGACAGGTTAGAGTTCCTCGTCCCAGCAAATAATAACTATCTTCACAGGAGATAAAGATCTTGAAGCCGGGTGGTACTGGCATTCCTGGATCCGTGTACCCGTGTTCTATGTCACTTGGAACTTGGCATACTGCCATGAAGGTTTGCGACATCAGCATATTTGAATTTTTTTGAACATTCGAGTATACCACCTTCTAATATTGAAGCAACTGTCTCGATATATAACGCCATATTCACAGTTTTGATTGATACACATTTCAGTTCAAATCGATAATCTCTTCAAAACGACAAAAGTTAGACTCACTCGTTGGTGAACACATTTCACAGGTTTTCTTGCAGTTCTGTAGCATGTAAAAGGGTTTGTTCTGACACTGACCTCTGCTCTTGTGTCCATCGCATGTTTGTTTGTACTGGGATATTCAAGATATGAGACTCATTCAAGGAAATAATTTCTGACCCTCAGTTTCTTCCGATAGTTAAATTAGACCACATAAAATATAATAGAAAGGATTAATTTTACCTGATGATCAGAACAGTCGATGTCTTTATCCGGGTCGTAGTTGTCCCAAAGTGCTTTAACCTCCGCAGACAGCTCCCCCTCGATGTAGGTTGTATCTTCCAGGTCGGCTGCTTTCTGGACTATATCTTTCACCTGCACGGAGTATCTTCATTGGGACGGCAAATTTGAATCAACCGCAGGTTAGTCGTCATGAAAACTTTTAACATTCTAAATTCCTGAATCAACTGAAAATGTCAGCCATTTAGGCCATACTGTTTGTCACACGGCATAATGCTGTTATTGCATGTTTGTGGGGAACATTATACGACTAACTCTAACCTCAATATCCGATGCACACTCATCCTCCTCTAAATCTATATTGCACAGGAGTTTCTCCTCTTCCAACATAGCCAATAACTCTTCCCCCTTCTTCTTTTCCTCGGCTCTTTTCTTATCTTCCTCCCGCTTTTTAGCCTCCTGGCGTTTTTTCTCACCCTCTTGACGCAACTTTATCTTTTGATTCTCCTCGTATGTCACTTGGTATGGGAAAAGAAGTTGAAATTATGAATTGTACGATATCTAATTATCGAATGAGTTCAATGTTTGACTAATCGAATCATCAGTTATTGTACTTGTAGTTACTTACGTTACTTTTTTTACAGACTCCGGTCCCAGAGATACGAACTTTCGTCATACATTTAGATAATGATTCCAGGTATAATATCAGGTAGTAGAGACTAGGTAGGACAAGTGAAATTACTACTGTTTAGGAGGAAACGCGAGCTTTCAGTGTGCTACACTTTCATCAGGCTCAAATTATTTGTTATATAGTATTAGTAGTGCCTAATAGTATCAAAATGAAAGTGTAGCACACTGAAAGCTCGCGTTTCCTCCTAAACAGTAGTTTCACTTGTCATACCTAGTCTCTACTACCGGATATTATCCCTGGAATCATTATCTTATCATGAGACTGATAAACAGTGAACCTCTCCAGAATCTCATACATTTAGATACTCACACAAATTAAGTTGAGAGCACATCTCACAGGTTTCAGGACAGTGGTATCTCATATACCGGGTCTGGGACTGACACCAGGACTTGTGTCTGTATGTCCGACATTTGTCAGGTCTTATCTTATCTAGACACAATCCCTCTCCCACTGAGAGGAATGCTTTATCAATATCTAGTTGTCATGGTGATCGTGATCGTGTTCAGTCGGTGCACCTCAAAATTATAGCCGCCCTATCTGAGATCTTGAAATGTTCAATCTCTTATTCTTAACTACGAATCATACCTTCAGTATGTAATGATCTCATGTGTCGCTTCCAAATTCAGAAAACTACTTCATAATATTAAGATACAAATATCGCAAGTAAATACAACTCGTATTTACCTATTTTCCCGAGTGTTTGTTTCTTTGTAATCAGCCACCCTACGTTACTTGCTAAACCTCCGTAGTCTGAAGAATTTGTAATTGGTTTTTCAATTGATTAACTAAAATTAATCTGCAAATACCATTTCAGATCTGAGTACTGGTGGGGATGTGAACCATTTTTTCTGACACGTGACATCTATAATTAACCAACCAGTTACTTTTTAACCATCTTTCAACATTGCCCGATCCAGAATTAAGTTTCACGAAGACTTTTCTGTGATCACTTTAAGTCTTACCTATTTGAGGTAGAGGTAGAGGTTGAGGCTGATCGAGTTGGGGTCGTGGTCTAGGGCGGATCTTCTTAACAACTTTTGGCTTGATTCTTCGAACTTTGAAATGAAGCAAATCAAATTCAACACGCAGTGTAATATAAGGGTCAGATAAAATTTAGAAAAATGCTTACTTCTCTAGCTTATATATCGTGATAACTAGGAAATCATTGTATCAGGTGTCTTCTTCAATGGCATTATAATGGCCACCATCAGATTTAGGAATATCCAGCAGCGTTATTGGGAGTAAGACTTCATCACTGAGGAGAATGGACCAAAGCCAATACGGCAATAGAGCGATAAGGAAATTCTATGCAATGAGTGTTTTCTTAGATTTCTTAAGGCCATTTTTGATTTTGCCCGATTTGATAATATATTTATCAAATAGGAGCCGATACGGTGCTTATGTTTTGAATATCATATTGATGGCCATATTTGTCATCTAGTCGTTGTCATAAAAGATGTACAATAAGCTCACTTATGATATTTATATCAATATCAATGTGACCTTCTATTTAGGTCAACTAGTTTGTAATTTTAAATATGATTTATAACAAGAATAAAAATCTTTCAATTTTCTAATTCAATTTTAAATCAATCTTTAACCAAAAATATTTTCCAATGTACATTCATTAAAACTCCAATAAAATCGATAAAAATGCAAAATGTGCAGTGTCAAAGCTTTTTTATAATCTATATACAAAGAAAATATGTCATATCCGTTTCAAACGTCCGTAGTAGGCCCCTCCAACTCTGAAAAAATTGGATGTTAAATGATTTTTTCAGAGCGAAGGTTTCATGCAAACCTTGATCGGTAAAATCACCATGATGTACTGAGTATGTGCACAGAAACAGCTAACGTTTCTGAAGTAGACTAGGAATAGGAACAAGGAAGACATGCAAGTTGATGAAATGAAGTATTTTTATTGCTTGTAATGTTGGAGGGGCCCACTTTACCCTGACAACGCAAATAAACAACATAGAACTTGAAAGAACTTACTCAACAATCAACAACTATTACTCTGTCACAAACACGAAAAATGCTTCAAGAATACGTTTTGGGAGGTTTACTTACATTCGTCGGCGGGCTCAGCATCTGAAATTTTAAGAGATTAATGACAATTTCCTTTTTAATCCGTTTACAGGACCAAGACACTTTATTTTCATGAAAATGGTTTCAAGCACAATATTCTACACACACTAAAACCAACCAGCTTCTCGCTTATTTCTCCTTCTCTTCTTGTTTCGTCTCCGGGCGTCCTTGGTGTTTTCTTCTACCTCCTCTTCCATGATAACTTCTTCGACAACCTTCTCAGGTTCGCTAGCAACCTCTGTCTCTACAGCAGCTACTTCCTCTTCGCTCTATTAAATGAGATTCACTATTCAAAATGATAGCTTAGATTCAATTAGTTTATTATTAGAGTAACTGTTAGTCCCGATTGAATATGATCATTTTATTATTTTCATTATTATTATTATTACATCTCCTTCAGTGTAGTAGTATGAATTATCGAATCCATCTCCATCATCATAGTAAGCATCTCCTCCAGAGGCATACCCATCACTGCCACCTGCATAGTAACCATCATCACCAGCGTAGTAACCATCATCACCAGCGTAGTAACCATCATCACCAGCAGCATATCCATCACCACCTGTAGCATATCCATCACCACCTGCAGCATATCCATCACCACCAGCAGCATATCCATCACCACCGGCAACATAGTATCCATCACCACCAGCAGCATATCCATCACCACCAGCAGCATATCCATCACCGCCAGCAGCATATCCATCACCACCAGCAGCATATCCATCACCACCGGCAACATAGTATCCATCACCACCAGCAGCATATCCATCACCACCAGCAGCATATCCATCATCCCCAGCAGAATATCCATCACCACTAGCAGCATATCCATCACCACCGGCAACATAGTATCCATCACCCCCAGCAGCATATCCATCACCACCGGCAGCATATCCATCACCACCAGCATCATAGTATCCATCACCGCCAGCAGCATATCCATCACCACCAGCAGCATATCCATCACCACCAGCAGCATATCCATCGCCACCTGCAGCATATCCATCACCGCCAGCAGCATATCCATCACCACCAGCATAGTAACTATCGTCACCTGCAGAATATCCATCATCACCAGCATAATAACCATCATCACTAGCAGTATATCCATCGTCAGGAGCAACATAGTAATCTTCGCCGCCAGCGACATAGTAATCATCGTCACCTGTAAAGTGGGGCTAGGGTGAGCATATTTTAAATTGATATGTGGCGGTTAAGCAACATATCAATTTGCTCATTGGCCAAAAGCAATCGAACGAATGGCATTTAGGGGACAATATATATTAAATGGTCCTGACCTGAAGTTTCGTATCCAGCATCCTCACCAGCTGATCCGCTGTTGTCATAATTGTAGTCATAGCCAGAGTCGCTATTGTCGTAGTTGTAATCGTAACCTGAATCGCTGTTGTCATAGTTGTAATCGTAGCTCGAGTCGGCATCTCCGCCAGCAGAAGTTGATCCACTACTGTCATAGTTGTAATCGTAGCTGGTTTCACTGTTGTCGTAGTTGTAATCGTAGCTGGTGTCGCTATTGTCGTAGTTGTAATCGTAACTTGATTCACTATTATCGTAGGTATCATAGTTGTAACCATCCGATCCTGAGTTGCTTGCACCCCTTTCTAGAGCTAATCTCTCGTAATAATCCTTAGCGGATCCTGGAGCACCTGATAAAGAATAAAGCTGTAGTTAATGGTACTTTTTACAGTCAAACTTCTATCATCATGCTTTGATTCATTTGATCCCTGGATGTAGCAGGCCTACTTTCTTCCCAAAAACGTTTTTTTGAGCTGCTAGTAGACCAATTATGCCGTCTAAAAATGTTGGTCCTCGAATAAGGATATGATTATTATTTTCTTACAGCTGATGTATTCATGTTTTCCCTGGATCCTTGTTCCTTGGATCTCAATCCCACGATACATGTCAGCGCAGAAGGTTTCTCCCTTTCCTCCGTCATACTGGATCTCTTTGTAGTTGCCTGAGCGGAGAGTTTATTAATAAAATATTCTTATTTAATTGTCTTCGTGACGTTGGGAAATTTATGAATTCATTCATAACCATCACCAAGATGTAGCCAACTTTGGCCAATATTAACTTCGCCTGTTAAGGTTTCTTTCATTAATTCTAAAACTACCCATTAAGTATAAACTTACCCTCGTAATCATCACATTGAGGCACGTAATGTGTGGAGACTTGAGGGATCACGTATTGAGCATTAACATAGGTCGGCTCCATGGCTGATTTAGCGGCTCTTTGACAAGCAGTCTCTTCTGGTGCTGGGTAACGGCTATCATCTCCACCTGTAATATCCCTCCCTGATTAATTGTATTTTAACTACTTTGTTTATTTTAAATATGTGAGTAACCTGTTAAGTTAAAGATTCTCCATTGGCAGTGGGAATTGTGCTGATGGTGTGAAAATCTTCTTACTTACACTCTTTATACAACTACTTACCGATCTCCTCGCATCTAGCAGAACCTTCCATTTCTCCGAAAGCACCACAGGTCAACTGCCCGTATCCCATGTTTTTGAAACCCTCGTAACAGTAAACGTTGACTGTTGCTCCGGCGGGGATCATGATCATCTCAAAATCGGTCCAACCGTTCTCCACATCAGGTGGCGTACAAACTAACAAAATTGGAGATTCAGATAAATTAAGTTGACTGCCACTTGCTTTTGAGGTTTTCTCACAGGTTTCAATTGGAAGAAATTTCTCAGATTTTTGTTGGCACCCATCTAATATCATTCTGATACCAAAATCTGTAAATAAAGCAATTTTAAAAGCATTGTTTTGAACTATTCTAATCTGTAACTCACGGGTAGCGCCACACCAGCCGCAAGTTTGCGCACAGTTCATGACCATGACAGCAGAGTATTTCTCACAGTGGCTCTGGGTCTTGTACCATTCACAGTCCTTGGTGGAGCAAGTGTCCCGGCAAAGCTCCATACTCTCCGGCTCTCGTTCTGTCAGAAGGGTGTTTGTTAAGGGTGTGATAGATGCTTGAGGAAATGATGCAGCTTAAAGAGTACAAAATATTGATTTCATAGCTGCAGGCAACTGGTAAAAATGAGTTAAGTTCAACTTAGTTCATGAATAATGTGGATATGTTTTATTAGCATGGCTCTCACGACAGTTAGACAAAACCACTCGACTAGAGTGAAAGTTAAACAGCTACCTAGAACTTTCATTCACACACGGTAGTAAAATATAAACTGCTGGTACCTGGTCTAGGATCTACAGCAGTACCGGGTTCACCCCCGTCTCCACCTCCACCTCCACTACAGAACCCACAGCTTTTAGCACACATCTCTTTGAGAGTATCCCCATAACTCTCACAATACCCGGCCTCTTTGTAGTAGCTGCAATCTGCGCTGGTGTCGGAGCATCCACTCACCAGAGCGATCTGAAGAACGAACAGCACAAACCCCCTCATATCTCCTCAAAACTCAGCAAAATCGTAAAATCAAACGTGTCTCACCTATATGTAAACCATCGGGTGTACTTTGTAACGCGGAAATACTGTATTATATGTTTGCGGTTCTCGTCCAATGGCTGGTCCGTTTATCGCTGCTCAAAGTAAACAATTTAAGTGCGTCCGTGGTAAACAGTTGAGCCGGCGTCAACACCTTCGGTGAAACCTGCCAGCATCTGCTATTCAATTTGAAAAATGAAAGGTCATGGTAGCGCTTCCTGTCAGTTTCGAAATTCAGTCGTTTTGGGTCCAAAAAAAGATTAAAATTTGTTGAGGGCCGAAAGTTGTTCAGGTTTTCTGGGCGTCACGTGATGGTCAAGTCCATTAGCTTGATTGAACACGTGTCGTTTACCATTTGTAAACAAAGTAAAACCTTTCATATTATTTTTATGCCATATTGTCGCAAATAGACACTTCCGGTAATACCTGAGTGCCCAAACAAATTTACACCATTGTAATACAGAATATAACTTTTATCACGGCCGGCAATTTACTTTAAGTCAGATTCTCACATTTAATTATAAATAATAGTGATTTTAATAAACTTGAGAACCTGTTTACGAATGATTGGAGGCATCTTAGCAGAAAAGGGGTATTAGCATGTGTAACCAAAGCAACTTTCTTGGCATAGCTAAAACAAACAATTATATGAGCATATAAATATTAAATAACAGTATCATTACTAACATCGATAAAATGTCATTAACATTTGATGTTTTACCCATAATTCATTAAGGGAGATCATGCGAAACCACAAAAACGAATAGCAGGTTCTTCCCAAAATGGAAAGAAATTTCTCAAAAATTCAACTAACAAATACTCGGACACTAAAACGTTCCTTGCTCAATTAATTGATTCTTATATCTGGGTTACTGGGTACCAAAAGATCTCTAATATCTATAAAGAGATAAAATCCTACGACGTAAGATATTCATTACAAGCAGATATCAAACTCTTGAGTGCCTCCCAAAACTGTTTCTCAACCCCCTTACGTTTTGAACTTTCACAGCTCTTAGACTCAATTTCTCTCCGTTCCTTGTTGGAGTAGACGACAGGAGTTATCAAAGTAGCGAAGTAAGCCGTACTCTCTGCTCTATGTTTTATCACCAAAATTCGTCTCATTCGGTCCTCTAGCTTAGCACGGACCTTGTGAGCTCGCTCAACTGAAGCTCTTATATCGAGTCCTAGCCTTGAACCAAACTTGTTCAGTTCAGTGATATTTCCATCTACCACCCAGGAGGACAGACAAAGGAAAGTGTCTGTTATAGAGTTGAATGGTGTTTGTTTTTCTTTCAAGTCAAAGTTGGGCACTGGTAATTCAACAACTGAGTTTTTCCTGTTTTTCTGGATCTCTGCTTGTTGTTGTAAATACTGTTGTTTAAGTTCCTCTAATCGGGATAGTTCCTCTTGCGTATCTTTCTCTTGTTGTAGCTTCAAGCTACAAAGAGATCCCACAACCTCGATCAGGCCCGACACAAGCTCCCCGATCCCGTCAAATGCAGCCTTTACCTCTGGCAACAGATTCTCACGGACACGGCTAGCGTAGTGAGCGGCTTTATCCTCCTCACTAGAATCATCAGGACCAAACTTGTTGAGCCCTTTGTTGACGTCGTTAGCCAGGATGTTGAGTGAGTTCACCACATCTGCTGTGAAGAAGAGAACAGTGTTTATCTTCTTACACAGGGTCAATATTTTCTCGTGAAGTATCTTGTCTTCTGTTTTCACTATTAGTTCAGTGATCTTAGTTTCAGTTTTTTTGATCGTCTGATCTGTGGCTGTCGGTTCACTCATTGTCGCTATCTCAAACTAGAAAGTGTAGTTGTTAGTTCAACTATTTGTATCAGCTATGATACTGGCGTCAGTCAACAGCGTTTGGAAAACAATTCATCAGTACATGAACATCCGTTTCATTTATTACACAAAAGTATATAAAACAATTTCGCCTGAACAATGAAAACTGTATCACTACACTTAATTAACTTATCTGCCCAAAGTTAACCGTTCTTACTTATTCGAAGTGAAGCTAAGTAATCAGTACCGAAAAAGTTAAAACCAATTATCGCAAGATTGCATATGCAATGCTCTTTCAAGAAATCGCTGAATATCGCGAAAACACAAAAATAACTCATTTTCAACGCTCAACTAAAAGAGTTGCAGGGCACATTTTTGCGGCGCAGTGCAGACGATGCTTACATACTTTACCTTTACTATTATATTATTGAAATCATCAAATTGATCATTAGCACTTTCGTACTATGTAGGACTATACAAAATACAACGTTTTTCAACACGAAAAAGTAGCTAAAAGTATAAAGTAGCTATCAGATTACCTCAAATTATAACAGAGTTATATGATTGTTGTAAAGGCTTAAAATCTAATATCTATCGACCCTCTACAAACGGCCTAATGAGTTACAAGAACAAGTTGGACGTGCTCGGCCCACTAATAAGTAATACTCTATTAGTGCTTTTCATTGACAAATGAGACCCAACTCTAGATGTTATATAGTCACGGTTTCAACTGAATAAACCAGGTCAAGACAGTCGTTAAAACGTGTAGTTACTGTAGTTACAGTATTTACCGCGCTAGTTATCTGGCGATCAAGTTTCTTAAGTTACTGAATAAGAATTCAAACCTCATTTCAGATGTTAACAGTTTTAAGTTGAAACCTTTCACTTTCCCATGACGATTCCGAACAGCACTAATGGAGATTTTGCTATAAAGGATGAAGCAGTACGGTACATTTGGGCAGGATGGTTCATCTTCGTTCTTAGTTCATCACTGGTTGGAGACACAATCATTCTCATTGCTTCCATCAAGTACAAGGCTATTACATTGCCTAAATTGATAGTCGCTTTTATTCAGCATATTATAGCGGTTAGTGATTTGGTGACCTCCATGACTTTCATAGTCATACTCGCTGTCTCGCTGGTTGCCAACAAATGGACAGTTGGGTATGAGATATGCTACTTAAGTCCATATTTATTAATGAATGTCAGTGATTATCCAAAACAAAAGTTCATGAAAATAAAATTTTTGAAATCTTATTTGCCCCAACTGATAATTATTAATTTTCCCAGACTGATACAAAATGAAGCAATCTTATTTCTGTGCACAGATTTCTGACTTTGTCGCCATGAGCCCATGATCACACAGGGTATTTATGCTACTGACCACTACTAGTAATTTATCCATAACGTTCAGAACGTGAGATGAGTTTTAGTGAACGCATGTACAGAAAATGTTTAGTGAATGACAAACGTTCCGTATGTGCACTACAACTAAGGTATACAAGCAATACACCTACAGTTATAAAACTAATAAATTTCCAAAATTAATTAAATCTGTTAAATTTTGCCGTGGTCATCACCGTGTAGCCAGGCTCTCCCTCCCGAGTCGCTCTGAATGTAACTGTACTTACGGTTATCCGAGTCTTCATGGCACCAATTGCCGACATCAAAGGAATGTGTACAAGCATGGGTATTGTATTTCAGTATTATGTGATGGGATGGAAGCGTTTTAACCAGGTGAACTAGCCACTGGCTACTAGCCAGTCAACACCCTGGATCCACAATATGAAGTTTCGATTATAGATGAAAAGCTCGAATATATGTACTGCAAATATATTATATTACTACAAATAAATTATATTATTGCCGTGGTGTCATGGGCATACTAACACTACTAGGGGGGCGATCTTACTTAACACTACTAGATAACCTAAAAGCAGAAAGTGGGCTGAAGACTGAAGTCAGTAGATGCAAGATGAGATAGCTAGACTAATGGAGGACAGAAAGCTATGGAGAACTGTTGTCAATGGATCTCGGGACACTACCCGCCTTAAGTCAGTAAGTCAAGTCAAGTGTCTGCGGTTACTTCTTGGATGCTGTGTAAACGACTCAAGTATGGAACCTAACAGTTTCAGTTCCTCTCCAGGAAAGTTCACCGATTAATCAGTAATTTAATGCTTTGCTTTTACTTTTTAGCACGCGCTACAGTTATCTCTTGCTATAAAGGTTCTAAAGTTACTGAATTCTAATTTTAAACATTGAAACTTTCAGTTGATGCCTTTTCTTCTTTGCCATGATGTTTCCGAACAGCACTAATGAAGATTTTGCTATAAAGGATGAAGCAGTGCGGTACATTTGGGCAGGATGGTTCATCTTTGTTCTTAGTTCATCACTGGTTGGAGACACAATCATTCTCATTGCTTCCATTAAGTACAAGGCTATCAAACTGCATAAAATGATGGTTGTTATTATTCAGCACATAGCAGTAAGTAACCTGGCAACTTGCATCGCTGAGTCGTTCCCACACTCTGTCTCATTGATAACTAACAGGTGGATTTTTGGTACTACTATTTGCTACATTAAACCGTATGTCTGCGCCTTTATTTACCAGGCTGGTATCTTTCTTGTCTGTGGTATGGTAACCTGCAAGTTACTGATCCTAAAATACCCTGGAAGATCTCTCACCTGGTCTGCAGGAAGAGCTCACAAAATATGTTTTTTTATCTGGCTGCTGGCCCTTTACTGGCCAATATCCTATCTCATTATTGATAAAGAGGACATGTCATTTGACTACTACAGACCATACACATGCACCTACGAGTTCAATTCTACCACATGGAAGTTTTTGCAGCCGGCAAATTTTGTGATCTTTAATGTCGTTCCAAATTGTATTATCGTTGTAACAGCAGTTATGATTCTGGCAGTGACTAGAAGAGTGACACAAGAAGCGCGACAGGGAATGAACTGGCAAGGTGTTATGACAGTCGTCTTGACAGCAGCTGCATTCATCATCTCTTACCTTCCTATGGCAGTTTATCATATCCTCAAACCATTTGTGGAGAAAGATGCGCCTGGCCCGTTCAGGATTACTTACTACAGAGTAGCTAATTCCGTACTTAACATCAATGTTATCGCCAACTTTTACATTTACTGTCTTTCTATAAGCAGTTTCAGAGATTTCCTTCGTGTCAGAGTTCAGCGAATAACTTCCTGCTCCTTCAAAATACATCTACGCAACGGTGGGCTTTTTTATAGCAATTCCTTTTACTGCAATTAATTCTATTATCAGTTCCGTTGTTGAATACCTTTAGAATTATCACATGGTATGTAAAACATATTTCTTAGGGTTATATTGAAAACTGCTCATATTCTTTACGTGACGATAAAATTAGTTCAATTAACAAAAAACATAATCTGTCAGGTAACGAAGAAGAAAAAGTGCGCATTTTGAAGAATCCTAGAGGACAGGTCTCAAGTAGTCAAAAAGTTTGTATCTAACAAACTACTGAACACTGACGAAAATTAAAATACTTAGTAATAGTATTATCTTGAAATACAGTATTACACTGAATGCTGATCTCTCTCAAGGACAATCAATAATCATAAGGTTTATGTTTGATTTGTGTATTTTGATAATGTTCATCTCTTAACTTTGGCTTAAAAATCAAATTCAATTTCGAGTTGAAACCTTTTTTATTTTCTGAAGGGGCAAACTTGAACGCTATGGATATTTGCGTTCACACTTATGCCAGAAAATACTTCTTCTAAATTTTTTCATTTTGGGTACTTTTGTCTTCGCATTTGTAAGATTTAATTAATGCGTTTTTTCTCTTTGTTGAAAAAAAAACAAAAGATTATATTAATTGATAATAAAGATGATAAAATTCGCTTTTCTTTTTCGACCCATGTTGATCAAGAAGGTTCGTTTTGTGCCAAATAGAAGTTTCTTATGAAACATATGATGGTACTTTCTTACATCCACATCAACTTCTATCTCAGATTAAAATAATCGTTAATCAAATATTATACAATCGTTATCATTCGTTCACTTCCTCCATGACGACAGATTTATCATCTACTAACGGTATCACCTTCAGTATCTCCGGCTCCTGAAAATTCTTCTTCTTGTTGACCGGTTGAACCATCTCCCTGTCTCCATTCTTCTCCTTGGCAGGAATTTGACACTCCTTATACTTCATATAACAGTCTCTGCAGGGTTTCTGCATCTGGATCACCACCAACACAATCATCATGAGGGCGTGGGACGCAAAGAAGTGCCAGAGGTCGTGAGCATCCCAGAAGTCGTTGAGGACGCATCCCTGGTTAAGTTCCCGGGACTCCCATGGTGGTATGGACTTGTCGGTGCTCTCCAGGATCACGAAGAAGAAGAGGGAGACAATCACTAGTCCCAGTCCACAGAGCAGGTACAGGACTACTCCAGCCGGGATTATGTACCGGTAGTGCATAGGATCTGCAAGGGGACGTTTGTTATATTTTCATTTTTGTTTTTTATTGATTAAAAATTTGAAAGAAATGTGTGACTTTTTATAGTTATGTCTTAGCTGTCATAGAAAATTATAAACCATTTTTATAAGTCTAAAAGCTATCTACCCCCTCTGACCAACTTACACTTTTTATTGTTGGGTCGAACCACACGTGTCAGGGTGAACCAGAGATCACTCAGTAGATAAACAAACGAAGCAGCCGTCATTATCGTCAGTGCAACAATCAGCTCTCCCAGGATGAATATAGAAATCACAAGTTTCCCCATGACTACCATGATGAAGCCAATGACCACTAGAAGTGTATATGCCCCGAAAAAAACTTTCTTCAGCATGCTTGTTTCACTGGTTTTCTCTTTTACTTCCACTCCACCGGATGTAAAGTGGATGGTAGCTGCTCGGAAGTAACTTGTGGGCAGGAGATTGGCTTTGTAAGCAGCCCACAGTAATATTCCCAACACCCACAGACCAACGAATAAGAAAAAGAAGAAAGCTATTGGCTTCGGTAGCGGATCTATATAGTGGAGGTTTCCAAGAAAGTTGAATCCGTAAGCAGGCCCTAAAAAGAAGAGGAAGAGTTTAGGACTTCTGATAGATTTCCTTTTGGAGGAGAATAGCTTGTGTGCATCCTCGTGAACCTCTCTTCTTACTGCATGCCCGTCGACCAGTGCAGTGATGATATACTGGGGAGAAGTATCATCAAACTGAATCCCCGATATTCGTTTTTAAAACGGTATAGGTTGTACGATTTTTCTTTCATCGTTTTATTGTATTATTAAGACTCAATATTAGTTCACGACTAAATCAGGTTGTAAGATTCGTACAAATTATTAAGGAAACGAATAACGATTGGCTATTTGCACACTAGTTGTGACCAAATTAATTACCTGAGAGATGACGAACATAAAAAGAGTGTCGAACTGGAATATGATCTGAGCAGGACAGATGTGATAGAGAAGAGATCCAAACCTGTGGGAATGTTACTTCAATATTGGTTGGCAGGTTAGGATACTAGTCGGTGTCAATTAGTCTCCATTTAGCCAATTAGTCTCCATTTAGTTTCAATTATTATTAATCTCTTGTATAAGGGATCAATTTTACCCTTTACCAATTTGTAATATTGCTAGTGTCTACTGTCTGCTACGCTTTAAAATTTATAAAGTTACCCTTCGAAGATGAAAGCCAATCCAAAAGAGTAAGGAATAGAATAGTCGTATCGCTTGTGCTTGAGTGAGTAGCAACTGGTCTCCGCTAGAGAAACTGAGAGGATGATGATTGCTCCGTGTACCATGAAAGGAAGGTTACTTGCAATACCATTCACCGACACGTCGTAGTAACCTGTGAGTAATTGTGATCTGTTAAATCAGTAGATTCTAAATCTTGAAACAGTTGTCAGCTCTGATCACTTTCTATTTGGGGATGATGAGTCACTAGTCCTGCTGGCGGTGGGGCAACTCCAACAGAAAAAAAAAACACTCATAAGATTCTAACGTAAATTTGATAGTTCAGATCACCTAAATAAGGTCTGTAGCAGCGCTCATTGTAGTAACAGATGTCTCGGTCCCCCTTTTCCATCATCTCACCCCATTTCGCGTGGACAACCTGTAATAATTCAAATTCTTTACAACCAAATTGTTATTTTAAATACTTATGTGGCACCATTTTACTACTTTGTGGCACCATTTTACTACTTTGCAGAAAGTTTTGATTGCCAAACTATGGTTAAACTTCAAAATAATTTTCAAAATGAACTTCGAATTTTTCTTCAATCAAACCTGAAAAGCGCTGACAATCAGCATCCAGGCGAGAAATCCAGTCAGATAAGCCAAACCTTTGTTTCCGCTATAAAACCAGTTTATCACTACCTGAAATTTTGAATTTAGTCACAAAAATTTATAAAGAAATCTCTCTGAAAATTTGAAATGTAACTCAGTGTTGAAATGCAAATTTTTTTAATACCACTTTTGGTCGTTATCAAGTTATTTCTGATAACCATTCTCTGCAAAGAATATTGTGACAGTATAATTGATGTAAGTTTCAAAAATTACGCCTGTTCTTTTCAGTTTGAAAAATAACCTACCTGCCTCCAAGCCGCAAATGAAGCTTTCCTCTCCGCGTTCATATAATTGAAGATGTACCTGAACAGGATTTGATGTGAGATATTTACATCATCAAAAGAAATTTGTAAACCCTTCAACGGTATAATATATTCCATGTCAATAGTTCTCGTATTTAAAATATGTTTTATCACTCATTAAATAATATCTGACCTGCAAAAGATAGGAAGAATAACACCAAAACAGGACACTATTGTCAGAATAACCACTTTTGAAACATATTCGTAGTCCGTGTTCACACTGTGGACATTTTGTTTGTTAATTTCCCACCGTTATGAGCACTATTTGCGATGCCACAATGATGGTAAGACAGTATTGGTACCGTTGGAACAATTGGCAATGATGCCATCTGTAGCTGACAGCTATCACTCAAGATGGATGTTGATATTCGGATGCTGCCATCGCAGCAGTTTCTTAAATCTTCACTGAACCCTTTGCTTAGCAAATTATCCAATAAGTGTAATAATTAAAATAGGGCACTCACGCAATAGATATAGCAATGTTTTTCGTCTGCTCTTCATCAAACAGAATATGGCCTACCATCCAAATACCAGGTGCTAGACCCGGACTGGAAACGTCTGATAACACAATTCTACCTGGAGAAAAGGCGAGTATAATTATAGTACTGGTCACCAGTAAAACTGTAAGGATATTTTGTGAGGTCATTAGGTTAGCTAAACCTCCTTTTTGAAATTTGAGAACATGCAAAATAATCAGGGAATGAACTCGAGAAATTCTGGTTCATAATGAGAAATTCAGGTAATTGATATCGATTTATCACATAATATTTACTTTAACTTTTAACTTTTTAAAACTCACCGAATTTAGAGTAACCAAGTCGCATGCTGTTTAAGGTGGAGGTATTCGGAGAGATCAGGAAGTTGTAGAGCTCGTCTTTGTTTTGGGTAACTATCATTTTACCTGTCGTACAGAATGATCAGTGGTGAGCAAGCAGTGATTGAGTGATTGATAAAAACCTTCACGACAAGTTGATCACTCATAAGTATTACAGTACTCTTCGACAAGAAACAATGAACTTGACGAATATAATCAACACGAAAATACTAATATGTACTTACCAATAACATCAGTTTGATTTTCCCATCCCTCCACGCTGACATCCACAAAACGGTAGTTAACATCGTCCCAATTGTCTATAGCGAAAGTGTGGATAGAAGGAACGCCCGGTGTCAGCACGTGATAGGTTGGTGTCCCATCAGAGGGTAGCCGGACAGTATTCACTTCGTACAGCACCTCGAAAAACGCTCTCTCCGCACCTGCACAGGGGAAAACGTTGTTTGATGTTTATTAACTACTGGTAGGGTCATGATGTGGATATGTTATGATGTGTGGCTGAAATTTAGTATTTATGATTGTTCGCTGCTGCAGTTTTAACGTAATAATAAGTCTTTTTAATTAAGCGAAGGTATTTATTATGTACAAGTATGTAGTTTTATGTTCTGTTAAGTGTGTACCTTATAAATATAATGGTTCTCACCTGTGACAACAATTCTATAGTCGACACTGTCGGAATCGTCGCTGAAAACCCTTGCCCATTTGTACTTTTGGTCAAAATCTTTTTGGCTTTTGGTACAAACCGTCTTTACAGAAACCTGGTTTATTCTCAATAATTGTATTATTAACAGTATTGAGTAAAATAATAAATGTTTACCTATATCTTGTTTGACGTTGTTGAATAATCTTGTCGTATTCAACTTTATGCTAATTTGTTTTTCTGTTTATGTACTCAATACAAAATTAACGCGTTGATCGAACATCTCAAAGATGGTACGATGATGAAGAACTTAATTCAACTGCAGTCTCTTACTTACAACGATTTCCTTGGTATCTTCTCTTTGCAGATACGCAGTTAGGAATTGGTTGAACTCTTGGTGACAACCCAGTCTTATTGATACTAATGATCTTGCTTCGACCTGCAGTAATTAAGTAATTAATTAAGTAATTAAGATTTGGTGAAGCACAATTTCTCCACTGCTTAGTGTTTTTCTGTTAAATAGGTTAAATGAATTAAAATTTATTTGTTCGGCCGAGAAACTGCTATCAGCATTCAGCAGGTACCGTAAAGCCTTTGAGAGATCAATCGTCCATTTATACTACTTCAAGAAACCTGTCCAAGAAAGTGAGATTTGGATAACTTAACTATTCAACATACAAGTGGTCTACGGAATCTACTCTACTAGAAGTTCGTATTGTACTAGTTAGTACACAGTTAGAGTGAAGAGTTATGTTGGTCCTAACATCTAGGGCGTGTAGTTGTTAGAAATTTGGAGGAATACTGATGATTATAATTGCTAAAACTTACGGATATTATGGTTGAGCGCTCGGCAAGAGATTGGTTGTCCTCGATGTGGCCAGTGAAAGTTTTGTACTCTATCCCAAATGTAGCCCCACAGAGCATCAGTAAAACACTTACAGCCCCCAAATACCTCATTCTCCTAATTTGGTGTAATTCACAATTGTATTGGGACGAATATTACGATTGTATTTATATTAGTATTACGACGAGAATAAAAAGAGTAAAGTCCGCGATCGTTATAAAACATGGAGTTTATAACTCGATATCTCGGTCAGACTCAAAAGCCAGAAGTAAAAAATTAAACGAGAGCGCGCAGTTGCATTCTCCCAAGCCTACTCTGGTGTGAAATAAAAACTACTCAACAAGCAAAGTGAAGACAAATGATCATATCAAGCAAAGTCAACGATCGTTATGAAAAATGAATTTAATAAAAAGACATTCGGTCAACAAATATTATGTTCAATATATTTATAACGAATAACGATTGCGGCTCTTTGCTAAATTGCGGATGATCAATAATATCCAGAAGCAATTTCCTGACCGCGAGTATAAACATGGAGATTTGCAACTGAAATACACATAACGTAGCTGCAGATAGTCTCGTCTGTTTCATGCAATTAATTATGTATATTTATGAGACGTTTACCTGAGAGTTAATTTGACCCCGAAGGTTAAATAGGGATCTGTTAATTATTAGTGTAAGAGCGGATGACGGATGTTAGAGAGTAACCGGTAATTTTTAGATCCGGTGTGAGTGCGTGTGCTACAGTATCACGCACGTTGGCACGTATAACTCCATTGTTGAAATAGCACCATACTCCGTAGTCAAAACAGAAAGTAAACCACAACATATTGAAACACAAACTGTGACTATAGTTACAAATTCAATCGCAAAAAGAAGGGTTTGGTGACTATATTATTGAATTGTGCTTGGTCTTGTTAACTAACAAACGTACAGCTAGAACTACAATTTAATTATAGAGTTATAGATACATGCTCAGATGGTTTGTTCAGGAAGTAGTGCACATTTTGTGAACCAATTAAGGCATAATCAAATTGCTCCGGTGAGTAGGCTTCTAAAAAAGTTCATGCAGGAAGTACGAGAAATTATTACGAGTAATTATAATTAGATTTATAAACTTAACAACTGTGACAAACATGAGCAGAAATGAGTAAAAATAAAATGAGCTAATTCTGTAAAACTGAATTGTAACTTACTAATAAGTTACAATTCAGTGGCACTGCCAGATGTGCTGTAAACAGGCCCAAAATATTCGTGAGAACGCAATGCAAAATATGTATTATTGATCAAGCTTTTGTGTTTGAGTTTCAATAAACTCATTAGATTTGACAGAATTTCCAATGTAATCATTTTTGGAACCAACTGCAAGAATGGTTCATTCTTGTGTTCTAATCAAAGTTACCGCAATAGACATAATACGTGCGGAACAGACTATTTTCGAAACAATACTCTGGTATTTAAGTAATGAAGCAGGACAGATTTGAATACATGACACCACATCAGTGTTGTCTGACTATTATAAATAATTTGATGTATCGTTTACTGTGCAACGGTGGTTAGTCGATAGTAGAGACTGTGTTAAATGTGGTTATGAAAATGTTTCAATGTCAGACGGCAGTTATAAGTACAAAAAGGCAGGCAAAATATTGCAGAAGACAACAAAAACGTATATTTTGTGTACGCTACTACAGTAATCAGCAATAGCATAAAGCTAGCAAAATATTAATAACCGGATAAATACCTCGCCTGATTGGACGTTACGATTTTAATAGTCCGATGAATTTGCATACAAAAGGTAAAGCTGACTTGGGTAGTTGGGTATAGTTAACAGTTATACATAATATACATATTACATACTGAGTAATATGCTGAAACTGTTGAAACCATTCAAGTTTGGAGTCAAATGTCAGCAAATATAATGTGCGGACATTAATTTGTCTATCCAGCTCACTATAAGCATTGTCAGATTGTGTGAAGTTCAGGTATAATTATAAATACTGCTAAGGATTTGTCTATAAAATACGTAATTCATGCTTTAATTGCATCTGTTATAAGATCCTGGAAGTGCATAATTGGAACAGTAATTTTACTTTTGCTCGTTAGCCATCAAAGAATTATATCAAATATGCTGACTATTATTGAACGTAAAAAGGATTAGTCCTCGAGAATTTAAAATTTGCAGCTGTAGAGAATTAATGGAAATGCCACTGACAATTTCAAAATAAGGGAAATAATGGATAAAAAGGGAATACTTAAGGAAGCACAAAGAACTGTACACTCATGTAGTGTGAATAGAATAAAACTTAACAATGGAGATGGGAAACACAGTATCAGTAATCCATGCGATGGTTATGAACCATGAATATTGAATAGCTTGGAACCTGAAAATACAATGTCCACGCTGAACAGAGCGAAAGCCGAATACACAAGCAAATAAAACAGTCGTAAATGAAAGAGTCGTTCTCTGATTTACCTTGTAGAATGTAGAGGCATATATAGGCACGGTATAGACAGATTTTAATATCAAAGCTTTGAACGGAGTTTTCTGAACATGAGGCGTATCTTTTAAGATTTCGATTATCTCCATAATACTATTACCAAAAACCAGTTAACGGTAACCAGGCATAATTTTGCAAAATAAATTAAACAACTTCCTCTGCACATCTAGAGAAATAGTGCATTTGTATTCTTCTGTGTTGTGTGTGATAATAAAATTTTAAGATTGAAAATCCCAGTAGCACTTCAGCAAACTTAAACTTAAATGAAGTACGAACTGATTGAGAATATAAAGTAATTTGGAATATATATTTCCATCGACCACGATACGCAATTAGAACGAACTTAAATTTCGAATTACAGAGACAGATTGTATGTATTCCCTCCAGTGAGACGCACTATAAGTACTCAGTGTCAAGTGTTCCGCACGTAGATATAATTCCCCCGGATTATATACGAATGTCCTACTCCACTGACATTTGGTATTGGTGTCATTATGAGTGTGTCTGAGAAAAATGGAAATCAGATAAATGCACCTAATTTTAGACTAAAATAAAGAAAGCCGCTACATGTACAAGGTACACAATGTTTCAGCGGTTCGACCTTAAACTTAATTAAATCACTGATGTGGCACGTGAAAACGATATTATTATTGACACTTTTTATTTACACTTTTCAGGCCGGTAAGGGTATGTTCAGGGTGGCCCAGAAATAACTTCCCACTCACGACCCTTGTTATTTAAGAGTTGTGTGTGGGGAATTACTTCTGGGTCAACTTGTTTTATTTGGTAAAAAGTGTGCTAGAAAAAGGTAAACTTTATTATAAATATATCAGCTTCAACAGCATTTCGATGGGGCCTGTAAAATGTCTTTTGTCTAATTCCAAATCTTTGGCTTGAAGTTTGGAAGAGCAACTTTTCAAGTTGGTCTTAATCGATATTAATACAGGGGGCACAAAAGTCAGTACCCATACGTTAAGGCCAACGTATATGGGTAGTGGGTACTGACTTTTGGCCCCCTCCCCCCTGTTTGATCATCAATATATTGCTATTTGTGTAAGGTACTTTACAACATTGGCAATGATTTGTATCACTTCAACTGTATGGCCCTACGCTTGCCCATTCATCAGATTGCAGATGAAAGAACTCGTCAATTGAGGGGGGGGGGGGGGGGGGGGGGGGGTGGGGGGGGGGGGGGGGCAATGGGTATTTTTTTGTGAAACTTGAATTCGAGATAGCAGTTGACCAACAAACTAGGATCAGTGACCGAACTTGGGGTCCCGGACCCCAACCGCCAAACGGTGCCCGCGGGGCAGGGAACCAGTCAGGAGGGCGGAAGACGCGTGGGCGGAGGTCGCGTAGGCGGAAGACTTGAGGGCGGAGGACGCAAGGGCGGAAGTTTCCTAAAAGGTTGGACACGAGGGCGGAGGTCGCGAGGGCGGAGGTCGATCCCATGATTTGGGCGGAAGTCTCGTAAAACGATCACATGTCCTAAATGCTCGACTGGTAATACTACAAAACCTGAAACATCACACAACGTACTTCAAATTGTATAAATTATATAAGTTATATTCAATCATTTTAGTGGTACTGATTTCGAATTCTTTGTAACTTTAAAAACAAAATACACAGGGTTATAGAGAACGCTTAAAGGTAATATAAATCACAATGTAATCAATCAATTTTGTCAAAACCCGAATAGAATAATATCATGCAATAACATAAACATTATCAAGCGATATCAGCGTCGTGGTTATGTATCTGTGTCACTTTCACCAAGGATTCGTTCAGGGTATACAGACGACCACGGCAACAGTCTTTCTTCCTCACACATCTCCAGGCTTGGCGTCCATCGGTGGTAAGCTTTCCATCCTTAGAGTAGCGGAAACCACCGTGTAGGAGATTCTGACTGGTAGGAGTCCTTCCTCTGATAATCTTTACTGTATCTTCATCGTACATGGTTGTTATTGTAGTAGTTGAGATGTAGCTGCAACTAAATAATAAGATACTTCTATTCCCAACATCGGTCTTAAATATACTAGTTGTCTCTCGAGTCGTCTACGTTGTGACTCAAGTTGTTCGTTTCACTGTGCAATCTCTTCGTGTGAAAACAGTTGATCATATCCCAGATCAGTTTACAGATGCCAGATCAGATCCCAGATCGCTCGTGATGTTGTGATGTCCTCACATACCGTTGTGTTATATGAGATCATGACCATGGTGATTCATGTCGTGAGTCGAAGTTATGTATCACGTGACTCGATTCGATAGTTTGAGTCACATGACACAAGGGCTTCTGGGATATGATCAACAGTTTTCACACGAAAAGATTGCACAGTGAAACGAACAACTTGAGTCACAACGTCAGAATCTCCTAGTCCAGATGGAACAGTCCTCGACAGACAAGAAGACCTTAGCGAATTCGCTTGGAGAGCAGCAGCCTAAGAGGAGGAAGGCCAATAGCGACAAGGATAGAAGAATCTTCAGCATAGTTCAGAACTACCATTCGTACGAGGATGATGTTGTGCTATGTGAAATGTTTATGTTATTGTGATATTATTCTATTCGGGTTTGACAAAATTGATTGATTACATTGTGATTTATATTACCGTTAAGCGTTCT